AGTCTCATCCTGAGTTCATTCCACAAATGATTGCTGGCTTGAAGACGCAAAAAAATGGGTGTCGATTCTAGAGAAAGGGATTACCCAAAGCATTCCCCCTTCTTTCCCTCACAATTTATTGCTTTTTGAACGGCCGTTCTCCCTTCTATTTCCCTTTTTTGGATTATTTTTTGGAAAGTAAATCTGAAAGTTGTTTTTAAAATAAGAATAAATAAAATTTATAACTTCCTAGCATTACGTTTTTCATTAGTTTCCATTAGATTTCATGTTTAAGCATTGAAATTTGTTTTTAAAACTTGTTAAACCTGGTTGAAATCTGTCAAAGCTCAAAACAAAGTCAAGTGAAATTTGTCAAGAGTCAAGGCTCATCGCCACCTCATCATCGCCATCTCTTGTACCTTTAAGAATCGATTTATATCACTAGAATGATCATATATAGGATATTTTATATCATATATCAATAGAATTATTCTAGTTACTATTTCCAGGAGATTTTCTAGTTGCTTAAGTTCTTTTCTTTGGTAGCTATATCACTAAAAAGGTCTTGATTCCTCTTTCCAGTGATCTCCCACTCTATCTCCCTCTCTTTTCCCTCTTTTTCCCTCTTTTTCTTCATTTTCTACTCCTTTTCAAAGCTAAATCCCTCCTTTTTTTGGCCTCTCTTTCAAGCGGTGAGCATCAATTCGTCTCTTCTTTACGGACTTCCAAAGACAAACCCGAAGCCACAACGCCACTGATTTTCTTTTTTTTAAAAACTATAATAACAACTAAAATTCATTATACAATGTAATCATTTTACAGAATGTGTCAACTAGTCTATTTAAAGTCTCTAACAGCATGTATTGGTTGATGGAAAGTCCTCTTTGGGAGAGTACCTAATTTGTCCATTTGACTTTTGCCATCCTAAAGCTGAATTCAAGCGGTCGTTGGAAAACCGTTTTGGTCCTTTTCAAGTTTTTATTTTAGTGAAGGGCGGCAGAGCCAAAAAATGGCTGTTTTCACGTTTCGTTAGTTTTCCGTGCAGAAACCTAGGCTAAAAACATGTGTTTCGTGATCAGCGTCAAAAATAGCCCCTAGACACGCATTTTCAGAATCTTAGCAAAAAATTTTTGAAAAATATTGTCACCGGTGGGAGTCGAACCAGGGACCCTCAGATCAATAGCCTTTCACGCCGCTTTTCGCGTTTTCCTCGTTTTCTCGTTTCCCAAAAAACCTCCCAAAAAAATCGGAAAGGACTTTCCATCAACCCAATACTTCCTTTTCATCTCTTTTTTGACAGCCCCATCATTTTACAGAATGTGCAACTAGTTCATTTAAAGTCTCTAACAGCTCCAATGTATTGGGTTGATGGAAAAGTCCTTTCCGATTTTTTGGGAGAGTACCTTAATTGGTCCAATTTAGACGTTTTATAGCTCATCCTAAAGCTGAATTCAAGACGGATCAATTGGTAAAAACCGTTTTGAGATATCTCTTTGGTGACCACCGGTGACAATATTTTTCAAAATGCTAAGATTGCATTTTTGCTAAGATTCTGAAAATGCGTGTTTAGGGGCTATTTTTGACGCTGATCACGAAACACATGTTTTTAGCCTAGGTTTCTGCACGGAAAACTAACGAAACGTGAAAACAGCCATTTCTTGGCCCTGCCGCCCTTCACTAAAATAGCGGTAAAAACTTTTAAAAAAGAGATATCTCAAAACGGTTTTTACCAATCGATCCGTCTTGAATTCAGCTTTAGGATGAGCTATAAAACGTCTAAATTGGACAAACTTAAGGTACTCTCCCAAAAAATCCGAAAGGACTTTTCCATCAACCCAATACTTCTCTTTTCATCTCTTTTTTGACAGCTTTCCCATCATTTTACAGAATGTGTCAACTAGTTAATTTAAAGTCTCTTAAAGCAAATCACACGTCAGCTAATTTTCTATTATATATAAAAGAGCAGTGTATGTCTGTTTTTTCCGGGCCGTGTTTTGACCAATAAAGCTGTTCTATTGAAATTCTATTGAAAGTGAGTTGTTTCTATTGAAAGTGAGTTGTTGCCAATTTCAGGACAACAAGCTAGCATTGAGTAACAGATTGAGTCTTATTAACAGAATCTAGGCTTTTAAGATTGTAGTTGTACCTTTGGCAAAAGTCAGTCTTGATTTTTGACTTTACAATAGGCTAACTTTCAGGAAATCTAGCAAAATCAACCCAATCAAGAGATCCAATCCATTAACAGCTCCAATGTACTTCTCTTTTCATCTCTTTTTGACAGCTTTCCCATCATTTTACAGAATGTGTCAACTAGTTAATTTAAAGTCTCTAACAGCTCCAATGTACTTCTCTTTTCATCTCTTTTTGACAGCTTTCCCAGCTCTTGTAAACCATACTCAAAATTTCATTGAATTTTCATTGAATCAAATGTTTTTCATGTGTTCCTTTTAAACTAAAAACTCTTATAAAAGCTTAAAATATCAAAGAAAAACAGGTGGAACACAATTCTTAGTGAATAAAAGAAAAAAAGGAGGGGGAAATCCCGGAAACGCCCCAATTTTCTCCCACTTTTTCAAGGAAAGCGAAAAATGGGAGAGTAATAGAGGACCACCCGTATGATTTAGAGATTTGTTTTCCCCGTCAAGATTTATGCTTTCGATAATTTTGGAAAATGAGTGACCCTAAGCTTCTTAGTTCTTAGCAGATTTGTGGATCAGGGTTCGAAAAGCCATAACCCAAACCATCATCGGCTTTCAACCAGTTCACCAAATTTGGATTTTGGCTATTAGAGGCAAGACAAAAATTGTATTTTTAGCACTATGTCAACTTAATAGGAAAGGCTGAATGGAGATGGAGTGAATGCTGAATGCTTCTCAAGGCCTAACCCATCTTGTAGAGTTTTTCATGGGGAATCCGATACAACTTTTAGTTTTTCCTAAATGACACGCAAATGCAAGTTATTTAGCAAAAAAAGTTTTTTGGAATCTTTATTTTAATTTCTTAACAGTTGGTGGCCTAGTGGATAAAAGCTTTGTCTACGAAACAAGCTATGCACTTTTTTACGCGGGTTCAATTCTTTTGCAATAGTTTGGTGCTTAGAGTAGAGCTTAGGTTAGGCTTAGTGCTTAGGCTTAAGCAGCCCCCGCACTAAGTTGGGCTGACCCCCTTTTTTGGTCCCGGCCCGTCCCCGGGAAGGTGCAGCGGGCGCCCCCCCAAAGGGGCTCCTCAATTTCAGGTCGTGCGTGTCTGGAAGAATAAAATTAGGCTTAGGCTTAAGGTCACTTACTGTTGACTTGCTTGACTGTTAAACTTAACTTATGTCTGTTGACTTGTTAACTGTTAATTTAGTGTTATGTAGCCTAACGTTATCGTTCTCATAGTGATCGTTAACACATTGATTACGGCATTTTGGGCGTACAGTCGCGTAGTCGTTACTGTTTTACTGATAATTTGGTGAAAACTCAAAAAGAACTTGATAGCCTTGAATGTTTTCTGGAAAACTAGTACAAAGTTGCTGAAAACTTTAACAAATAACAAATAAATATTCTAAATAAACAAATAAATGCAGAAAAAAATAAAGAAACTCTTAAAACCTTGAGTTGACATCAAAAATTCATGATTAGTACAGAATTAGGTGGATCGAATCGTCATGAATGTTAAGCAAGGGAATTCTCGATATCTCAAATTCTTGTTTTCTTGTTTTCTTGTTTTCTTGTTTATTTTCTTATTTCTTTTAAAGTTTTCTCTTTTCAAAAGTCTCCTCTTTCTGTTAGGAATGTGTGATTGTTCCCCTGGGGATCATCCAGGAATGATCATCGTCTCGTTGAGTGACATTCCCTTTAAAAGAGAACAGAGCGAACATTCATACATCTCTTTTCTTTACCACTTCTTTATCTTTCCCCCGATTTCCAATCCCTTTTATACATTGCACTCACATTTATCATGCTCTTGCTCTTGCATAATCTCATTTTTATGATTTACATTCAATTGGTATTCTATTTAGATTGATATTCAACTTAGATTGATATTCTATTTAGATTGATATTCTATTTAGATTGATATTCTCTTTAGATTGATATTCTATTTATATTGATATTCTATTTTGATTGATATTCTATTTTAATTGATATTCTATTTAGATTGATATTCTATTTTCATTGATATTCTATTTAAATTGATATTCTCTTTAGATTGATATTCTATTTATATTGATATTCTATTTAGAGTCATATTCTATTAGGTTGATGCATAAGTCTTTTCGTTTTTTTCGTACTTCTGTTAAAAAGTAACAAATTCACCAATTAATCTATAGTTTGCTCTATAAAAAAAGTGTTTTTTTGTTCAATTAGCATCTTTTTAAATGAATTTCGGTTCACTTTGAAGCAAATTCGAGAGTGAAAAACGCCTTTTTCGTAAAAATCTATAAAAAACTCTACGGAAAAATTGGCTGAATGAATTTCTCTGAAATTTTGGCGAAATATCAAACGTTTTTTTTCTCTATCTTTTATCTATTGACACGAAGATAGGTTTTCTTTAGCTAAGGTGTCTAAACCGCATCATCGAGTTAGCCCTTTTTGACTACCCGACTTCATACTCTCAAGAGAATCCAGGCATTAAATATTTTTAAACCCGTTTTAATGTTATTTTGCAGAAAAATAATTGCTTTTTCTAATGAAATCAACCGTAGTTTAATTCGTGCATTTGTTGGCTTGAAACGGCAGACGAAAAGGAACAAAAACACTTATGCATCAACCTATTATTTAGATTGATATTCTATTTAGATTGATATTCTCTTTAGATTGATATTCTATTTACATTGGTATTCTATTTAGATTGATATTCTATTTACATTGATATTCATTTCTTCATATTCTCAGACATAAATTGAGAGTAATAGTTGAAAAGATGCTTTGTCCTTTGATTGATCTTTCAATCTTTCAATTTCTTTTCTTTTGCTGATTGTTTATTTGCTTATTGTTTAGTAATGATGTTTTCAGTGCTATCATCGAGATGTTTGTAACATGAACGAGTTGAAGAGATTCCCCTCGACTCTTTACTCATTTCTATTCTTTGCCATCATCACTTTCATCCACAATGTCACCTCAACAGCCACTGGGTTAGTGAAAAGTTTTCAGTAGTTCTTTCAAAAGACTTTTTTCTTTTATTTTATAGCTTTTATTCTTTAAAAAAGTTGAAAATTCTTTGATATTCAAGAGCAAAAATTAAAATTGAACTATTTTTCTTTTATCTTTAGAATTTTCTTTTTAGAATTCTTTTTTAGAGGTCTTTTTTAGAAGTTTTTGAATCTATTTTAATGCTGTTCTTGTCTCTTTTCATGATTTAATGAATCTTGGCCTTTTATAAGAAATTCTATAAGAAAATTGGTTAATCTTTTGATATACAATAACTAAATACTATTATTTTTTTAAGTAATGATGTTTCTGTTACTTGAGCAATAAAAAATGAGCAATAAAGGTCAACCATTATCAACTTTTGATTAATAAAAGATGTTTTTTTAAGTTTAAGTTTAAGTTGATCTTTTCAGATGTAGAGCTAATCGTTTTCGTGAGGTGATCGGTCATGAGAAAGATGATTATCTCATTTATGGAATCACTCAGGTAAATGATAAAACTAACTGTAGAAGAACAAAAGAACAAAACTGTATTTTCTCTAATAATAGTGCACCCTGAGCGTTGCCTATATTGCTTGAAATCTCAAGAGCGGCTTATCAGAACCTATCGATGTGGGATCGGAAAATGTAGCTGACAATGAGATCTAGTGGGGGGATTTGAGTGTTGAGCTTCTGGGAAAACCTTGGAAGCTGTAAATAGTCATCAACTCGGCTCGTTTGGGTACACTACTATTAGAGAAAATAACAATAACAGAAATCTAGGCTTTAACAAGTTGAGCTTTAACAAGTTCTTAAATTCAAATTATCTTTAGGATTGCCAGCTTTTCTTTGTTCGTTCCTATCAATTGGATTACTTGAACTCGATACAGGTTTGAGAAAAAGTTGAAGTATTCAGTTAATTTGTTATTAGTTAGTTAGTTAGTTAGTTAGTTTGCTTGTTTGTTTGTTTTTTGTTAGTAATTAGTTTGTTATCAGTTTATTTTCCATTTCTTTGTTCTTAGGTAGATCCACGGAATGGCTATTGTTCTCCAGGGGTTGTTCAACTTCACATCTCCTCAGCGAGCACAATATTGTTATTGATGAGACAAGTAAGCAAAAAGATCTCCATTAGCAAAAAGATCTCCATATGAATATGATTTCAAAAGCATTTTGCCTCTAGATTCATCTTGTTTTTAAGTTAAATACTAAGCAAAATATGCAAAATCCAATATGATTAAGAATTTTCTATGTTTTTCAATGTTCTATCTGCAAAATTGCAAAATTCAGGGTCCATCAAGACTATGCACTTTGGAGTTGAGCATTCCACCGCCAGAGATCATCTTTGGCACTCATTTGTTCAAGTATGACAATGAAATAATAATTGATTAGATGAATTTAAGTTTTATTTTCAAAAATTCTCTAGATTCTCTGTGGTGACGTCACTTCGTTTCATGGTTTGCTCGCATGCTCAAGATTTTCATCTAAATCCCGCACAAACCTTTCTTGATACAGCTTTTCAGGTAAAAAAAAGCTTTGAAAAGCTTTGAAAAGCTAAAAAAGCATTTTTTCACACAAATCACATTTTCAGGATGTGATTTATGCGATTGATGGTGAATCGACGGGTTCTCAATGGATGGCGAAACAGTTGGTGATTAGAAATGGAACTCTTCGACTCCTCGGCTCCGTCCTTTTCGATCGTTATCCAACAGGTAGTCTTGCAAATAGTTATTATTTAATTTTTAAGGGTTATTTTGATATTTCTAAATGCAAATTATTGTTCTGAGTCAAGTTTTCCGCTTTACTTCTTGATGACTTGAATATCGGTATCGCACAATAAGACAAGAAACACAATAAGACTCACTATTGTCAATTGCTTAGAGGCTTAGATTGTCAATTGCTTAGAGGCTTAGATTGTCAATTGTCATTCCTTAATTCTTTGCTTTCCTTTTTTATTCATTCCCTAAATAACTAAGAATTGTTGTATACGGCAGAAATCTAATTTTTCATCTTTATCTTTTAGATCCTAAAGGAGACGATGTAAAAACAGAAGCTAAAGAATTTGTGCTCGGGAGAGATTCAGCGAGAAAATCCCTCACCATCATTGATCAACACACTCGAGAATACACGAAAAGCTGTCTATTTGATCTTTTGTTCAGGTACGTTTATATAATATACAATTGTTGGCTAAGAGCCTTGTATCCTGTCGGGAAATCAAGGGTTCTAGGTTGGCTTGGCCTTGGCTAGATTATTCGTTTTTCCCCCCTCCATTTTCCCCTGGCTAGATTTTTCCCCCTCCATTTTCCCTTCCTACATTTAAGGCTTAGGAATTGTGCTTGTGCATCTTTTGTGTATTATTCGTGTAAATAAATGTCTTTTCTTTAAACCTTTAGACTTTTAGATCTTTCTTTATACAAGTCTTTAGACCTCATGCGGTAAAAGTCGAACACGGAAAGATCGAGAATCCATTTGGTGGCGGAGCGACACTTCATTCTGTCTCCACTGAGGGAAAGATTTTTGTGATTGGAGAGGAAAAGAGAGCAGTAAGTGATAGACTTGTAATACCAGAATCTATCTTCATAAAATTCTAGAGTCAATACATTACCTCGACTTTTGTCTACGCGATGAACTCGACTAGCTCGAGTCGAATGAGTTGCATTGCACAGGTGAGCGGGTGAAATGTGAGAAAATTTAATAATCTTGAACTTCTTAAACTTCTTGATCATTAAAATCAGACTTTTATTGAGCTATCTATTGAAAAAATCAAATTCTAGATGGATTTCGCTGCCGAAGTAGGCGTGATTCGAATATCGACACTAAAACAGATGAGAGACGAGCCTTTACCTAAATTTTGTGAGTTGATAAAGAAAAATTTGGAATTTTTAAAGTTCAGCTCCACATAAGAAGAAGGATTTTCATCGAAGGATATCCGAAGAATTTGAAGATGAGAAAATGGAAGTGAAAGAAAAGGAAAGAGATCGAGAAATGAATCGAGTGATTGGAGATGAGATCAGAGGAGATGCAGATGCAGATCAGATGAGAGGAGATGCAGAGAAAATGACAACAAAAACAATATTGCATCAAATGGAGGATCAAAAAGTCGGTTTTTTTAGAAAGCTGGTAATAAAATCTGCCTTTTTCCTGTTCTAATATCAAGTTTACTAAATTTTTCAGGAATCTGGAGATCAGTTCTCGGTAGAGACAGTTGATCACAATAAAGATGATGAAGAAATGGGTGAAATGAAAGAACGAGAAGAGCACAAAAATGAAAGGTGAGCGTAAGGCGAGGACAAAGAATAGTCAGCAATTTACTGTATTTTTTCTAATAGTAGTGCACACCGGTGAGCCGAGTTGATGACTATTTACAGCTTCCGAAGTTTTCCCAGAAGCTCAACACTCAAATCCCCCACAAGATCTCATCGTCAGCTACATTTTCCGACCCCACATCAATAAGTTCTGATAAGCGGTTCTCGAGATTTCGAGGGACTTAGGCGACGGTGCACTACTATTAGAGAAAATATGGCAGTCAGTTTTATTAGGCTTTTCTTTAGACATCACCATCAAAAGCATGATCATCCGACCACAAATGCTGAAGATTTGAATCGAAATCCGGAAAAACCAACAGGAATTCCCGTCACCGATTCTCATCAGAATTCTCTTCCCGGTTCTCCCACAAATGATACTCTCACCTCGTCATTCCCATCTTTATCAATTCTTTTCTCTTGTGCCTCGACTACTTTCAGCGCTTTCCTTGTCATTTTCCTCAACTGAACTTCAGCAATCTTCAGCACCCGCCACTTTATGAATTTCTGTCTTCAATTCAGGCTCTCTTATCGATCAAAGTTTGTACAGAATCGAAAATTACAATAGAAAGTACAAACGGTAATTTCTAGTTACTAATTTAACCAATAAGCAAATTTTCTATTTTTAAAAGTATCTAAACTATAGGGATCTTGAGACTTTATCGTACCATCAAGAATTCAAAAAACTTATCATCAAGAATTAAAAAACGCAAATTTGACGCTCGAAGACAGAAATCTGATAAAATTTATCGCTATTTGCTATAACAAAAATTGAAATAAATCTTTTAGTGATCAAAATTTATATCACAGACAATAAGAGGACACCAGTTTTCACACGAATCAATGCGTAATTTGATCAAAGATTTTAAGTAATCTTTTTTTAATGAAAGCACAAAAATTGAAGTAATCTTTTGAGGAATTGAAACACCTACCGTAAATACTGTAATAGTACCCCACCTCCATAATGACGGTGCGGAGTGTTGTGTAGTCTAGCTTTGGACGAGTTTTTCTCGACACTGGTTTATGCTACAATGCGCGTTTAGGTATCAAAAAATAGCCCTGAATTTCAGGGCTATTTTTTGATACCAAAGACGCATTTTTTGAAAGTACGGGCGCTTTGAAAAAGCTTTGATTAACAAAATACTAAAAAACTTTTGCGACTACGTGACTGTACGAGGGCGGTGGGGTACTATTACAGTATTTACGGTATGAATGAATCAAAGAAGTTTTGGGTTTTGATCCGCCCTCGTACAGTCGCGTAGGCGCAAAAGTTTTTTAGTATTTTTTTCAAAGCGCCCGTACTTTCAAAAAAATGCGTCTTTGGTATCAAAAAATAGCTGAAATTCAGGGCTATTTTTTGATACCAAAGCGCGCACTGTAGCATAAACCAGTGTCGAGAAAAAACTCATTCAAAGCTAGACTACACAACATTCCGCACCGTCATTATGGGGGTGGGGTCCAATTACAGTATTGCGGTATGCATTTACCGTACGGTTTTGTCCAATTACGGTATGCATTTACCTTATATATATAATCAAAGCACAAAAATTGAAGGAATCTTTTGAGAAATCGAAATCGAAACACCTAAATCACCCGTAAAAGAAAAAATTGGTTTTTTTGGGTGAAAATTTCAAAATGATGGCACGTGTGTGATGAAATAGCGACCCTCGTACGTCTTTAGAGCCTAAATCTTCGAGATTGTTACCAGCTTTTATAGTAGATGACTACAGTAACACTACAGAAACTTCTGTAACAGCTACGGGACTCTTAGAAGAGTTAAAGTAACCTTAGAAAGACTACAGTAACTCTAAATCCCTTACAGTACTTTTACAGCAGCTATAGCACCATTTATAGCACCTACGGTACTCTTAGAAGAGCTACAGCAACCTTAGAAATGTCCCTACAGTATCCTTTCACCAGTACACTAGTAGCTACAGTACCTTTACAGCAACTACAGTACTTCAGACGACAGGCTACGATTCTACGGTTCTACGGTCCTACAATAATCCTTTTGTGCCTCTTTCATTAGCTACAATTAAACAATGAAATGTTTTCTCACCTTTAACAAACGATCGCCTAATATAGAGGCCATTGTTGGCGAGCAAAATGGAGAAAGAACGCATTGAAGCTCGTAGCGATCTTCGGCCTGAAAAGTTTCATTTACTGTATTCTATCTACCGTAAATACTCTAATAGTACCCCACTCCTATCGTACAGTCGCGTAGTCGCAAAAGTTTTTTAGTATTTCATTTTTTTCAAAGCGCCCGTACTTTCAAAAAATGCGTCTTTGGTATCAAAAAATAGCCCTGAATTTCAGCTATTTTTTGATACCTAAGCGAGCCTTGTAGCGTAAACCTGTGTCGAGAAAAACTCGTTCAAAGCTAGACTACACAACACTCCGCACCGTCATTATGGGGGTGGGGTCCAATTACAGTATTTACGGTAAGTATATTAGCAATAGTCAACATGAAAAATCAATTCCAAGCTCTCAATCGAGCACAAAACAACCAGAAATTTAACCAGAAATAAATCACCTTCACATAAAGCACTTCTTTCTTGTTTCGAACGAAAATTTGCCGAATCCCATCGACTGATCGCAAAATGTCATACACTCGAGAGGCGCTTCTGAACGAAATTCTTGTTCTCTAATTCTTGTTTTGCTAACATGACTGTTTATATTATGTACAATTTTTCATTTATTTTAATACAATTTTCAATATCCAACCTTGTCAGTAAAACTCTTTCCTCTTGTCCAATAAAAGGTGGTCTTGAGGCAGAGAGGCAAATCTGACGAGAGGAAATATTTCGATACAAGAAATGCCACAACATCTCAGATCCAGTGCCAATCTGAAACAAAAATCTAATAGTTACTAGTTCTCAGAGTCAATCTGAAACCAAAATCTGATACTTACCAGGTCTTAGAGCCAATCTGAAACAAATCTCTTATAGTTATTAGTTCTTAGAGCCAATCAGAAACAAATATCTCTAGTTACTAGTTCTTAGAGCCAATCTGAAACAAAAATCTAATAGTTACTAGTTCTCAGAGTCAATCTGAAACAAATCTCTTATAGCAACAAACAAATATCGATACTTGTTACTATTTTTGACAACATTTTGTATTTTTTTTCTTTACTTGTGGTTGCTAAGTGTAAAAATATGTAAGTTTATGTCAAAATTTTCTAAATATTAGGTTGATGCAATATGGATTTTGAAATATAATAAATTTTCAAGAATAGGGACATCGTATCCAGTGTTAGATACTATTCGAAAGTTTTGATTCTCCGTTACAAAATAGATAAGCTGTTTATAGGCTCAAATTTCTCTAAAGATCCTAGAAATTGACTTGTTACCCTATTTTGTAGAGAAGAATCACAGCTTTTGGGAGATCTTCGTGCTTGTGAGTTATGTGTTATGTTACTATTCAAAGGCTGTGATCCAGGAGTCCTGGATATCTTACTCCTAGAAATTTCTAATATTCGAAAAGCGGCAAGCCATATTTCATCAACCTAATAGATGTAAAGTGTGGTTGAAAAAAAGTAACAAACACCCAAATATCTTAGAAATTGTTGGCACAGATCCCACAATTACCTTAAACAATTTTAAAAAAAACTATTTTGTCTCCAAAAAAACTTTCGACAAAAAGTAGCCTATATTATATATCATTTGAAAGCTCTAATTCTCAACATCATTAATACATTAAAGATCTTTTAGCCAGAGCTAATTTTTGAGCCTTACTAACCTTCAGAATGAGCTCGCCAGAGCTTTAGCCAGAGCTTTTTTAGCCAGAGCTAATTTTTGAGCCTTACTGACCTTCAGAATGAGCTCGCCACAAGCACGATGATCTCCCATTTTTCGTGATTTTAAATGTACATAGTGTTTTGTAAAGATCTTTTTCAATTCTTTTGTTTCAAAATAAAAGCAAACGTTAACCGGGGAATGTGCAAATTCATTGTTAACAACGGGCTCAAAACTTGCTAAAAACTACCATTTTTTAGTGTTTTTAGGGATCTCTACTTCGGTTGATTGAGGCGCTTTTAGATTATCATTTTTGTTTTAAAGTATTGAATGGATTTTGATATTATTTAAATGGATTTTGATGAAATCTATACAAATTTGATCGTATTTTCTGCTTTTCTTGAACGTTTTTACTTAGAAAACCAAGAAAATGGCAGAAAAATGCGGTTCTTGAAGCGAGCTCATTCTGAAGGTCAGTAAGAGTCAAAGATTAGCTCTGGCTAAAAAGCTCTAGCTAAAAAGCTCTAGCTAAAAAACTCTAGCTAAAAAGCTCTGGCTAAAAAGCTCTGGCTAAAAAGCTCTAGCTAACAAAGTTCTAGCTAACAAAGTTCTAGCTAACAAAGCTCTAGCTAACAAAGTTCTAGCTAACAAATTTCTAGCTAACAAAGTTCTAGCTAACAAAGTTCTAGCTAAATCTCTGGCTAAAGCTCTGGCTAAAGCTCTGGCTAAAGCTCTGGCTAAAACATCTTTGCTGTATTAATGATGTTGAGAATTAGAGCTTTCAAATAATATTTAATACATGGTACTTTTTGTCGAAAGTTTTTTAAAAGTTGGCTATCGTAATTGTGGAAGAATTTTGTAGAATTGGTTATTTTGTTATGAGTTTCTCTTTGTTTGTTTTTACAATAAATCAACTCACATTTGAGGGAGAAAACGATTGTGGTGAGGTGACAGCTGCCTCGAATGAATTCAAAATTTTTGGACTACTCTAAAATTTCGATTTCTTTAATTCAAATTGAAATCCTTTTACTTGAATCTTCGCACAAAAGTCCTCTTTGATCAAATGGAGATCTTTGAGAGTGTTTCGATCGACGGAAAGGAGCACGAGATGGGCGGGCGAATTCTCCCATAAAGAGGAAATGTACGCGTGAAGGAAACCGCTAAAATTTTGACTTGTTAGAAGATGTTAGAAGATGTTAGAAGATGTTAGAAGATGTTAGAAGATGTTAGAAGATGTTAGAAGATTTCAAAAATCGCCATTTCATTAAAACAAGTTATTTGATCTTCAGCTTTCAGTCAATTTAGTATTTGAATTGAACTTTGTTATCAGTTTTTTGTATTTACTAGCTACAATCTCTCTTAAAAGAACTACAGAAACCCTGCATTGATTATAAGTTACAGTAATCTTAAAATTTATTAGCAATTTACTGTTTGAAACAGTTAAAACTAGAGTTGGCTATCAAAATTTGGGTATAGATATTAAAATGGACATATCTTTATGATTGTAGCTTCGAATGCTCTGAAACTTTTACCAATGGAAAGCCAGAAGTTCAAGCTTTATTTTGGTTTCTAATACGTATTGTTAGAAGAACAATGCATCTCAAAAAACCTTATCGATAGCGTATAGATTAGGTTTTTAGAGCTGCGTTTTGCTTGCTCTTCTAAGTATTAGGTACTAGACATGGTTATTGGATTGGATCGGATTGGGCTTTATCGGTTCGGATCGGATCAGGATCGATCCAATCCGGGCTAACCCGATCCGATCTGTCTAACCGATCAGGCTAACCCGATCTGATTCGTCCAACCGATCGAGCTAATCTGATCCAATAGGTCCGACCAATAGCCCGATCCAATCCAATCTGATCTTACCAAAAAACCCATATCTATTAAGTACCAAAATAAAGCTTAAACCTCTGGCTTTCCAATGGTAAAAGCTACAGAGCATTTAAGTAGTTTTATACAAAGTTATAAGATTTTTTTGCCGACTACCCCAAAAAATCGATAATATCAATAGCCAAATCTAGTTACAGCTAGTATTTGAATAACTTCTTTCAAAATCCGACCTGTCATTAAAGAATGGCAAACAAATAGGCGTCCAAATCGCTGCATCGGCAATCGTTGAAGTGTTTGACACCAAATTGATGATAAGGCTCAGATCCTGGAAATGTGAGTAAACAATAAACACTTTTTATTTAGAGAAATTCAGCAATTAGCCTATGGTTATGTTATTTTACAAAAGAAGTACGAAAAGGAAAGAAAAGATAGCCAAATAGCCAAATAGCCTTTCCTACCTTGTGATCCAACAAATGCTTCTTCAACCTGGACAAGCAAACAATTTGTCGATGGGCCAACACAACGGCGAATAGCATCCCCTGGAGTCAGATGAAATGTGAAATTCTAGCTTCCAAACCTCAACATTCGCACTTGTTATACTATTCACAAGTGTAGTAGACAAAGCATTTCGATCAGCTGCCTGAATCTTTTGAGTTCATTGAGAAAATTCTCATCTTTCACCTCCATTGGTAACACTCGAATGGCAGAGGAGATCTGCGCGAGATCATAGTGCCAACTGGAGAGACTTCCGTCCATGTATCTGTTAGATAAGCTTTAGTTCCTCGTACTGATCACTCTTTTACTGGTCACATGTCACTAGAATTAGGTACAAGACTTCATTTGGGTACAGTTGTACTAAAACTATATAAAAGTACAGTTAAAAACTGTACTAAAAGCAACTATATAGTAAACTATAGTAATAATGTATTGGTTACAATACTAGGTTGCAAAGATTCAAGTCTAACCTGGATTTGGACTAGAGCCTGGTTTGGAACTGGATCTGGACCAGAGCCTGGTTTGGAACTGGATCTGGACCAGCCCTTTGATCAGAGCCTCTTGGTGACCCCCCTGTCTGGATCGGGACAGGCTGGCGCTGGGCCGCCGGCGCGGCTGGGCTGGGCCTCGGGGGCCTGGTGGCGCTGGCCGCCCCGGCGGGTGGTCGGCGCCGGCGCTGGGGACGGTCGCCACCCTGTCTACTGAGCCTGGTTTGCAACTGGATCTGGACCAGAGCCTGGCTTGGAACTGGATCTGGACCAGAGCCTGGTCTGGATCTGGATTTGGTCAGCGGCTTGGAACTGGATCGCCGCCCCGGGGCGGTTTGGTCGGCCTGGCTTGCTGGTCGGCCGGCTGGCTTGGACTGGTCTGGACCGGCCTGGTCTGGTCTGGTTTGGTCAGGCCTGGCTTGGCTGGTCTGGCCAGCCCCTGGTCTGGTCTGGTTTGGTCGGCCTGGCTTGCAACTGGATCTGGACCAGAGCCTGGCTTGGAACTGGATCTGGACCAGAGCCTGGTTTGGAACTGGATCTGGACCAGCCCCTGGTCTGGTCTGGATGCGGCCTGGTTTGGCTGGTCTGGACCAGCCCCTGGTCTGGATCTGGATTTGGATCAGCCTGGCTTGCAACTGGATCTGGACCAGAGCCTGACCTAGATCTGGATCTAGATCCAAGCCAGGACAAAGATTAGACCTACCCAAAGAAATAGAGCAAAAAGCCATTCCTTTTCAAGGAAACTCACTTGTTCGTCCCTCCCAACAATCGCCTCAAATCATAATTGTCACCCCGTTTCTCATAAATCGTTTCCAACTGCTTTCGGCTTATCGTCGACAAAATCTGATTGAATAGCACCTCCAATTGAGATCTCAGCTGATCTCTTCGCTTTGAGACTAGAACGGTTTTCATTTGAAGAATGAAGAATTTCACCAACCTATACAAAGAATCAACGGTTTTCGGAACAAAAAATGAGCATGAAGATCTTTAGAGGAAATCGAGTTAAGCATGTCTCCATTGTGCCGTACTCGGTTTACAAAGACGCCAATCAGCGCGAAAAACGCACACAGTTGATCCTCTTGACCACATCTGTAACAAATTGCAAATGAAAAATATGCAGCTGTTCGTAGAACGGAATAGAGTTGTGTTGGCTGATGCTTTACTAGTCATCTACTAGTTCTTACTCTGCAATAGATTGCCGCTATGGCCGATTGACTAAGAGCTTTGTATTCTAGTTGTATCCTAGTCGAGAGGTCAAGGGTCCAATCTCGCCGGCTAGCTTGGTTTATTTATTGGCTTATTGGTTCTTGTTTTATTTGGGGTTTTTTTTCCTACATTCAGGTTATGCTTGTGTATTGTTTGTACCAAATTAGTGTGAATAAATGTTTTTTTTAAGATGTTTGGTAGTTTTTCTAGGCTATAGTCAAGGCTAAAGTCAAGCCAGAACCTGAGCTTCAAGGTTGATCCAGTCCTCGGCTGAAGCCTGGAGGTCAAATCCTGGTTTCAAAAGCTACAAACTTACGGGCTACAAAAGTTAAAGAATATTTTGAGGCTAATCTTCTTAAAAAGTTATATATTTGGTTACTCACGAGACATAAATCGGTCTTCCGTACTCGGAGAGAACAAACACTTGATATGGATAATGGGAAAGGCGATCGAGAGCTGATTCCTCAATTGGCTCCTCTTCTGGAAGCTCTATCTAAAGGAATTCATGGATAATTGTTTGGTTAGAACTAGCTATATATATATATTCAAATCCAACCTGTGGCATTGACATATTCGCTTGATCCTTGAGCGCTTGGAGATCGCTGTGTGACGCTTCTCCCGGCGCTGACGTTGATGCCGGGATTGCTGAAAAAAAACAGAAAGAATCATTTTTAAACTTGATTCTGCTATAAAGCTAAAATCTTTGTGAATGCTGAAATGATTTTTTAATGTTTTTCTGGCGGAAAACTTTTCTCCTTTTGCTTTCATAGCATTTGTTTGTGAGATGAGGAAAAGAGGGAAAGTTTTCACCGAAAAACAACAGCTTCACACCTTTGATTTCAGAAGGAAATTTAGAATACACAGCTTTTATATTTCAAAGCACGTGTTTCTATTAGATAAGTTTGTAGATTTTATTAGAATAAGCAGGCATAGTTTTCTGCTTTTCATCATCGATCAGAGATTTTTTTTGCCAGTCAAATTAGCCGACATTTTATGTAAAAATACGAAGCAATGCCTTTCATAGAGCATGTTTATGCGTTTTACGTACAATAGTCTAAGCCAGGTTTATTCCAAAAGCAATTTTTCAGAAGATAGGTCCCGGCTTTGATCCTGACTGTACCCCAGACTCCCCAGAAGCCAGCCTGGACCTGACTTCTGATTTAGTTTACAAACTTTATACGACTAACAGATAATGGTTGATTTTCTGACCTAGCGGCGAATTTTTCTGGCTAGATGTTTTGAGGTTGCGTTTTTCTCCCCCTGGCATTCGGAGCGCAAGGGTGCAGTCAGGAGGGGGATTGTCTGCGGCACACACGATCCGGGTTCGACCCTGCCACTCAATCTGGCATTTTTAAGACTACCGTATTTACTCGAATAGAAGACCGGCCGATTATAAAGCCTCGATTATAAAACCGTCTCGAATAGAAGACCGGCCTCGAATAGAAGATGGGGTTTAGGGGGTGATTGAAAAAAATAAAAGACCGGTCTTCTATTACGGTATATTAGATTTGGCACAACTATAGATTTTAAGACTTTTTCAAAATTTCACTATTTATGGCCCAAAGACGGCTAAGAAAAAGCCCGTACAGACGGACGCTGCTCTTTTATATATAGTAGATAAGGTAAGACGGTTTCTCAGTGAATATTAAAATTTAAAGCAAGATTTAAATGAGCATTGGATATTTATGGTAGTTAAATAATTTTTTTTTTACTGTTTTCCTCATCAACTTGTCTTTAGCAGTTATTTCCCCCTCAACTCACATAATAAAGTGGCGATTCCGGAAGACATTGGTTCAAAAATTAAGCCAGAATCGAAAAATTTCTGAAATTTAGAGATAAAGATACGAATTTATATTTATTGCAAAAGAAAAATGAAAAAAATTACGCAACAAAAAGCTTTCAGAAGGTAAAAGATACAGGGAAAGGATTGAAATTGAAAAAATTATACTAAAAAGTAAATTTCAATTTCAGTAGAATGTTTAAAAATACAAATCTAAGGTTTTGTTAAAAATTTCTAATAAAACAGATGTGAAAAGGCAATTATCTTGTATCTCTCGTTGTTTACATTCCCTTCCCTTCCTCTCAAAAAGAACACACTACGATCGACAACATGTTGACGAAAATTTCGAATTGAAAAAAGCATTTCACCATTACTTGTCAACAATTTTTTTCAATTCTTTTCCCCAATTTCGTTATTTTTTGTTTTGTTTTTGATTTCTTACCATTTTTTTCTCATTTGAATCGTTTAAAATTGACCCTTGAAAAATTAGTGGCATACAAGTTGTAAAACAGTAAAACAATAGTATAGAAGCCGTAAAGCAGTAAAACAATAGTATAGAAGCCGTAAAACAGTAAAACAATAGTATAGAAGTTGTAAAACAATAGTATAGAAGTTATAAAACAGTAAAACAATAGTATAGAAGCTGCAAAACAGTAAAACAATAGTATAGAAGTTATAAAACAGTAAAACAATAGTATAGAAGCCGTAAAACAGTAAAACAATAGTATAGAAGTTGTAAAACAATAGTATAGAAGTTATAAAACAGTAAAACAATAGTATAGAAGTTGTAAAATTAGATATTTTAGAATAAATGTTTAGCTTGTACGTTAAATTTTAACCAGAAAATTATTGAATTTGATCTAAAGCTTCTTTTTTTGTGCGTTTGAAAAGTAAATCCTTTTGGTACAAGCTTGATGGCTTATAAAATTCAAAAATGAATCTAATAGCAGTCAAAAAGTTTACAATACTTGTACAAAATCGATTTTATATGCATTACTGGTATTAGTTTAACGATCGATTCAGTAAAACAGCTTTATAATGATCGATTATCGATTGTTTGCGAACCATGGCAATCTGCCATTTTCTTTGTTCTTTGATTTAATGCTCATTGGTTATAAATTAAATTTTGTAAACTTTCCTTTACACTTTTCTTTACATGAATTTTATTATGTTATTTCCAGGATGTCTCGAGCCGTCACAAAGCGTCGTGCAGCTGCTGAAGATGACTTAACTGGGGTAGAATTTGAGACGAGCGAAGAAGTGGATGTGACCCCAACATTTGATCAAATGGGACTTCGAGAGGATCTCTTACGAGGAATTTATTCTTATGGATTCGAGAAACCGTCAGCTATTCAACAACGAGCGATCAAACCAGTGCTAAAGGTAGGAGAAGCGGTTTATTTACTTGGCTAGACTTGTTTGTTATGATAGAATGAGCTTAGTATAATTAGATGATACAATTAGACCCCGTTGTATCATCTAATTATACAATTAAGTAGGTAATCCACTTGAGTACAAAAAAACCATTTGAATTTTGAAAGTATTGAAGCTTTTCAATGAAGCGTTAGGGTACTTCTCAGCTTTCAGCCACAAAATTCACCAATTATAATAGAATAAACTATTATCTTTTTAGGGACGTGATATCATCGCTCAATCACAATCCGGAACAGGAAAAACAGCGACTTTCTCGATCGCGATTCTTCAAAGTCTTGACACTCAAGTTCGCGAAACACAGGCGCTCGTTCTCTCGCCAACTCGTGAGCTCGCCACACAAATTCAAAAGGCATGTTAAAAACTACTTATGATAAAATGTACTTATTACTTTTAGGTTATTCTTGCTCTTGGCGATTATATGAGTGTGCAATGTCATGCGTGCATTGGTGGCACAAATGTCGGAGAAGATATCAAAAAACTCGATTATGGACAACATGTTGTTTCGGGAACTCCTGGCCGAGTGTTTGATATGATTCGTCGTCGCAACTTGCGAACTCGAGCAATTAAGCTGCTTGTTTTGGATGAAGCTGATGAGATGTTGAACAAGGGATTTAAAGAGCAGCTTTATGATATCTATCGTTATTTGCCTCCAGGTTGTCAGGTGAGATATTGATAAGTTTTGGAGAGCTACTTGAAAACTTTAAGCTACTGTTTATAGCTCTGTATAGGACCTGGGAAAAGATCAGTTTAAGTAATACTATGTGATAATTGTAAAGCTCAAAACCCATCTGCATTGGTCTGAAAGCTAGGCTAGACAGGCTTGGCTTTGGCCTGGAATTGGATTAGTACTGACTTAAGCCTAGCCTTTTCTGACTCCAATCTAGCACTGGCCTAATTTCGACCTGAAATTAGATTAGACCAAAATACATAGCCCTGAAAATGACCACTATTGGCCTAGGCTTGGCTTACGCTAAACCTAGAACAGGTCTAGATCTGAAATTGACCCAGGCTTTGCCTAATATTGACCTTGAACCTGACCAGTACTGATGTACCCAAATCTAAGACAGCTGTTCTATTACAGGATTACTGTTAGTAAACTTCATTCTACTCAAAATATCGTTTTCTTACAGGTCGTTCTCCTCAGCGCCACTTTGCCTCATGAGGTCCTCGAGATGACCTCAAAATTCATGACCGATCCAATCCGAATCCTTGTCAAACGTGACGAGTTAACACTTGAGGGAATCAAGCAATTCTTTGTCGCTGTTGATCGAGAGGAATGGAAATTCGATACACTCGTTGACTTGTATGATACATTGACCATCACACAAGCTGTTCTATTCTGCAACACTCGTAGAAAGGTTGGTTAGATAAAAGGCTTATTAGTATCATAGTACGGTAGAAATATTGAAATTAACCTTTATAATCTAGGTGGATTGGTTGGCTGAGAAGATGAAGGAGGTCAACTTCACTGTTTCATCAATGCACGGAGATATGGAACAATCGGAACGTGAACAGATTATGAAGGTTAGAAGTCATTCAGAATTAAACTACAAGTATTAGGGTAAGGTTTTTAGAAAAGTGGAGTAAGCCAATTCAATTAATAAAAGATCTCAAAAACTCGGAAATCTAAGAGATACCTCTTAATGATGCTAATAAATAACTTGACTAACAGATGCAGGATTTCTAACTAGGGAATGTTGTCAAGTTAAGGTGGGCTTTTCGAACCAAGCCTATCTGATAGAGTTTTTTACGCTCATTCCGAATCCGGTTTTAACTTTTCCGGAAGAGCTCTGTAACGCGAAATATTTGGCGTACAAAATTGGCCTCAATCTCTGTAGGTTTATAAGGTTGGCACGCCTTCCCTCAAATATGAGCTGGTGGCCTAATGGGTAGTGTGCTGGCGCGTGAGTTTTTTTGTTGGTTGCTGTTTCGAATCTGCCAAGGTTTTTTGCTTTTTTTGCGAAACATTTCTAAACACTTTTCATGAACAAATAACTTCAAAAGGCACAACTAGTTTACTTTATGGAAGTTTTAAAATAACAAATAGATTCAATTAACATAAATGATACAACTTAAGCTAACAAATAAAACAAAAACATTCAAAACAGTAAGGATGCCTAATAAAAGCGCAGGTGCTACATGAAACTTCACTACAATCATTTGAAACAATTTCCGCTACAAAGCAATATGTTAATGGCGTCTTATCTTTGTTAGGTTTTTGCTGGCCCGCGGCAAACCATGGATATTTGATCATTTCGGCAAATTTCGGACTTGGGAAATCACCCGCAAAATGTTGTCTCTCTGATAAACGGGAAAGTCTATATCGTTGAGTAAAATGTGACCATGGATCCGTTTTACGATTGCTTTAAATGGTGCGAAAAGTAATGCTTATCTGGCTATTGTGCTAACCATTGCACCACAACGCACCTGATGTTCCTTACTCCAGAGGGAGTTAACTTCCCTCCCTCACCAGCGAGGAGCGAACTTAACTCCCTTTGGAATAAGGTGAAGCAAGTGTGTTATGATATAATGGTTAGCACAGTTGCCCGGTAAGCGAAAGGTCGAGGGTTTGAATCCCGGCGATGCAGAAGTTTTGATCTTTCCCTTACCTTATACTTTTGCTCCAGGATTTCCGTGACGGCACTTCCCGGGTGCTCATCTCAACCGATGTGTGGGCTCGTGGCCTGGACGTTCCACAAGTCTCTCTTGTCATCAATTACGATCTTCCCAACAATCGTGAGCTCTACATTCATCGCATCGGACGATCGGGTCGTTTCGGAAGAAAGGTAAGTACAAATCATTAAACAGTCATAGTCATACACATAAAAGCAAGAAATTTACATATTTAATAATCCCAGTACTCTGAAGCTGTTTATCCTAACCATTCCAGGGTGTTGCGATCAATTTCGTGAAAAACGAGGACGTGCGCATTCTTCGCGACATTGAGCAATATTATTCGACACAAATTGATGAGATGCCAATGAATATCGCGGATATGATTTAAAATTTACTGTAAAATCCATTATTATCAATTTTTCATATAATTTTGTACAATTTCCTTAATTTCCATGTTTTAACCCTTTATAACTTATTTTGATTCATCAATAAATCATCCAACAAATTATCAACTTTCAAAATATTCTACATAAGTAATCCATAAAATCTATTCACTAATAAATTAGTAGAAAGGTTCATTGTCATTGGCTTGTACCCGCTCTAAAAATGCACATTCTTTTGCTGGAGGATTGAGGAGAGATTGACCGATTTTCCTCAATTCGCCACCACTTGTTGCTCGGAGATTGCCTGGAATTCAGTAAATTTTATAGTTTTTGAGATAACTTTTAATATATCGTATTGCAATTGATACAAAGTAGTTGTAAGCACAGTTGAAACCAATTTTCAACCTTAAATCTACCCGATTTCAGCAAAAAAAAACATTGTTTAACAGTATCTATTCAAATAACTTGACGGTTCTAAATAGCTTGTTGCAGTTTTCAGTTAAGGTCAAAGGTGTCACTCAATCTTGACGCGTGACTCTTTTTTTCTATAGAAAGCCAGAGCATTGATCAGAGATGTTCTAATTGGACAGTAGAGCCTATAAGCTAGGCTAGGTTAGATCAAAAACCTGGTCTGTCGGTCCAGGATCCAGGGATTTTTGTAGACCAAATCCTGACTAAACCTGCAGCAAAGTTAGGTCATGATTACTGAGCTGGATTTGTCCTTGCCTGGCTCAGTCAGCTCCAAAGTCGCCTTTGGAACAACCCTGTACTGAGTACTTCATGGCTAGTAAAAAGGTAGTTGTTGTTCTTCGTTGGTTATTGGTTATAGAATTTTCTACTTTATCTTGGTTCTAAACTTATCCTTGTCTCATTCACTTTATAGAACTAACCTGTAATAATCGAAGCTTTTCGGCTAAAGACTCGTTGAAGCGAGTGGTGTGATCGGGCGAAACGAAAGAGAGCAACTCGCGCGCGTTTCTGTGATATTTCGTGTGCAATTCTACCTAAAATGCTTGACTATTAGACTTTTCTAGTTATAACTTCAGTTTACATACTATTTCTAATCATCTTTGCTATTTCTGATCCACCTTTGTGTAATCTCCATTCATGCAATCCGTGTGCTCACTGGCCACCCGCCACCCCTTCATCGTCAACTCCAGTGTGTACGGTTGACCTGAAAAAAAAGGAATACGGTAAGTTATTTAAAAATAGAATTAACTTATTGATATCTATTATCTAAATTCTTTATATCTATTACTATTATCCAAATACCGTACCTTCATGTGTTTTCACGTTGACAAAGATAAGATCGGAAGTGCGTGGCAGGATCTCAGAGACGCTGATCGACTCGACCTGGAACTCAAGATTGATTTTGAAATGGAGGTTGGTTTCATAAAATCCTAGTTTTCTTGATTACGATTCCAGGAATAATAAAGATCATGCCGACCTCATGCGCCAACTCGTGAACAGCGGCTATTGCTTCCAACTCTAGTGCTCCCACTCCCTCATCGCCCATCATTCCGCCCATTTCCAAATGCCGCCGCCGGTTCATCTCACCGATTTCCTCCAGGTTTAGCGGTGTTCTGAAAGTTTTGAATCTAGGTAAATCCAAGTAAAATACGGTTATAATTTCAAAATTTTTTTACTTGACGTTTCCTTGACTCGATTGCCGAAGACTGGCCACCAGATTGTGCGGTTTCACAAGCGAAATCTGAATTGTTAAAGGATTTTTCGTCAATATCAAGATTAACCTATTAATACTAAAGTTTTAAACTAAACTGGACCAAAACACTTGCAAATGGTCTCAATGGGGTGACCTTTCCAAAGCCTTTTCTATCTTGGACCAAATGATGTCAACAAAAAAACAGAAGCTGAGAGAGTTTGAGATGAGAGAGAAAAAAAGGATATGAAAGATTGGAGAAATCGGAGAAAATCTTTGATCGATCAATTGAGGGGGAAAAAGACGAAAAAGCTAGGTGATGTTTGTTCAAACACGGCCCCCACACTCGTTCACCGACAAAATTTGAGGTTGTAGTTTTCTCGGGGAGCTTTTTGTACAGGATAAGATGAAATTAGTCTAGGGTCATAGGAGCTCAAAAACCTCAATTTATAGTTGTTATTTTTGGCCCTTTCTAACTCTCAATAGAATCCTAGAACTAGGTTGTTCAGAAAGTCTTTTCGTTCTTTTTCATACTTCCGTTGGAAAATCACAAATTCCCCAATTAGTCTATGATTTGCTCTAAATAAAAAGTGTTTATTGTTCAATTTCTCATTGTTTTAAGTCAATTTCGGTTCACTTTTAAGCAAATTCGAGAGTGAAAACCGTGTTTTTCGTAAAAACCTATAAAAACCTCTACGAAGAAATTGGCTGAATTAATTTCTCTAAAAATTTCACTATATACCGAACTTTTTGTGCTCTATCTTTTATCTATTGACACCAAGATAGGTTTGCTTAGCTAAAATGTCTAAAATATCCTTAGCATCCTCGATTCATCGCCCTTTTTGACTACTCAACTTCAAGCTCCCAAAAAAAATCCAGTCATAAGATATTTTAAACCCGTTTTAATGTTATTTTGCAGAAAAATAATTGTTTTTTCTAAACAGAAACAGACAGTAGTTTAATTGATGCATTTATTGGTTTTAAACGGAAGTACGAAAAGGAACGAAAAGACTTTCTGGACAGTCCGACTTTTGGTTGACCCGGATATTTTTGTTGACCAGGTTGCGCTTATCCATTCAAAACTATTCAACAAGTCTGATATAAGTTCATTTTTTTAAAGTTTATGTAATAAACCCACCTCTGGCGGTGAGATTGGATCGAAACCATCAAAGTTGAATTGAGTGCTTGATGAGGTTTGTGTCGGTGAGACACAACGAGAAGATTTGTACACTTGAGCTGCCGAGTTCCAGCGAGCAGAGCTGAATTTTCAAATTTAGCTTTTCAACTTCGTTGTTAAAATCTAGCAATGATATCAGTTTCAATTACATCTGAAGCACTCACTCCTGTTGTTTGTAGAGCGGAGAGACACCGAGTGAATCGGCCAGCGTGTTCGCCACGAGTGATCCCACTAAAGGCACCGTTGCACAACCGCATTTTTCGCCGGGTGACTAAAAAAAAATATATTGCATTCTTACCGCTCATAGTTTACATTTCTGCAAGAAAACAAGATTCTAAGAGTTTTCTTGGGTCTACTTTTCAAAATGGTAAACGCATTCTCTTTGGTGCATTCAAATCCTTCAGTTTTCTGCCTATATGCGTTTGCTACCGCAAGAAAAATGGATTATCGTACGCCAGAAAGGGTGTGTTTACCTTCACTGAGCCCAAAGTATATATGATAAAAATTTTAGTAAACTTACAGCAATCGTCGGTGAGAAGCCCTCTACTGGTGTGTGCGGGGGTGTGGCCATCTGAAAAATTACAAATACAGGAGTTACATATAAACAGTTTAAGTAGAAATTATATAAAACAATAAATATTAAAGCTGTAAGATAACAAGGAAAATGAAAAATGTAAAAACTTTGAAAGTACGATAAAAATGGCAAAATGTTTGCGTAAAAGCTCAAAGCAAAAGCTTTCGCTAAAGTTTATCAACAGAAATGTGCTTGGAAATTGAAAAAGACATCAAATAATCAAAAAAAATTACCGAATATCTAAAGACCCAAAGCTTTTTATGATATTTTGTGTATTTCGGGAGCAAAATGGCAAAAACGTCTTGGGACAAAAACTGGAAATGCTTTGAGGGGCCATTGAGTGAAAGAAAAGGGCAAAAAGGTGAAAGAAAAAAGAGAAAGATTGGAAAAACGAAGAGATGAAAAAGGGGAAAAGGAATGGGAGAAAGTCTTCTCTTTTGCTTTTTCTTTTCTCTTTTCGTTCTTTTGCCCTTTTCACTCTTATGTGAGAACTTTTCCCTGTGACACAGCTACAAACAACTATTCGAACGGTTTTGAAAATAAATGTGAATCAGAAATTTAGAGAACTTGATCAAATTCATTGGCTGGCTTTAGTAATAGATTCTCGCGACTGTCGTAACGTGATTGACGGCAAAATTCAACTTTACGGTCTGGTCGAGATTTCTAACGAAACCTGCTTTTTTATGTTTTCCCCCATGACAAAATTCACAAAAAAAAACATCAAATTATGTTGTTGTGTGGCTTATACCAGCTTCCACTTTGAGCTTTGAAGCTGCCACTTTGAGATTTACTCCTTTAGCCCAAAGATGACAAAAAATCAAGATGACGAGCTTTGAAATGATCGGGCAAAAAAAATTATGAGAGGGAAACGTAAAGTGCACTTATCGCGGGTGCACTTTACGCACTGACGGTTTTTTTTTTCATTTTTCTTTCTCTAAAAACGTTTCCCTTTCAAAATTTTGTTTTTTGTGCATTCTGACATGGGAGAAAACATAAAAACCAGGTTTCGTAGAAAATCTCGATCAGACCGTTGAATTTAGTCTGATTGACTTGCTTGGGAAATAACAAAAATGCTTGGGAAAGTTAGCGTTTATTCAGGGTAATGAAGATGAATAAAAGAATCACAATCGCACAAAAAAATGTAGAACAAAAACAATGGGGGGAGTGAAAAGAAAATAAAACCGCATAGACTACGGGGCGTTCCTAGTGACAACCTAGACAGACGTGGAAGGTGCACTTTAGAAAACGACAATTTTGTGGGAAGTATAAACGGCTCTCTTCCCAATAGGATCAGATTTTTAAGAATCGGTTTTAAAATCGAAAATCAGATTCATACAGCTTTATTTATTGTAGCTTTCAGTTGCCAAATTCTGCTAGCTAGTTATCATAGCTTTTAGATACAATATCCATGTCCTGTACTACCTTATAACTAGGACAAAAGCTTTGAACAGCTTGAGCTTTTGAACAGCTTTGAACAGCTTTTGATCATAGCTTTTAGATACAATATCCATGCCCTGTACTACCTTATAACTAGGACAAAAGCTTTGAACAGCTTGAGAGAACTTTTGATGCTAGAAAATAGAAGGCTAAGTTTCTTTTCTTTAGAAAAAGATGATTTTAGACTTTTAAAAGGCAAGCCAAGCACAACTGAATCGAAAAAACAAGCACATCACAAGCACAGCACAAGCACAGCTGTTGTCTTCACATATCCATTTCTTATGTGAAAACTCGAAAGCTCTTATCGGATCAATTGGTTCGTTAAATGGTTATGAATCAACAAAAGGCTCTAGATATTGCAATTGTCTTTGTATTCACTCAAAAAACAACAAAAACAACAAAAACAAAACACAGAATTTTGGGTAATGAATCAAAATTCGTTTGATGAGCTGTGAACTCAAGATCAAGCTGGATTGAGCTGTTAAATCAAATTTGGAAGAAAAAAAACAATTCTTTCTAGTTGTTAAAGCAGATTGTCAAGAAAAAAACAAACAAATTGAGTCAATCAAGACAAAAAAAATCGAAAAAATTCCCGGCCTTTTGCTCATTTTTCTTTTCCGGTGTGAACTCGACCCTATAACACTGCCTCTCTATCAGTGAGAAAAGAGCAAAAGGAAAAAAGAAAAAAGAAAATCAAGATATTGAACAAAAAAAAGAAAAAGAAATGATCTTTTTGACCAGAAATTGTTTTTTTCTGTTATCGGAGCAAATTCTCCGTCCTTGAAGCTCCGCAGATCAGGGAATTAACAGCTTTGCGGGTGATTGTGGGTAATTCTACAGAAAACTAATCAGCAATAGATTTATTAAACATATATAGATAAATAGTAATCTAAAGTTATCATAAAAGTTTAGATTTCTATGAGAAAGTCACTTCGTCGCTTAATAGGCGCCAAGTTTGGACCCAAACAACTCTTCGTGAAGCTTGAAAGCCATTTTTGTTTCGATTTTTAAACCCAATTCACTTTTTCTTTTTATTAGATCACTATTATAAACCTAGCTCTCTAGTATAAACGCTAAAAAAAAGGATAAAAACTTGATCCGATCAGATCACACTCAAATCCGGTCTCCGCCGCTCTCCTCGAGACGAAAAGCTGCTCCAATTTTCTCGAGCCACAATTTTTCCACTTTCAACGCTAGTCCTTTCTCGAATTTTGTTAAAGCTCTTGCAATCGTTGTATTCAACAATGATATCTTTATTGATTTTTACAGGTTTGTCTCTTTAAAGTTAAAGGAATAGAACTGAATTATTCGATAGTTCAAATTGATTTTCAAATTGATCAAATCAGACTCCATTTGTTCGATTTATGTAATCTATAGATGTGAATAGATTAGATAAGGATGAGATTAGATGATTAGATGATCAAGATCTAAGATGAGTTAGATCTTGATTAACCTAGAACTTTAAATCTTTTACTGTTTAAAGGGTGATAGGTCATAAGATATTCTGTGATCTGTCATCCTATAAATAACCGCAACAATTAAACAAACTTATCCTAGTTCTTCATCGATCTTTACTTTATATTGTTTATATGCTCAAAGCTCAGGCCTTGCCATCTCCCTAACAAACGGCGAAGAAATCCCGCCATGTCCAACCGGATCTCGACCGTTATTGAGAGCCGACGGACAACCGAGGAAATGTCTGCCCCATCGGAATTCCCTTTGTGTCAATGCACTACCCGATAATGTATAATGAACAATCTTTTTTTCGTATTTCTTTTTTCTTTAGCCAAATGCTGACACAGTCTGTTGCTATCACAATCAAGTCGATTATTTTTGTTGCCTTGATGCGAGTGCTGATCAATGTCCCGACTATCATCAGGTTCAAAAGAAAATTGAAACTTAAATCTCAATTTTCTAGGTAACAGCCGTCATCCAGAATCCATTCCCACAAAACCCCTTTGCTCTCAAGTCGTACTTCTTCCGAGAAGGTAAACTATCTTATCTGGATTCTGGTCTAGCTTTACTTTACTAGACTAAATGATCGATAAGCAGATGATTGATCAGTAGATGATCGATATATCGATAAACAGCTTTTATCGAATCTTACAATGCTTCATAAGCCGGTTTCTTGACTGGATTCTAACTTTAGCTAACTTTATGCAGAGTCTGACCTACCGATTCTTAAACCAAACCTAATCTGAGATTCTGTGGCTTGACCTGGCCCGGTTCATCTCTGGTTATATTTTTCTTTGTTATCTTCTCCTAGATTCAAATCGTAACAATTCTCCTTTAGGCATCGAAGACGAGATAATGGAGGGAATGGTCGAGAATAATCAAGTTAACGTCGAAAGGTTGGTAAAAAAGAAAAAAAAAGCTTAAATATGATACTTCATAAAATATATAAGATTAAAAAGCTCTTACATATGCAAATTCACCTCAAATACTAATTGGCAGATGCAAATTGATTTAATAAAGTAGAGTTTAGCCAATTAAGCATTCATTTTAAATTCGGTTGTTCTTCTTAGTACTGTTTATTAGTACTGTTTATTAGTACTGTTTATTCGTACTGTTTGTTACTACTGTTTATTCGTACTGTTTGTTAGTACTGTTTATTAGTACTGTTTGTTAGTACTGTTTATTAGTACTGTTTGTTAGTACTGTTTATTCGTACTGTTTGTTAGTTCTGTTTATTAGTTCTGTTTATTAGTACTGTTTGTTAGTACTGTTTATTAGTTCTGTTTATTAGATCTCTTTATTAGTTCTCTTTATTAGTTTTGTTTATCTTGTTCTGTATCTTCTTAGTTCTCTTAACCTTGTTTATTTATTTACTCAATTTTGGTGCACTTGTTTGATCTCTTAAATCTTATATCAAAAAGTGCTATCTAATTGCTATCTAAACACACTATAAGTTGACAAAGTTCGTTGATTTGCCTTCTATATTTAAAGGATTTATTTTATGAAATGTTTAAAAGCCAAAGTTCAATGAAATAATCGATTTCATCATAAAAAACTGCAAGAATAATTAAAATTTTCGTTTTTTTTGTTACATTTTGTTATGATTCGAGTAATTTGTTTGCATTTAATATTCTTTTTTTTGGTTTTTATGATTCATTTTGTTATATTTCAAGTCCTAAGAACCTTTAAAAAGACAAAAAAACAAAAAATCAAAGCATTTAATCTAAAGAAATCCAATGAGCATTTGAGGTTGCATTTGCATATGTATTGGGTTGGGGAGAATGAGTCGGCGCCGAAAATCAAAAAAATGTCTAAAACTTCAATTCGACTTCGTCAAATAATATGCGTTTGATATGAGTAGAATGGTTAACTAATTCTCTACAAAATCACATTTAAAAGAAAATTCAAACAGCGCCTCCGCTCAAGAAAAAGCCATTTTTTCACAAAAACTACAAACTGTGATCTAGAAAAAACCATTGGTGGGATCTTCCTGCAAATTTGGCAACTTAAGTAATTGAATGTGCTCTATCTTTTTTATATAAACACCAAAGAAGGTTTATGTGAAAGAAACTGTTCAAATGATGAGTCGGACTCTTTGCCATTTTAACCAGCTGCGTTTGGAAGTTCATAAACTCCACGAAAGAAAAGCTTTGTGGAATCTCTCAAAAGTCATTTTGTAGAGAAATAGTGGATCCTTTTGATGAAACCAAACGTATGTTTAAAGAAGGCTTTATGTGTGCAAAAAGTCCCTTTAAAGTTTGGCGCCGACTCATTCTCCCCAACCCAATAAAAGCGTTTTATTTTTCAATCTTAATCCTTTACGACATGAATAAATCAAATGAAATTTCTATAATACGATTTTTCAAACATTTTTCAATCATTTTTCAAGAAACAAATCTATTTCCAGGTCCGGACCTGATAGCGGCTTTATCGTCAGACATGGATCATCCATTTAGGTGATGGACGATAAAACTGGATAGAATAATAATTGCAATTAAATTTAATAACTTTATTGCATAATAAACTGTATGATCATTTAAAAATCATTTGAAAATCATTTGAAAAGCATTTGAAAATTTGAATTTCGGCGTCTCCAAGAAATTTGAAACCCTGATGACTCACATTTTTTGAGTCAACGTCTATTTTCAACTTTTATACAAAACAAACGTCAATCACCCTTTCAAAAAATTTCCGACATATAGAAATTAACTAATTTTTAGACAATTAAACACTTTATGTTTATTTTACCCTGACAATTTTTGTCTTGAACAACTGTTCTATTCTGGAGATGTTTTAGTGTTACCGTATTTTCTCTAATAGTAGTGTACCCAAGCGAGTCGAGTTGATGACTATTTACGGCTTCCAAAGTTTTCCCAGAAGCTCAACACTCTAATCTTCCCTACCCCCCCCCACGATAGTCGATTTCGGGAATTTAGGCGAAGCTTTGGGTGCACTACTATTAGGAAAAATACAGCACCCATTTTTCCCGTGCCATCAAATAAGCTGTATTCAAGGGTTCAGTCACAATATCTTTCTCTTCTAACTAGTCTGTTACAAGTAAACGCATCAAATTTGACTATCATATTCTCTCTAATAGTAGTGCCGAGCCGAGTTGTCGAAAAACCGTATTTTGCTATAGTATGCCCCCGGCGAGCCGAGTTGGTGACGATTTTACCGTTCCAAGCTTTTGCAGAAGCTCAACACTCAAATCCCCCACTAGATCTCATCGTCCCATCTCATCGTCATCTACATTTTCCGACCCCACATCAATAGGTTCTGATAAGCGGTTCTCGAGATTTCAAGGAATTTAGGCGACTCTTTGGGTACACTACTAGAGAAAATACGGTTTCTGTCTGAAATTAGATAAGAAATTTGGTGTTTGACTTCCTTTAGGCGTACTTTGTTACTTTAAAATGGAAACGCATCCCATTTGGCGTAGTTCACCCTTTGTTGTTCTTTAGTTTTAGTATAAATTAGTGAGGTTTCTCTTGCGTTTTTTGAAAGATGTCAAAAATTATCGTATTCTTGTTTCTAGTTATATCAAATCAATCTACTTTTAGTTTGATTCTGTTTAAGAAGATCTAAAAAGTAAGTAAATTGGATAAAACTAAAGAGATTACAATAGCTTTCGAAAGCTGGCATTTTAGAATTTTAGAATACGATAAGATACCAGAAGACTATGATATCAGAAGCTTTGTGTTTTCAAAAGTTGAAGTTGAAAAGGGCTTTAGTCAAGAACAAGCCAATAGCTTGAACAAACCAATGACAAATCAACAAACCAACAAACCAAGCTTGAATAAAACTTGAGCTAAATTACGATAGTGTTTTAGACAACTTTGAAAGTGTCAGACCTTTTCCCCATCTTTCCCGGAATCAAAAGCTTTTCAGTGTTGTCTCAATTTAGAGATGACTAATAAAAGAATTATCAAATAAAAACTGTTTACGCAGGTTTTCTCAGATTTTCCTCAATGATTTTTCCTTTTTCCAACCTTTGCAAGACATTTTTTGAGATTCTTAAGAGCTTATCTCAAAAATGAGTCATTGATAAGGTTTTAGAAGCGTTAAAATGGGAAATTTTTCTTTATATAACCGAGAACTATAACGATAGTTGATCTAGTTGAGTCCGAGTTTTTAAAAATTCAAATTTGACTTGGATTTAGTTTGAATACTTGAAAATTCTTGAAAATTCTTGAAACTTTTTGTTCATTCATCCATTCTCAAGATGTTTTATGCTTTCGATAAGAAATTTATGTTCGTTTCCTTTTCTTTTTTATTCTTTTGCATTCAGAGATCTCGGTGATTAACTTTTGCTCATGAGATTGTTTCTTGATTTAGAATTTGAGCATATTTAAATGCTCTAAGGGATCTTTAGATAATTCTATCAAGCTTTCAGTTTATAACCTTTCAGCTTATCAAGCTTCCAGCTATCAAGCTTTCAGCTATCAAGCTTTCAATTTATAACCTTTCTATAAGTAAACTAGACGAAGCTTGGGAATTTTTTGAAAAAGAAAATGATCAAGCTTGGTCATGTTTGACTCATTTAAATCAACATTTACCCTTTTTGCTTTAAATCTTTTCGGCTTACCGAGAGTTAAGACCGATTACTCGCCCACCCCTTCCAAGCTTCGCATAGCCAACTGGCTAAGAGCCTTGCATCTGAGTCGAGAGGTCGAGGGTTCATTCCCGCATTATTGATTCTCTTTAGGTTTTGTTTTCTTCTCTACATTTAGAGCTTAGGCATTTTTGTTCGATATTGTTTGTACCACATTATTCGTGTGCATAAATGTATTTAAGTGGAGAAATCGGCCGGCCAATTTATTTAAATCTGAAAGTTTGACATGCCGATATGTCTCGTTAAGCCTTTCTTTTAAGGCTACTTTTAAGTATCAACTTTTAGTCGTGTTTTCTTTGTTTTATAGAAAGTTTCTCAAAGCCGACCCTTGTCTTCCCTTGAACATCGTTTTCTTGACTCACTGACTCTCGTCCTAACTTACTCATTGACTTTCATAGACAGAAACGAGTTCTCAAAATGAGTCCCAATGGACGATCTAATGGACTGAAAAGAATCGACCAAAGACAAATTTTTTGTTAAAGTCATTTAAAGCTCTATTTTCTTTATCTTCTTCTGTGGTTCTTTATCTTTATCTTCTCTTTCCGAGTTCTTGCATTTATGAACTTAGTTAGAGGATGAGTTCTTATGTATTATAGAGCAATAGAAAAGACCAATTGAAAAGACCCTGGGTGTTGAAGCTGTGGGCGGGTATTTAACCGGGTTTTACGGGCATTTAACCTGAACGGGCGAAGAATTTTTCATTCGTCATATTTAGCCGCAAAGCTTGTTTTGCGTTCCAGCACAAAGTTTTGAGCGCTAAATTTATTTGAATTGACTATAATTGTAAATGGAGCACAAAAGCACCTTAAAATAGCTTAAAATCCCTTGCTGCCATAGAAGCACTTCTGCGATGGCGACTGCTGATCGGACGATGGCCGATGACGGGGAAACGAGCGAGGAAAACGTCGGCTTAAGGCTTCAATCTTCGACAGGTCAGTTTAGCTTTTCCATTTTAATTCTAGAGTCAAAGCCTTTGGATCTAAATTAAAATGGAAAAGATTGAAAAGATTGAAATGATCGAAGATTGAAAAGATTGAAAAGATTGAAAAGTTGCAAGAGAACCTTTTCAAGTTACCCGCGAGCTCCAATATGAGGCCTGAAAATGTACGTTCAGAAACTGTTTTTTTAAAAACCGCTAATCGGCAAAGCGCACAAAGTTACAGCCATTTGAATTTCAAAAAAAGCAAAAAAGTTTGCCTGCTAGTGGATCCAAAACAAGACGAAACAAAAAGTTTTAGTCAATTTTGACTTGATTATTTAAAATATTAGTTTAAATGACAATGGCATTGTTTGAATTGATAATTTTAGCTATTCTTTTTCTCTATTTCATATTCATTCATTTCATATTCATTCATTTCATATTTCCATTCATTACTCTACATTACAAAGCTTTGTACATTAGTTTTCTATCGCCGATCATTCTTGGCCTTCACTAAGCACAACAAAAGTGATAGAGAGCCGAGCCGAGCCGAGCGCCAAGCACAATGACGCTATTTGTTCCTAAAATGGGGGAAAAACAAACAGTTTCTTTACCGGAGTTGAGTTGTTGGGTGATGGGGAATTGCCCTTGTGAAAACATTTCCCCGATGGAGTGCCCTGCTCCCTCCACATCCACCCCACACTCTTCACCCCTTCACATCTCCATCTCGAAAAGAGAGTCACTATCAAACACAACCCTTGCCTGTCTCTTCTTCTTTTCCTTTCCCTTTGCTTTCCCTTTGCTTTCCCCTTTTCACCCTTCACAACCCTTTCCCCTTTCCTTTCCCCCACCATTCCCCAACATCCCTCCTCCCCATTTCCCTTGCCTTATTGCTAGAGTCGCCCTTCTTCCTTTGCTTCTTCCGCGCCTTCTTCCTTGCCCACTTCCTTGCATTCCTTGCTCTCTTCCTTGCCTTCTTCTTTTTTGTTATCCTTTTCTAACTTATTCTTATCCTTTTCTTAAATCTCCTATTTTACAACGTTACTTTATTGCACTTTTTTTGTAATTCATTTAATCATTTGTATTGTTGTACTTTATTTAATCAATGAAATTCACATCTAAGCTTGTTTAAATCAAATTTTTCTTTGCTTAAACTATTCTACTTTTTATTATCTCTTATTTAGATTGAAACATATTTTTTTTCTTTCCATAACAAAGGCCAGACCATCGACGAAATCTGGCTACATTTTATGGAACCGCGGTCAATCAAAGTACCATGGACGATCACTTTTATACTCAATTTCATATTCTTGGTGAGTGATTAGTTTATAGATTTTATTTAAATATCGATTCTATTATGAAATATACGATATTTAGATAGATTTGTGATCTCTGAAATCAATGCTTTTTTAGCCTCAAATTTTACATTGAAAACCCACCACTTTTTGCTCGTTTTTGATCTGATTTTAGAGCTGAATAGCTGAATATTTTTAAGTTATTACCTGAATAGCTGAATATCTTTCTCTATTGAGTCCATTTACAAAAAAAATTTAGCTTATTTAAAAGGATTCAGCTGTCCGTCAAAATCATCAAATCTTTCAGCTTCAAAATTCTCGATACTTTAATAGCTCGATACCAATTGAATATCTCAATCTAATAAGCTATAAAATGCTGTATCGTTTATGCAAATTATTGTCGAAAAATTTCGAAAAATATTGAACGATGTTTTCCATAGAAATTCGATCTTTCTCTCTCTTCTTTAATCGACTATAAACCAGTGAAAATATCATTCAAGGAGAGGTTCGACTCCACAGAGTTTTTGAGAGAGTCCAATAGTCTGTAGATGTAGATGATCTTGATCTTGAAGCTCTAGTGGATCCTTGACGTTATCTGTGCTACCCAGCATCTGTGCTACCCAGCATCTGTGCTACCCAGCATCTGTGCTACCCAGCATCTGTGCTACCCAGCATCTGTGCTACCCAGCATCTGTGCTACCCAGCATCTGTGCTACCCAGCATCTGTGCTACCCAGCATCTGTGCTACCCAGCATCTGTGCTACGTTACAGATATTATATCGTGTTTCTTTTTAATCGACCCTTTTCGTGTTATGTGTATGAATTGATGTGTTTTAATCTTAAATCTAGCGCACTTTATCTCAGGTCCAGAGACCTCAGACCTGAGCTCTCAGGTCTATAAACCAGTGAAAATATCATTCTAAAAACATATTCAGTATCTATATTCAAAAAAACATATTCAGTAAACAAAAACTAATCCCCTCATTTTGACCAAACCAAAAAAAAACCTTTCCCAGTTAAAAATCCGTTTTTTTTTTTCTGAAATTTTTTCATCCCCTTTCCCAGCCAATTTTTTTTACAAGAATAAGCCCAAAATTGGCACCGTTTCACATTGATTTTCCTTCTTTTTTCATTCTTCTTTCATTCTTTTTCTTTTTCTTTTCTATTTTCTCTCTTCAAAATCTCCCTTCCGCATTGAAATTCTCTTCAAATTCTTTGTCTTTTTTTCCCCGAGATCCTTTTCAACAACAACAACGACATTTTTGATGAACTTGACCAAGAATCATAGGGTTACTTTTAGAGAAAATTACTTTTAATTATTGAAAATGAGCACGGGACCTGTTACCAGTTATTAAACCAGTTATTTCTTTTGGTGAAAACTTCAATAAATAACTTAAAATTGTGCTGAAACACTGAAAAACTTTATGCTCAAAAATGCAAGCTTTTCTGGCGCACGAGATTTCCCATAAAAACTGCAAAATTGAGTGTGTTTACAAATAAAAAACATTGCAAACTAAACAAAGGCTTGCTAGGAATTGTGCGTTTACACTTTTTTAAGCACAAAATACTAGAAAATCTATAGTAAAACTATAGATTTTCTATAGTAATCTATAGATCTATAGAAACTATAGTATTCTATAGTTTCTATAGTTTCTATAGATCTATAGAAACTATAGTATTCTATAGTTTCTATAGTAATCTATAGTAATCTATAGTAAAACCCAATTCCTCTTTTCAAATTCAATTCCTTTTCCCCCCAAATCCGATAAAACGAACAAAAAAAAATCGAGTAAATGAAGAAAATTCCATTTAAACAATTCTCTCTTTTCCATTTTCTCTATCACTTTTTTTCCCAACAAAGGTCATTTCCTTCGTTTATCGATTGGTTTCAGGCTTTTTTTTCTTCAAAAACAACTCCAATCTTCTTCAATTTCTCTGGAAATCCCTGAAAATTACGATCCGATTTCGTTTTGATAAGGATAATCTCAAATGGGAATTTATGAAACATCCTTTTCTTTTATGTTTTCTGGGAAAATGAAAACAAAAAAAAGTGTATCGAATTCTCGAAAAGTGTAAAATCAACATAAATCTGAGTCAGCAAAACAAGCAAAATGTGTAAATTCCTGAAGATCAGAAATGTTTAGAGTCACGAATCGAACCAGTAAACAGAACAGAACTCTATAAATAAATTTTTTTGTTTAACATTTTACCGATTTAAATCTGTATATCTATGGAGAATTTAAATGACAAAAATACTCTCAAATTCAATTGCAATTCAAAAGAAGTGGCGGGGGTCGAACCCAGTTGGGTCGCCTCGTTCGCCTCGTAGCCGAGCACCTTACCAGTCGGCCAAGGGTAACGCTGTAAATAAACTGGAGACACAAAAGAAAACACGAAATTTTTCCAGATTGGTTCCCTTCTTTTAATGGTGATGGCCGTTGTGGCCGCCGTCAATCCACCACAAAGCGATATCAGTCCAAAAAGGGTCAATGAGTATCCACAGGTTTGTCTTTTTCTTTTGTTTAAAGTTAAAATCTCTTAGAACTAAACCATCTATCCTTTAATGTTTCTTTAAATTCATCCTCTTTAAATAAAAACTCATCCTCTTTAAATATAAACTCTTCCTCTTTAGCTAGAAACTCATCCTCCTTAAATAGAAATTCATCCTCTTTAAATAGAAATACATCCTCTTTAGCTAGAAACTCATCCTCTTTAAATAGAAACTCATCCTCCTTAAATAGAAACTCTTCCTCTTTAAATATAAACTCTTCCTCTTTAGATAGAAACTCATCCTCTTTAAATAGAAACTCTTCCTCTTTAAATAGAAACTCATCCTCTTTAAATAGAAACTCTTCCTCTTTAAATAGAAACTCTTCCTCTTTAAATATAAACTCTTCCTCTTTAAATAGAAACTCTTCCTCTTTAAATATAAACTCTTCCTCTTTAAATACAAACTCATCCTCTTTAACTAGAAACTCATCCTCCCCTCGTGTACTCAAAGTTTCCATTTTCCAGCCTGGTTATCTCTAGAAAATGTGAATGCATTAGAATGATTTTGTTTACAGATTTAAGTACAAAGTATATATAGAGAAAAACTAGAGCTTGTTCTAGAGTCTTGTTCACTTGTTCTCTATCTCATCAATATCCAGTCGTTCAAGAACTCCATTCTTTTCATCACCAAAACAATAACACTCTTTTTTTGTTGTCTTTTTTCGGAAGCTTTTTACCCATTCATAACCATATCAATCAGTCAATAGAGAAGAAATCTAATGAATATTCAGCCATCTCTATCCTTTTTTTTCTCATTTATTTCCTCGAAGACAAGAGTGAGAATTGCTAAATAAAGCAAGAAAGATTCTGGAAAAGAAAAGGAAATAAAAATTTGTTTCAATCAAAAGAAATGAATCTATCTTTGGAGAGAATCTTTGAGAAATGAATCTATCTTTGAGAATAAGAAATTAGCCTTGTCAAAAATCGAATTAGCTTTACTTAGTCTGAATTTTGGGTTCCTGTAACAACATTTATCATTAAGCTTATCACCTTTGCTTGGAGTTAAGCTTACCTTATCACATTTGCTTGGAGTTAAGCTTACCTTATCACCTTTGCTTGGTGATAAGCTTACCTTATCACCTATCACCTAAACATTTTCACGCATAGCTCAGCTTTGAAACACAGAATAAGTACCCTACTTTACCAAAAACAAATCAACTAAAAAGCAAATACTTATTGGATAAGTACTTGTCTATTTTTCTTACTTGTTTTACTATTACCTTGTTATAAAGTACTTGTTTTTGAAAGTACCATTTGAAAGTACATCGAGAAAGCCTAAGCCGGTTATTAACATTTTTTATTAATAACCGGCTCAACTCTGAACTCAAAAATGATCTGAAAATTTAATAGCAGTTTCCTTGACCCTCAACTTGAAACATAATTAAATATCATTCAATTTTAAACTCAAGAATTATCTCTATATTCATTTACAACCTTTGCAACTTATTAAAATTTAAAAAAGTAATTAAAAGAAGCCACTTTACTCTCATTTTAATAGAAATTATTAGTTTTCAAGATTTTCTTTAAAGATTTTATAATAATTACAATATTACAGTATTATTTTAAATATTATAATAAGTATTATTCTAAATATTACAATACCGTAAATACTGTAATAGTACCCCACCCCGCGAACTCTCTTTAACCTTTCAACTGGTTATGCTACAATGCGAGGTACAAAAATAGCTGCAGGCTATTTGCCAAGACCTTTAAGTAGGGTGCTTTGAAAAAATGAAATACTAAAAAACTTTTTGACTACGCGACTGTACGAGGGGGTGGGGTACAAGTATTAGGTAGTATGCTAAATATTACAATAAATATTATTCTAAAATCCCTCCAAACCAATCAAACTTTAAACTCTTTAAATTATTAGATTGTCCGAAATGAAAATACCCCTTTTAATGAAAAACAATCTCCACAAAAAGAAAACAATGCGCTTTAATCCAAAAGATATTCTCCGTTGTTGGCAATAGTCTTTCTCCATTTTTCTTTCAAAACTCGGATCCCTTTGCTGAGATCTGAGGAAGAAATCCTGAGGCTGCGAGTCGAAGTATTGGCCTACCCAAATTCGGACTACTGGACACTTTTTCCTTGCTTTTAACTTACCTTTTCCTTCCTTTTTCCTTCCTTTTTCCTCGTAGAGCAAGCACACCCGACTTCGGCACTTCTGATCTTCCATTCTTAAATTCCAAGGCAAAATTATAAAGCAGTAAATTTTTATAAAAACATAGAATTAGAAAAGAAATATAACTTTAAAACAAAACAAAAATCAAAAAAACTCTTCGCTACACGGGAAAAATTGCAATCGAAGTTGAGGGTATTTTCTTTTTCTTTTTCTTTCTTTCATTTTCTAATAGTTCAAATCAAAATCAAGCATTGGGGTGTGATAAGAACTACTTTTCTTAGCTTAGCTCTTAGCTCACAATCAATTCTTAAACTTTCAAACATAATAAAGTATTGGTATCAATTTTGTAAATAAAAAGAGATGGGAAAAGATACGTGGGACTTTTCTCCCTCTTTCCCTCTTTCAACCGCTCCCTTCAACCACTCTTCTATCGGCCGATAGCTGTGGGATCCCCAAATTGGTTTCACTTGCTCATTCCCTTTTCCTTTTTCTTTCTTTCTCTTTTCCATTTCTCATCTCAATCATTTCCATCCCAGGAAGCTGAAATTGAATAATATGTCTTCTATTGGCCATCCACCCACAGCCTTGGAAAAAAAAAGAGCTCGATTCGATAAAATTACTATTTTTTTTCATATCTGAAACAAGAAATGCCAAGAAATGGAGGAAATACAAAATTTCCTTAAATATTGCATTTTATAAGCAAATTTTGACTGTTAGTGAGACTTTTCTTAGCTCAATTAAATTAAAATCACAATCAATTCTTAAACTTTCAAACATAATAAAGTATTAGTATGAATTTTGTAAATAAAAAGAGATGGGAAAAGATACGTGGGACTATAGTGAGATCAACAGCTTGGTGAATCACTTCACAGCTTGGTGAATCACTTCAGAGCTCGGTGAATCACTTCATAGCTTCGTGAATCACTTCACAGCTTCGTGGATCCTTTCATAAACCAGTTTTCTAAATATAAAGCCTATATCGTAAAAATAAAAGCTGAAATATCTAATAAAATATAGTAAATAGTATACAGTTTCATTCTATTCTTTAAAAAATGACATTAAAGTAATTGTGTTGGCTGAGAAAGCTGATGTGTGTTGATGATTGTGTTGCTGTGTGTCTTGCTAACTGGTTACCCATCAAGGATTTCCAGGAACATAGGTCAAAAGAGCAATAACAACAAAGCAAATCAACTACAATAGAAACTTTAATATAACTTTAATATAACCATTAAAGATATCAGTTACTACAATACAGCGATGAATCTAAAATCCTGATTCCAGTATCTTCTGACAATCTGCTTGTTAGCTCTCTTCGCGTGGTGTCTCTTCTCCCTCCATTTTCTTGGAGTCATCGCCACAGCAATTCGGAACTCATTTCTTCTTTCTGTGGTAAGAATTTGGTGACTTTAGTGAGTTTTGTGATCAAAGTTTATCTGGATAAAGATATGAAGATATCAAATAAGTCTATCCAGTCTATCTAAATCTGGCTATCTGCTAGATTTGCGGTTTTTTTTTTGGCTTAAACAAATATACTTAAAATCCCTATAATTTCAGTTCATCCTCTGTCAAATCGCTCAACTCGTGGCACAATTTGTAATGATTGCTTTCACTTTGACGGTTAGAACAAGGGTTGGTTCTTTATATCTTTATAATTCTTTATATCTTTATAGTTCTTTGTAGTTCTTTATAGTTACTTGATTGAAATGAAATGTCAGTTGTCGTTTTTTTTTATGAAACTATTGGGCTGATGAATTGAAAACTGCGGGACTTTGAACTAAAATTTATTCAAAATAAAACCATGAATTCATTCGAAATAATTTCCATTATTATTTCTGACTTCTGCCCATTTTACAGGCAATTTGCGGATTCCTCTTTCGTAGTAGGATTTTGGTTTTGAATCGAAAAACTTTCAAAGCCAATTTTTGACTGCTTCTTCCGAATCGAAGTGTTCTTCCGCAAGCTCATTACTCATGACCCGGAATAAATAGTAATCAAAAGGGGCGAGGTCCGGACTGTATGGGGATTGTCGCCAAAAGTTCCCAAACAAGGCTATTTATTTTAGAGCGAGTCAGTTTTGCAACATGAGGGTGCGCGTTGTCGTGGGTGACATAAAAATCCAACATAAAACCATGAACTCATTCGAAATAATTTCCATTATTATTTCTGACTTCTGCCCATTTTACAGGCAATTTGCGGATTCCTCTTTCTTCGTAGGATTTTGGTTTGTGTGTGAGACAAGTGTGAGACTCAAAAATCGAGGACTGGAGATGTCCCAGTTTGAGCATTTGAGCACTTTCTTCAGAAGAAACCCATTTTGGTGTCAATGGAAAAGTTGTAGAGAATCAAAAATTAGGCTTATAGCCAAATTTCCAAAAAGATACACTTAGTAGTTTCGCTTAAAATGCAAGTTTTGTGAAAATTCATAAATTTGGCATTTCTTGAAAGCCAGTTTTTGAATCGTTCTGTAAATTTGGATATAAGCTTGATTTTTGATTCTCTACAACTTTTTCATTGACACCAAAATGGGTTTCTTTTGAAGAAAGTGTGAGAACTGTCACTTATGACAATAGCCCGCAGTTTTCAATTCACCAACCCAATATTAAACTTATTGAACTAAAGCTCAAGCTGTTTCTTTTTTGATCTGAATCTCACCATGCCTTCCAATTCGATAGAATAGATATAACTTACTCATAAACCTTTCAGTTACACTCTCGTTTGGAGGAGACGTGGAGAGGATTGAAGAAATGCAACGAGTTGACACCGTGTGATCCAGTGAAACGCTTTCAAAACTCCGAAACTCTGCTCATAGCTTTCTTCTCGGTTTGCACTGTGTTGCAGGTAAATTTTCGTTCTTAAAGTGTTTCTTAAAGTGTTTTCTGGGCTCAATTCTTGTCCACACCCTTTCTGACACTCAACTCAGCTCTACTTCCGTTCTTGGTGGTGTGCTGGATGAATTTTAAATAAAACTTTAAATAAAATTAAATAAAATTCATTTTCAGCTTGCTCTGCTCATCGCAAGCAGTGTTCTGTGCGAGAGAATGTCGTACGCCGAAAGCCTCAATGCACAAAAACAACGCGAAAAAGAAGAGGATGAGGATATTCTCTTCCCGCATGATCAGCAAACACAAACCGATCCCTTTCCAGGCACTATGCCATCACAAGCATGATCACAATTGATCGACTTGAACCAATCTATGAACCAATCTCTACCAATCTCTGAACCAATATATGAACCAATCTATGAACCAGTCTTTGTACATAGTCACGAGTCAACTAGCCCAAGATCAGTCTCATTTTCTAAAAGATGGGAAAGTACTTAGTAATTACTTTAGGCTCAATTCGATACTTACTTAAGATTTCATTCGATGAGGAATCAAACTGGAGTTGAATGAGATCGTAGAGTGGAGAAAGGAAAGACTGAAGCTGCAGGAAAGACTGAAGCTGAAGGAAAGGCTGAAGCTGAGGGAAAGACTGAAGCTGAAGGAAAGACCGAAGCTGAAGGAAAGACTACGGTAGTCTTTCAAATTTCGTTAGCTTTTAGAAATCCCAAATCCTCAACCCTTTAGCTACCGCAATCCTTTACATTTTGTCCGATTTACTCAATCATTCGATAAGGAATCAATCAAAATCCGATTACGGTAGCTTCCCTCAAACTATTCACCTTTTAGAAACTATTGAAATTCTCAAAACAACAACTTATCGTACTACTTATACCCTATTTATAGCCACCATTATTCCACTAGATTTCACTCACGATCACCGTAATTTGTGTCCCTTTTTTGCAGCTACTGCTTAAGCTAAACGTGTACAATTTCTTCTGTGGTTTCCATTCTTTTTTGTTTGCCTTACTCCAAATCTTGCTCTATTTTTGCTAAATTGCTAATTGTTAAAAATTCTATAGATCGAAAGATCGAAACTATTACTGTACCCATTTTATGTAAATTCCTCAACACCAAACAAGTACCCTGGTCTACAATTCTACAATTCTTACTAGAGTGTGTCCCTTGCGAGTTTTTCTAAAAAGACGTTTTCTAAAACGCATACTTGGCAAAAATTACCCCACTTTTGGCGAAAATATCACGAGCGCTGGGTTATATACGTTTTCTTTTCAAGATATTCAGCTTTTTAACTGATTTGGTGGGAAATTCTCTTCAAATTTAAAGATATTCAATTTACTCGACGTGTAAAGAGGATTACCTCGTAGTTACTCGACCAAAAAACGTCGATTAATCGAGTAAAACTTCGACTTAAACTACGCACAGTAGTTTGATGCTAATTTCGTTGATCAATAAGCCAGTTATCACCGACAAGTACCCAGTAAACAATCGTCATTTCAATCGATTGTTCGACTAATCGACTCGTACCCAAATCCCAAACTTGTATCCAATTTTTTGCTCTCTTTTCGATTAAAAATTAAATCCTTATTAGCAAATGAGCTAACCCTACTGTAATCCAGAAAATTTATATGCAAATTGTAAATGTAAATGCAAATTTCTTTCTCCTACTTCTCCTGCTCACCACCAAACGAAGCACATTGCCCTCCGCCCCACTCCCGTCCCCCCTTTTCACTTAAAAGACTTTTTTTACATTCTATTTATGATATCATAATTCTCAATCATAATAATCACTAAAATTCTTCATAATTCACCAACTTATTATCTTATTATCTAGTTCTTTTTCCTGTGAAACATTCTACAAATTGCCGGTGTTTTTTTTTTGCCTTTAAGTGCCTTTAATTTGTTGAATTTTTAAAGAAAATAAATAAAATTTGAAAAAAAATACAATGAAATACAGCAAAACATCAAAATAAAGCTTTGGTTTGAGAAATCGGAGTTAACCAAGTGTACACAAATATTAGAAAGAGTGACAAAGAAGAGATGCTCTTGAAAAGAACATCAAGAAATCAAGAAATCAACATCTACAGTCTACTTCAAAGTATTTCTTTTCAAAAAAAATGACAAATTCATTAATTAAAATATAGTTTTACTCTAAATAAAGTGTTTATTGTTCGATTTCCCATCTTTTTAAGCAATTTTGATTCACTTACAAACAAATTCGAGAGAGAAAATCATGAAAAAAAATCTATAAAAACATCTACGAAGGAATTGGCCGAATGAATTTTGCTGAAAATTAGGCTATTTACTAAACTTTTCATGCTATATCTTTTATCTATTGACCTGAAGATAGGTTTCCTTACCGTAATACCTCTAATAGCATCCCCCCCATAATGACGCGTAGTCTAACTTTAAACGCATTTTTCTCGCCACCTGTTTATGCTACAGCGTGTGCTTAATTCCCAAATAAAAGCTGAAATTCAGGGCTATTTTTTGATACTTATATTATTATATTTTTGAAATTTATTTTATTTTTGAATAAATTTTGCTGAAATACTTTCTATTCTATTATATATTAGGTTGATGCAAAAGTCTTTTTCATTTTTTTCGTACTTCTTTTGAAAAATAACAAAGTCATCAATTAACCTATGGTTTCCTCTAAATGAAAAGTGTTTATTGTTGAATTTCCCATCTTTTTAAGTCAATTTGGGTTCACTTTCAAGCAAATTCGAGAGTGAAAACGCGTTTTTCATAAAAATCTATAAAAACCTCTATAAAGAAATTGGCTGAATCAATTTCTCTGAAAATCTGAAAAAATATCGAACTTTTTGTGCTCTATCTTTTATTTATTAACATCAAGATTGGTTTCCTTAGCTAAAGCGTCTAAAATGCATCATCGAGCCGTCGCCTTTTTTGACTACCCGACTTCAGGCTCTCAAAAGACATTTTAAACTCGTTTTAATGTCATTTTGCAGAAAAATAATTGGCCTTTCGAATGCAATAAACCGTTGTTCAATTCGTGCATTTGTTACTTTTTAACGGAAGTACGAAAAAAATGAAAAAGACTTTTGCATCAACCTAATATTTTGCATCTAAGGCTATATACTAAACTTTTGATGCTCTATCTTTTATCTATTGACACGAAGATAGGTTTCTTTAGTTAAAATGTCTAAAATGTCCTTAACATCATCGAGTCGTTACCCTTTTTGACTACTCGACTTCAAGCTCCCAAAAAATGCCAGAAATAAGACATTTAAAACCCGTTTTAATGTTATTTTGCAGAAAAATAATTGGTCTTTTTAATGAAACAAACCGTAGTTCAATTGATACACTTATCGTGAAACTTGTCATCGAATTTTCAAATAATTGTATTGGGTTGGGGAGAATGAGTCGGCGCCGAAAATCAAAAAAATGTCTAAAACTTCTAGCAGACTTTGTCAAATGATATGCGTTTGATATCCGTAGAAGGGTAACTAATTCTCTACAAAATAATATTTAAAAGAAAATTCAAACAGCGCCTCCGCTCAAGAAAAAGCCATTTTTTCACAAAAACTACAAACTGTGATCTAGAAAAAACCATTGGTGGGATCTTCCTGCAAATTTGGCAACTTAAGTAATTGAATGTGCTCTATCTTTTTTATATAAACACCAAAGAAGGTTTATGTGAAAGAAACTGTTCAAATGATGAGTCGGACTCTTTGCCATTTTGACTAGCTGTGTTTGGGAGTCCATAAACTCCACGAAAGAAAAGCTTTGTGGAATCTCTCAAAAGTCATTTTGTAGAGAAATAGTGGATCCTTTTGATGAAACCAAACGTATGTTTAAAGAAGGCTTTATGTGTGCAAAAAGTCCCTTTAAAGTTTGGCGCCGACTCATTCTCCCCAACCCAATAATTATAGCCAGTTTCTCGATCAACTCTTCGAGTATCGGTGTCTGTCGATGCAATTGTTAATCCAAGAAAGACTACAGCTTATCGGGTTCATTCATTACATGATGTCTAAAGTTTAAATTAATTCTAGAATGTTAATTTGTAGTATCATACAGTTGAATTTTATCATTTTTTCCTCTGTTTTTAAGCTCATTTCACTTACAGATTTGACATTTTCAAATCATTTGAATCACTTTCAATTTGAATTTGAATCACTTTCAATTTGAAAAAACTTGAAATCCAATCCTCTTTCCAGTAATGGAACAATATTTGTTTGAAATAAAATTTCAAACAAAAACGACAAATAGGGAAAGGGAAAAGCAAAGAATAGGTAAAGAATAAGCAAAGAATCAGCAAAAAAACGTTCCAAACAATATTTACAATAAATTTTGGGTTTATTTGAACTAGAGAATTCACTGGGAGAACATAGAAAACTAGAGAATTCACTGGGAGAACATTTTTAATTCTTTTTTGACTTCAAGAACCCAAATTTTTCATTCAAATCACGGAATTTTGATGTCCGAATTGGGAAAAACAAGTTCTTTTGACAAAAATTTCTTGAAAACTTTATCCAATTGCTTTGATTTTATGGACTTTTTGATCATTTTCTTTGATTTTTTTCATTCTTTACTTCTTTTTTGGAGTCTAAAGGTGTTAAACTGTCCCGCTAATCCCTAAAAATGATAACATTTCGCACACATTTTTTTCGATTTTTCTATGTGAGAATCTTTTTTATTGGATTTGTTTTATTGAGCTGAAACGAATTTCAATCTTTCATTCTATTTTTAGCTTTACCTTTACAATCTTATATCAAAAGCTTAGTGTTGAGCTCCTGCTCATTGCTCAAAAATCTTCTGTGCGTCCTCTTCTTTCAGCTACCAGAAAAAAGGCTTCTGGCCTTCAAGCCTACCACTTTTTTTAGTTTAATTATTAAAGTTTTTGGGAAAACTTTGGCTTTACAAGGAGGTGTTCAAGAACTGCTCAAGAACTGACTCACAAGTAAGATTCCAAAGGGAAATCTTCTGGATCCTAGCCTTTGTCTTGGCTTGACCTGCCTGCAGAACTGTGCTGGCTCTACTGCAGATCTGACGCACTATAGATCAATAGTTATATGTTGACTCACTGCAGATCTATAGTCATCTGTCCCTGGGTTCAAAAGATAGATCTGGATTTTGAACCTAGCCTTTGTCTTGAGCCTGAGCCTAAGCCTGGGCCTGAGCCTGAGCCTGAGCCTGAGCCTGAGCTTCTAGCTAGCCCAGAAATAGACTAGGCTAGGCCAGAGCAAGTAATTCTTGGATCCTGTGATTTGTCGAACTGAATCTCGATCCATCCACTCACCACCACTGACTCAATCACTCACAAATCCATCTAACAATGTGCACTCATCGATCTACAATACGCAATTTGTGGATGTATGTGGGGGATGAAAAGATACATGTTTGTTTTGTCCACTCTCGAGATTTCCTTACCCTTTACATGAAGCACTCTAATCAACGCTCTCCATCAAACCCAACCCTCAAATCTCTTTGATCTCTTTTTATCAACAGAAATCTCAACAATTTCGAAGCGAAACCAGAAAGTTTTCTCTTTGATCTGAAGATTTCAAAAGCTGACCTCTCCAAAATGAGATTTTGGTGCAGAATCAAAGAGATTTTAGCCTATTTTAGGTGTTTCTTTATTATTCAAGTATTCAACTCGAGTCGAGATCAAAGCTCAAGAAGACTTTCAGTCAAATTTGTAACCAAATTTACCTTAACCAGCTTCAGCTTCAGCTTTTCTGCTTGCTAAACTGTTTGAATTCAACTTTGGTTCAACGATTTCGCGTAAAATCATTCACAATCCGTTCAAAAGCCTATCATATGTGTACTGAAATACTTTGACTGGATTTTAACTACATTTTGACTCTTCATTTTGAACTATCGTATTCTCTATAATAGTAGTGTACCCAAGCGAGCCGAGTTGGTGACTATTTTACGGTTTCGAAGCTTTTGCAGAAGCTCAACACTCAAATCATTGTCAAGATCTCATCGTCAGCTACATTTTCCGACCCCACATCGATAGGTTCTGATAAGTGGTTCTCGAGATTTCGACCAATTTGGGCGACGCTTAGGGTGCACTACTATTAGGGAAAATACAGCACCCATTGTTTTCCGTGACATTAAATAAGCTGTATTCAAGGGTTCAGTCACAATATCCTTCCCTCCTAACTAGTCTGTTCCAAGTAAACGCATCAAATTTGACTATCGTATTCTCTCTAATAGTAGTGCCAAGCCGAGTTAATGCCTATTTTATGGTTTCCAAGTTTGTCACAGAAGCTCAACACTCAAATCATTGTCAAGATCTCATCGTCAGCTACATTTTCCGACCCCACATCGATAGGTTCTGATAAGCGGTTCTCGAGATTTCGAGGAATTTAGGCGACGCTCAGGGTGCCCTATAGACAAGTCCATTTTCGAGTTTTGGCGACCGGATCGGGTCAGCGCGTCGGGTCAAGCCAAAATTTTTTTGCCCGATTTTGACCCAACCCGATCCGACCCGATGCCCGTGTCTAGTGTACTACTATTAGAGAAAATAAATTCAATTTGAATAGTTCTACTATCTTCATACAATTACTTTCAATTGTCAAATCCATTTCCGAAAATAGAATTTGCAACTCACCTAGCTCTTATTTTTCATTTTCAAAGAAATTCTGTTTCTGTTTCTCTTCTGATGCTGTACTTTTAAAACCCACCTCTTCACACGTATTTAACGTATTGAGAAGTTGTGTGGGAGGTAAAAAGCCGATTGTCTCCTTTGCCGATTGTCTCCCCGAGACTCCTTTCCAGGGGTGAATCGAGTGATTAAAAACGAAAAAAATACACTCTTTATTTGAGTTTCTTCCCAGAATTATCTCATTTAAAGCTTTGTTAGATTCTTGTGAACTTTTAGAGAAGCCGATCTAGACTGATCGGACGTCCTATTTGATCCTAGATCGGACGTTTGACCTCACTTCATTCTATATCGGATGTCCGATCTAGAATGAAGCGAGGTTCAATTCTCCTTCCAAATTCTTTGTCATTTATTTCTTTACTTACATTGTACTCTCTAGTGTACTCTTAGTGAGAAGCTAGTCTCTAATTGCCTTGATCTGCCTGGATTTCTTTTGATTTTAGTCGCCCTATGTATTCTAGGAGTTTTTTCAATGTGAAAAGCTACCATTTACAAAATCCAAATCCAATTCTATTCTTGAGACTTTTCTTGAGACAAATGGTTAAAATAAACGCCGTCAATGGATTCTACGGCTCTGAAAACCCTAAAGCACAAATTTTAAAAACTAAATCTCATTTGGGAATCATTTACAGAACAAAAGAGAAATCTCGGACGATTTGGCGAAATGTTCTTTCTGCGGCCGCACAATCGCTCGCCGTCTGGCACACGCTCCCGCTAGATAGTTGTTCCTTTTTCGTTCGTCTCTATGTTCCTCTCGTTCCTTTGTTCCTCCGCCATTCTCTACGAATTTCTAGCTAACCTTTTTTCTCATAAACAGCCTTTTAGACTCATTTTCTATGAACTACAAAAACTTATTATAGTTAGAGAGCTATGCTCAATCCTTTCGGAACAAATTTTGCCGTAAATTTGCTATATTCCTGCTACAAATTCGACATCCTGCTAAAGGAAAACCCAAACTCATCACAGAACTTTTCCTAGGCCATAATTTCCATAAGTTTCCTCCTCATTGGTGTGCTTTGTGCTAAGTGGAAAGAAACTCCTTCTGGCGCAATTCTTCATTTTCCTTCGCCATTCCATTTTTACAATTACAAAAGCGATTTTTGACCTTCCTCCCATCTTTTTCTCGTTTACCCAATGAATTTTTCCTTAAAAAGCCTAAAACAAAAGCCTTAAAATGAAACTAATAAAGTTATTCTTCTAAACCAAAATTCATCCAACCAAAATTCTTTTTATGCAAATGTTTAAATTGTTTAAGGCGAGAGCGTTGCAGTTTTAGACGTTCTTTCTACAGACGCAGGCTACAGCGGTGGTGCGAGCGAGCACCACCGCTGTAGCCGTTCCCAGCGGTGGTGTGAGCGAGCACCACCGCTGTAGCCGTTCCCAACGGTGGTGTGAGCGAGCACCACCGCTGTAGCCTGCGGTGGTGGTGCGAGCAAGCCGCACCTTTTCATTTTTTCATTTTTGTTTGTTCAGTTTTGTTTCATTTTTACTTCTTCAGCATTTTTTGACATCTTTAAACATTTTTCTAACATTCTTTTTGAATTCCAAAATCCTCTTTAGATTTTTGATTTTTCTTTGACTCTCCTTCACTGATCCAATTCCCTTTTCAAATTAAGCTCAAATTTTGACATATTTGATTATAGGTTAGATATTTACACGATAGATTTATTCGAATACACTTTTTAACACCTAACTTCAACTTTTCCCCGTCAAAAACTAAAAATTGGCCTCTCCGATCGCCCAAAAATGGGCCCAATCCCCCGCCCCACTTCAACTTTTTCTTTTTCCATCCACTTAAAGCCAAATTTTTCCCCGAACTCTTCAAAAAACTTTCTATTTACATTTACTTTTTCTATTTACGTACGTATTTTCATTATTTTTACTTGAATATCTATTTCAGAATCACGCTAAAACTCATTTGATTTTGGCTTTTTTGAAGTGATTTCTCCAAAGATTCCAAAAAAGTTACTACTAAGTAAATATTTGAATTCAAACTATATATTCGATCTTTCTTTTACCGTAATCCTATTTCCAACTATTATATTCAATGACAATATCGTATTCGGGAAACTTTTTGCAATTGCTATTACGGTGGAAAGGATCGATATTCCGGAGTGTTTGGAAAGAGTTGTTGATCTATTTGGGATTACATTATCTTATCCGTTTTGTTTACACTGATATTCTACCGTGGGCCGACCCCGATGGAAAGCTTAAATACAGGTTTGGTGAAAGAGATTGTTTATGTTAAGATTTATGAGAAAAAGAACGAAAAATGAGAAAGAAGAATATGAGAAAAAGGATCAAAAATGTAGTCGGTGGGATTGAACCCTTGACCGAGATTGAATGATTAGGAGACAAGGCTCTTAGCTTAGCTCTTAGCTTAGCTCTTAGCTTAGCTCTTAGCTTAGCTCTTAGCTTAGCTCTTAGCTTAGCTCTTAGCTTAGCTCTTAGCTTAGCTCTTAGCTTAGCTCTTAGCTTAGCTCTTAGCTTAGCTCTTAGCTCTTAGCAAGACAAGGCTAGTTGGCCATAGGGAACACTTCTTTTGAGTAAAAGTATCGGTTAATATCAGGGATAATGCAATAAAGATTTTGGAAGCAAGCCAGTCCAAGCTGTTGTCTAGCTTTGCCTCGTCTAACCCATCACCAAAGCTTTCAAAAGCTTTTACTTTCAAAAGCTAAAGATAAATCGTTTATTTTAGAACTTTCGAATACTATTTAGAGACTATTTCATCTCGATTTGTCAGCAATTCAATGAGTACACCAAATTGATACCACTCACTTTTCTTCTTGGCTTTTATGTGTCAAATGTTGTCTCAAGGTACTCGAATGGGAATACGACTAAACTTTTTAGCTGTAAATGGAAAGGAAATTCAAGAAAGATGTCAATTTCTAGATGGTGGAGACAATTTGAATGCCTTTGTTGGCCGGAAGATCTTCTCTCACTTCTTTGTTTCGTCGTTCCATCAAGTGACCCAAAGCAGGCTCGGGTTCGGCATCGAATCGCTCGCTATTTGAATTTAACGTGTGCACTGGCTTGGTGAGTGAGATCAAATTCTATAGATTTAAAGTATAATGGAAAGTCGACTACCAGGGATTTGAGTCTAGTATCAAGACTCAAATCGCTGAGGTTTAACCTAGCAGTACTTCACTGATACCTTTGTTGGTCTTGACTGACTTGACGGAATTGACAGACTTGACTAACTTGAATGACTTGACTGACTTGATTGACTTGATTGACTTGATTGACTTGACTGCTCTTGACTTATTCAATCAACAAAGACTATAGACAAGCTACTGTACCGTATCTTTTCTTTAAACTATTTCAAAGGCAAACTTACAACTGTTATGATAAGAATAATCTTTAGGAGAGACGTCTCCTCGAAAATTCGCCTTCGCTTCCCCACCGTTCGTCACATTGTTGACAGTGGACTATTGACTGAATCAGAATATGAGCAATTGATGGAAATCTCTGTGAGTGATTAACGTTTTCCTAATGAAAGCTTAGTTCAAATTCCAATTAATAGATCCGAGTTCCAATTCCAATTAATAGATTTTGAATAGCTTCAATCGATTCCCCGAAAACCCTTTAGTACAAATTCTCAGCTTAATATCTTGATTCTTCTATAAATAACTGACGAAATGTTTTTTTCAATACAATCTCTACATTTTAAAGTTTCGTTTTCAGAGAACAAACCAGGGTTGTGTCTGGTTGACTCCTCTCCATTGGGTTCAACAGATTGTCTCAGAGATTGTCAGCGAGACTGGCGCTCTACCCGCTTATGTCAATAATTTCAATCAAGTGAGTTTAAAGAAAGATCTTTGAGCAGTAGTTTTCTGAAGGATTCATTTAAGAACACTGCAATTAAAGGCAAATTTATGACTAAATTTATGACGAAATTGGCCAAATTTATGACCAAATTGATGGCCAAATTGACCAAATATGATCATTCTCCTTTTCCTAATCACATCTTTTCTCTTTTATTTTTCAGGAAACCGCTGTAGACACCGCCCTGTTCTTGCTAATCAGTGTGAGTCCCAGAGGCGATTTCTCTCTTATACCCAGAAAAAAGAAAACCCCCAGTCAACCCAATGAAATCCCTTCAAAATGGAAACTAACATTGATTTTCCCTGAATTGAGTTGCCTCTGGGACATAACATGTCCTCAATTTTAACGAATCTTCATTTTTCTCGTCATTCTCGGAGAAAAACTAAACGATTTAGGAGCTGAAAACGTTTCGGATATCGTTTCGTCGACTTTTCTGTCATGATTGGGTTTGTGTGCCGCTCGTCTACACACAGGTTGTCTTCAAAGCAAAATCAAAACCATCGTTTACAGGGTTTCACACTTTACAACAAAAAAAGCTTCATTTTTCAGCTAAAATCCAGCTTAAAATTCGACTTACTATATAGTATTTTGAAGCTGGAATTCTGGAAAGCATTTCTACATCTAAACGATCACCTAAACGATCTTGATCAGAACCAACTAGCTCTTCAAAGATCTTAAATCTCTCGTCAAAATAAAATTTTAAAAAGGCTACCCGGCATAATGCTAAAAAACAGTTAAATTCGAGTTTCGGGTCTTTAAAAATCGTCTTTTTCTGAATTAATACGTTTTTAAAGTTAATTACTATAAAAGTAAAAGCTTTTTAAGGTCCATTATTGCAAATGAGAGCTGATATTGGCTAACAAAAATGAGCACATTTTTGACAGATTTCATTTTTTCGAATCATGTTTAAAGTCAATGAAACCAATGAAGTTTAAAATTTTTACAAAAACTAGTAAAAAGATATCCATAGATTTGAAATATCTAAATGAAAAGACTGTGAACTTTTTTGGTTTTTGAGAAAATCATCATTTAATAAAGCACATGCTCTGTTGATCTAAGCTCTGTACATGCAAGTTCTGTACATGTAAGCTCTGTACATGTACATCTAAGCTCTGTACATCTAAGCTCTGTATATCTAAGCTCTGTATATCTAAGCTTTGTACATCTAAGCTCTGTACATCTAAGCTCTGTACATGTACATCTAAGCTCTGTACATGTACATGTAAGCTCTGTACATCTAAGCTCTGTACATCTAAGCTTTGTACATCTAAGCTCTGTAGACGTAAACTTATAACATTGATACCTATCAACTTTAAATCTTAATAGCTTAATGAAAATGTTTATAGTTCAAGCAAAATTCCTTTGTAAACCTTTAACAACAATGTCGTAAGTTGATCTCGCTGATAGATCAACCGGTTTGATGATTAGAGCCATTACTATACGATAACCACATAAAGCAAAGAGATCAGAGATTAAAAATAACTCTACGAGAGTGCTTATTTCATCTAGTTCCAATATTTTGTTACATTTTACCAATAGATATTAAATAATAATATTATAAGTTAGACTTTTAGGTGGCTGCACTTGCCACTTACGCTTTCTTCTTCTTTTGCCTCTTTGGACGACAAAGTATCGTTGAGATTGAGGCAAAAGGACGTAAGTGCAATCTTTAATCGATAATATTATAATATCTATCTAATAGAGGATCTATCTAATATTTTTAAATCAAAAAAAAGTCAATTTCTTATTTCAGGCTCAGGCTTTGATGCTGTCGATTTGAGATTTCCTTTGTTCACCGTTGTCCAATTCTTGTTCTTTGTCGGATGGTTTAAAGTAAGAGTCGTAAAAAAGAGATCTATTATTTAATATTTGATTATTTTAAAGTAATTTCTAGTGATTTATAACAATCTAGTAATGATTCCCAAGATTACCCCCAGAAAAACCATATTTGAGAAAGATCCTCCTTTCTTAATCCTCCTAACTCCACAAGTACTTCAAATACTTAAATCAAAATACTTTGACCATCAAAATATTGTTTTATTCAAATATCTTAATTCACCTTAATTCAATTCTTAAACAACAAACAATTCTGCTTCAGTTTTGTAACGGTCCAAGAAATGAGCTTTGGTATCTTTACGGTTAATGGTAGCGATTATCGGGGGTACCGATTATTGGCGGGGGCGATTATTGGCGGATTCCTTAAATTCCTTGGGTTCTTTAAATTCCTTGGGTTCCTTAGATTCCATAGATTCCATAGATTCCTTAGATTCCATAGGTTCCATAGATTCCTTAGATTCCTTAGATTCCATAGGTTCCATAGATTCCATAGGTTCCATAGATTCCTTAGATTCCTTAGTTTCCTTAGATTCCCTAGATTCCATAGATTCCCTAGATTACTTAAATTACTTAGTTTTTGACTCCTAGTCGGGTTAAAGTTAAGGGCTCGATCCCGGCGACTAGAAAGAATGGTTCTTTTTTTCCCATTATTAATAAATCAATTTTTTGATCTCAGGTTGGGCAAGATCTAATGCGACCATTTGGTTTGGACGATGATGACATTGAGTTAGCCTATATTCTTGATCGAAACATTGTCACTTCTTTTACGATTGTCAACATTTTACAGAATAAAGAACCACGTGAGTTAGGTTCGATTGTTTATGCAAAAATCTCAATGAAATCTTTCAGCTGCTTTTGAAGAAGATGCCTTTTGGAAAGTCAGAGATCAGCCGAATGCGCCTGATTCAAAATTAAGGTATTTCTTTCTTTCTTGACGAATTTCTTGACAATTCAACGAAATTCTCTTCATTTCTAGCAATTAAATGTTAATTGAAATTGAAATCTCAGATTTGGTCGCATTGATTTGAGTCGAACAGCTCATAAACATCCGCCTAAACTTCATATGTTAGAGGAGTTGAAAGGAAAGGATTTCGAGGTAATATTGGAATAAAAGGATTCTATTAGGTGTGTGAAAAAGTAATCCACGTTTTTAACATTTATGCGGTATCCATTTGTCCAACTTTTTAATAAAATTCATGGCATTCAAGCGTTTCCTTACGGTTGACCCATCACAATTTAATGTAAGGCCTATTTCTGAAGAGGTTGAACGAGGGTTTTCGAGAAGACAGCGTCTTATTTGGTCATCCGAACAGGTCTCAGGGCGACCGCCACGTGGTTCATCTTCTAGGCTTTCATTACCACCTTTGAATCGTTGGAACCAAAACCTAGCGGTATCATCAGTAACGGCGTCTTCGCCAAACGCATTCCGAACTCGACGTGCAGCCTCCGCAGCTTTCAACCCATTTTTGAACTCATAAAGCAAATTTGACCGAATAACGATACTTGTGTATACCATTTTCAAACTAAAATGAAAGTAGTTTATTGTCGTCCTTTTAACAAAATGAATATATCATTTGAAAGAGGAAAAAATGAGCTTTTAAACGATATATTAGGTTGTCCAGTTATAAATGCGCGTTTTTAAGATAACAACTCTTTATTTTAAAACCAACAGTTTAACAGCTCAATCATCAATATATTCACCATTTGTTAACAATATTTGTTTCCATCTTCCATGCAAAGAATGAATTCCCTCCGCGTAAAAATTGGCTTGTTTTGAGGCAAAGAAGTCGGCTATCCATTTTTCGAGTACTTCAACTTCTTTGAACTTGTTTCCGGCCAAATGGTTTCGCATTGAGCGAAATAAATGGTAATCCGAAGGAGAAATATCCGGAGAATATGGCGGATGCGGGAGAGTTTCCCAGCCCAACTCTTCGAGTTTTTCCTGAACAATCTTTGCAACGTGTGGACGGGCGTTATCTTGAATGAACTTTATGTTTGAAGGATCAAGGCCTTTTTGTAGCAATACATTGTTCATTCGTTCCAGTTGTTGTGCATACGTTTCACCCCGTGATTGTTTGTCCAGGTTTAAGCAGCTCAAAATAAACAATGCCTTGGGAATTCCACCAGACAGTAAGCATTACTTTCTTGCCATGGAAGTCGGGTTTTGGTGTTGGTATTGGCTCCTCATCAGGTTCTAGCTTTTGCCGTTTTCGTGTAGAATTATCATATTGAATCCATTTTTCATCGCAATTAAGGATTTCATCGTAAAACCCAGTATTTTTTGCCAAACGAAGAAGAATACCCGCCATAGTGACACGAGTAGCTTTATTGGCATTGCTGAGAAGATGAGGAACCCATTTTTCTTGTCGGCTTGTTTTCCCCAGGATTTAAATGCTCGGAAATTGTTTGAGGGCTTACTCTAAATATTTCTGCAAGTTCACGTGTAGTTTGTCGAGGATTCATTTCTATCGCCTGCTTCAGTACTGCATTATCGATCGCTGGAGGTCGTCGTTGGTGGTCTTCGTCTTCCAAAGATTCATTTCCTTCTCGAAATCGTTGAAACCATCGGCGACACTGGCTTTCCGAAATAGCATCTTCGCCAAATACTTTGCAGAGATCTCGATGAGATTCAACGGTATTTTTGCCCAATTTGAAGTCATACCAAAGATTGGCACGAAGACGAAACTTCGTCTCGGTCATCTAAACACGGAAATTAAATCAAAAATGAATTAGTTTAACGTCAAAAACACGAAAAGTTGTAATAAATAAGAAATCTTGGACAGCATATAGAGAATAGGGTTTGATAAAATTGTATAGCTCTAAGGTACGCTGTTCAAGAGCAGGCGCGCATTCATAACTGGACAACCTAATATATATCGTTAATAAAAAATAAAAAATTGTTTAGATATATTTATTTAAACAAAATAAAAATAAAAAACGTGGATTACTTTTTCACACACCTAATATTTAATATAGGAGTAAAAGTCTATTCTATTTCTTGTAATAAAGCAAGTTATAAAGCTAGTAATCTATCAATTAAATTGAACAAAATTTTATTTGATATTTGTTTCAGAGTGAAATCGAGAATGGTGGTTGTACATTGCATGAGAACAAAGAGACGAAAGGGGAAAGAAAGTCGGTGAAGTTTTGGGGAGAATTTTGTGTTACCAAAAACAATTCTTTAGATTACTTTTATGGTAACTTTCAATCACTATACTGCAACAATTCACAAATGGGTCTTCGTGATAAAAATTATTGGTCTCATTTCTTTGTTTTTTGTTCATTTGTCTTTGATTAGAAATAAATGTCAATATTTATTTGAAAGCTTTGATTTTTGTTTAACTCTACTTACAATAACTCTTTACTTCTCTTGTAAGTAAAGTTACTTCTCTTGTAGTTACTTGTCAGTAAAGCTACTTCTCTTGTAGTTACTTCCCTTGTAGTTACTTGTCAGCAAAGCTACTTCTCTTGTAAGTTACTTCTCTTGTAAGTAAAGTTAAACAGTTAACTCTTGTTACTCTTATTATTGTAAATAAGTAAGTTTAAGAAGAAAAACACAAGTGTTAACAAGAGAAACACTTATCAAGCTGTCTACAGCTGTGTTCTAAACTCAAAGAAGTAGACTCAAAGCCATAACAATCGTTTAAACCTTTCAACCAACCTCTCAATCTTTCAACCTTTCAACTTTTCATCAAACTCTACACTCATTGCCAGAATAAGTCTTGAAACCACTCTTGTGAAGTTCATGAACTCGGCACAAAGGTGTGCAATTTGTTTATGAGAAGACTGTCTATAGAGGGAAAGACGGGAAGATCCATTCAAGTCTCATTATCCTTTCCCCCCTTTCCTTTCATATACAATAACTACCCTTCTTCTTCTTCTCTTCTTCTTCTCCGTCTTCTTCTTCTCCGTCTTCTCCTTCGTCTCCTTCTTCTCCTCCTTCTCCTCCTTCTTCTTCTCCTCCTTCTCCTCCTCCTTCTCCGTCTCCTCCTCCTCCTCCTTCTCCTTCTCCTCCTCCTTCTTCTCCTCCTTCTTCTCCTTCTTCTCTTTCTTCTCCTTCTTCTCCTCTTTTTTCTGAAATGTCCTCTTTCTGTTCATCTCAACAAATCTCTTTTTTTCTCCTGTCAATATGGATTTACACACAACCAAATTGTTTTTAACTCTAATCTTTTACTATTTTTATAATCTTACTGCTGTGCAACAGAAAATCCATAAGAAACTTTGACTTTGGCTGACAAACTTTGACTCCAGTTTTGAACTAGAACTTCAAGGTTATTCAAGATCAAAGGACAAGATTCTAAAATTTTCTTTTATTTCGTCTATTTCTATTCTCAAGTTCTATCACAGGAGCTACGAAAACTATTAGACGTGTTCCAAAAGAAATTTCCAGGCTAGATAAGGTTTTAGTCTAGCCTGGGTTTGCTACAAGTCTAGCCCAGCCTGGGTTTGCTACAAGTCTAGCCCAGCCTGGGTTTGCTACAAGTCTAGCCCAGCGTGGGTTTGCTACAAGTCTAGCCCAGCCTGGGTTTGCTACAAGTCTAGCCCAGGCCAGCTTGTCTCAGGCCTAGTTCGCGAAAAGTCACTGGCCTTGTTAGAAATCAATTCCAGACTTACTCGGATTCTACTAGAATCAACTAATCTAGAATCATTGTATCTAGAATGAATCAACTAGTCTAGAATCATCTGGTTGATGACCTTTCCAGCTTACTAGGCTTGACTTGCTTTTAGAACCCAAATGGAAAATCCAAAAACAAGCAAAATCTCAATTTTCTACTCTTTCTTATCCTTTTTATGTCAAAAGATTGCCCGGCAGTTGATAGTGAGAAGAATGGCAGAAAAGAAAGGATAAGAAAAGGGGTGAAAGCCTCGTGAAAGACTCGAATCGAACTTCTCCTTCCTTTTCTTTCCAATTCTTTTCTCACCCAAATCCTTTAACCATAAACTTGCTCTTTCATTCATCACATCAAAAAAGAACTTCCATTTCGACACCTTTATTGTGTTTTTGTCTCCAGACTTTCCCAAATTCTCATAGTTTTCCGCTAGACTTCCTTGTCAATCTGACACTTTTGTTATAATTGATTTTGTTTCATTTGCTTATTTGTTTTTTGCTAATTTGATTCAACTTTATTTCTCTATGATAAATTGGTTCTAAAATTGAGTTCTTATTGGTTCTGAAAGAGATCTCTGAAAGAAAAGAAAAGAAATCTCTGAAAGAAAAATTTAAACTTAAACTTGCAACTATTCAACTTATTGAAGACAATACTTTTTCTAAAATTGAAACAGTTTAGAAGCACAAATATCTTTCTATAAGCTTTAGATAAGCTTTAGATAAGCTTTAGATAAGCTTTCCATAAGTACAAATAGCTTATGGATTCGTGCTTTGTTATGTACGCTTTGTTATACTTCCATCAGCTTTCTATAAGCTTTTCATAAGCTTTTCATAAGCTTTCAGCTTTCGATAAGCTTTCCATATACACAAATAGCTTATGGATTCGTGCTTTGTTATATACTTTTATATAAATGATCCAAAACATATAAAGAGATCGATTTCAAGTTCGAGATTGGTAACATTATAAATATATCGACTATTTAGCTGTTTAACTGTACGATGAGAGTATTTGATTTGAAAATTTCAAGCTATAGCCTCGAAATTAACTCATTGATGACATCAAGATCCCGGTTTCACTCAAAGCAATCCCACTGAGTGAGGAGAAAGAAGCGAAACTCAAAGTCACCTCCTCCTTATCCTTTCCTTTTTCTCCATTTCTTCGGCATCATTTCTTTATCTTCAAAACATTTCCACCTTCATTTTCCCTCTCAAATATGGCTGATTGAGTGAGAGTGATTAAAAGGAAAAAGAAAGAAAGCAAACAAGAGCTGCCGAAAGCCTCATTTCACTTTCAACTCAAAATAAAGCTCACCTCCGAAAAAAGCTCATCTCCTAAAAAAGAAAGTCGTAATCTTCACCCCTGCCAAAGCTTTATCATTGATTTTATCATTGTTTTTATCATCTTTTCCAGAAAATCAGCTATTTCTTTTCTTCTAATCTTATCGAATTTCAGATTCAATTCAATCTCATCCCCAGAAATGCTCTCAAATCTCGTCGGTGCCATAGTGTTTTGTGCATTTTTGCAAGGTACAATAATTTGATTCATTTAAAAGCTTTCTTAGGTAGATTGAATGAATCAATCATTGATATTTATCCATGTAAGCTCTGTACATCTAAGCCATGTACATCTAAGATCTGTACATGCAAGCTCTGTACATCTAAGCTCTGTACATCTAAGCTCTGTACATGCAAGCTCTGTACATCTAAGCTCTGTACATCTAAGCTCTGTACATGCAAGCTCTGTACAATGCAAGCTCTGTACTTTATCTAAAAGCTCTTAGGTAGATTGAGTGTATCATTCATTGCTATTTGTACCATGTAAGCTCTGTACATCTAAGCTCTGTACATCTAAGCTCTGTACATGCAAGCTCTGTACATCTAAGCTCTGTACATCTAAGCTCTGTACATGCAAGCTCTGTACATGCAAGCTCTGTACATCCAAGCTCTGTACATGCAAGCTCTGTACAATAATTTGATTTATTTAAAAGCTTTCTTAGGTAGATTGAATGAATCAATCATTGATATTTATCCATTTAATACTTCAAATCTATGGGATCAATTTTTGTCTGAAAATTGACTGTATTTTTCCTTCAAATTCCGGTCAGCCATTTGTCACTTTTAAACTTTGATGCCAACAAATTGTAAGTGCTGAAAAATCTCATAAAGTAATGTCAACTAGGTGTGATGGTCAAATGACATACGAGTTATTCGATCGAGAATTTTGCGCTGTTTCCGAATCTGCATTTCATTTCTACTATAGAGCACTCTATCAAAAGTTATAAGCATGCAAAGTTTTGTAGGATTTCAAAAGACAAACCTCGAGTTTATTGATTTCCCAGTTGTAAGAAGCAGTTGGTGGCCGAATGGCAGTCAATTAGAATTCAAGACAAAGAATCTCTAGTTCAAGAGAGCTTGGAACCAAACCGGCGTAGTATTTTGGACTAGTGTGGCTAAGACTTAGTTTGACTTAGTTCTTGATTAGCTTCACATTCTGTAATCATACTGAGCTTCAAAACCAGCCTTTAAAGTTCAACTCATTCATTCATTCATTCCAGTTTCATCGGGATGCATGCCGGGTTATGAAGACGAAAGAGATCGATTACGAGAACATCTAGGAATTGAATGGATTCCACATGGATTAGATAAAAGCGGTAATAAAGAGTTTAACAAGTTCTTGATTATTTGACAATGACCAATATCAAACTCTAGCTAGTTTAAGCCTAGATCGATCTACTCCATTCATAACCCATTACCATTTTGTCAGGTATTACTGATCGACCAATTCGACGATCTTCTGATTTAAATTGTGATTTCGATGATCCGATAAAGTGCAAGTGAGAAATAAGAGATAGCTTCTTTCTCAAAAGAAAGTTTAGATGGAAGAACTTGAGCCCGCAAAATCAGATGGACTCACTCGAGTTTCATTTGTTTGAAAAGGTATTGTAAAATGGATTCAAATCAATCAAAACAATTTCATAGATTAAAAGGAGAAGAAGATAAAGCTGTCGATAAAGCTGTAGATAAAGCTGTAGATAAAGCTGTAGATAAAGCTGTAGATAAAGCTGTAGATAAAGCTGTAGATAAAGCTGTAGATAAAGCTGTAGATAAAGCTGTAGATAAAGCTGTGATAAAGCGGAAGCGGGCGTAGTGCTGCGTAAGCGTAGATAAAGCTGTAGATAAGCGAAAAGCCAAACAATAGCTTTGGGACTGGACCGGTCCCGGCTTCAAGAAGAATATAAAGCTGTAGTAGATAAAGCTCGAAATCAATAGCTTTAGGTTGACTGGACCGAGTTCCCGGCTTTACAAGAAGAATATAAAGCTGTAGTAGATAAAGTAACTCAAAATCAATAGCTTTAGGTTGACTGGACCGAGTTCTCGGCTTTACAAGAAGAATAATAAGCTGTAGATAAAGCTGTAGATAAAATAACTCAACATCAATAGCTTTAGGTTGACTGGACCGAGTTCCCGGCTTTACAAATCCAACCCGGACCCAGCAAGGTTTCCCAAGGGAATCGCATGATTTTCACTGGAGATAAGGTTCAAATTTGATAAGAAATTTATAAGAAATTCATTAAGAATACAGGATTACTGCAATAGTTTATATGCAATAGCTTTTTGGATAACTTTTTCTTAAACTTTTAGAAACGACAAGAGCAAACGGCGATCTTTTACAGTTCTCCAATCGGTTGTCAAAACTCGACCGGGAACTTCACGTTCACGTAGGGAATTTTGAATAAAATTAACTTTAAATTAACTAACTTTAAGCTTTCTCAACTCTAAAATAACATATTTGAATTGTTTATTATGTTTTTTGTTTAGTTATTGGGCTTACAACAATGCTCGAGTGGAGATCTTGTTGTATGAAGATCAACCAAATGGACGATTCAAGGAATTGTACGAGAAGCCTTATGTCGATTGTGGTTCGTGATTGGAATTGCAATCATAAAAGCTGTCATTTAGGATTTGAGACTGTTATCCTTCTGTTTTAGGACAATCCTTCTGTTTTAGGAACAATAAATCTGAATACGGATTGTCATGCAGAGATCCCGCCTCGAGACACCCCGTTCAGGATAGCCATTCGAGCGTATGATATGGCTAGCAAGGTAACACTTTGGTTTATTGATATTTGAGAGATTAATAAGTCATTTCTTTAATATTATCAATCTATTATCTATCTATAATCTATCTATTATCTTATTGTTATATTAGAGAGATTAATAAGTAATTGCTATAATATTATCTATCTATTATCTATCTATTATTTTATTGATATATTAGAGAGCTCAATAAGTAAATTCCACCTGTTCTTATGCACTGAAACTCCCTCACTTTATTCCTTAGTCTCCTTAAACTCCTTAAACTCCTTAAACTCCTTAAAATCAAATTCAAAGCTTTGTTATCTTTTGTCAAAAACTCCTTTGAAGATGATTGAACAAAAAGCAAAACTTGCCCTTTTTTTAAATACAAAGATTGTTTATTTTATAGAAATATTTAAAAAGCTTAAGTGATGCTGTTAATAAATGGAATCAATGCTTGAGAAAGTTTAAAAATCTCGAAATTAAGCTGAAAACTTTTCCTACAGTTCTGATCTTTCACCTTTCGATTATCACTTATTCCGTTCGATGGCAGCTTCAGGCAAAACCTTTAATCAGCTTCTACCGGAAAAGGGATTCCTCATTTCTTTCTTGAGAATATCCGACATCAAAAATCAAATTTGATGTGACGGGGAATAAATCTCGAAATAACCTTTTCGCGTTTTGCTTTTTTTCGATAGAATTTATCTTACACAAAGAAACGAAATTACTTATTGATCGGTTGAATTGATCGAAATTACTTATTGATCCGTTGAATTGATCGAAATTACTTATTGACTTACCGTAAATACTGTAATAGTACTCCACCCCCCTTCGTACAGTCGGGTAGTCGCAAAACTTTTTCAGTATTTTGTTAATCAAAGCTTTTTTTCAAAGCGCCCGTACTTTCAAAAAATGCTTTGTATCAAATCGTCTTTGGTATCAAAAAATAGCCCTGAATTTCAGCTATTTTTTGATACCTAAGCGAGCATTGTAGCATAAACCAGTGTCGAGAAAAACCTCGTTCAAAGCTAGACTACACAACACTCCGCACCGTCATTATGGGGGTGGGGTACTATTACAGTATTTACGGTAATTACTTATTGATAGTAAATCTGATAACAAGTACCTAGTTAAATAAATCAAGCTTTTGGTAGTTCCAATACTTTCGGAGCGCTTTCCACGCCAGGTATCGGGTTGTCTCAAAACCAAAACCAACCAGATCTAGTTTGTTTACAAGTCGATTAAGTCAGCAAGCCGATTAGAGTTGATCCAGCCTTGCCTGGCCTTGCCTGGCCTGACCTTTTGTAGCCTGGCTTGGCCTACGAGCTCTGAGCCCGGTTGGGAAAAAGTGCAATGATAGTCTAGATCCAGAAATATGCCTCTTTTTTTCAGGAAGGCTCTTTTGTCATGGTTGACAACATCATTTACACAGCTGACTTGTGCAAGATTGGAGGTAAACTCTTCATTTTTCATCCAAAATTTTAGTGGATCTAATTTTAGTGGATCTTGGCGAGAATTTTGTCACTCAACCATTGCTCACCTCAGCTATTGGAAAGGATATTCAATTGGCTAGCCATCTCGACTGCGCCGATTTCAATGAGAAGTGCCGGTGGAGGAGTGGAGGACAAGCTAATAAGGTTTAGATTGGAAAAAGGATTCATTGATATTGTAAATCGAACTATAAGAGCTGTAAACTGCAAGAGCATTTAAGATACAAGAGCAAGAGATACAAGAGCAAGAGATACAAGAGCCTTTCCTGGACCATTATTTTCAGATGTGGAGACGCTCCACCTCGTCACTACCCCGAGATTTTCTCTTCAACACCACTGGAAGCTATATTGGTTAGCAAAATATTGCTGAAAGATTTATCTAATGAAAGCTCAGGTCCATCTGGTCCATATGCAGTGCTTTACATTGATCAAGACACGAAGGCGCCGCTTGACATCCTCAAATCCGATCCAATTCCATGTCAAAGTCAAACCGAGAACAAGCTAACTTTCAAGTAAGTTTACTTGATCATAATCATCATTATGATCAATCGGAAGTATGAAAAGAAAGGAAAAGACTTTCGGGAATAGTATAATAATATCTCAAAATCTGTAGATGGTGGGCTACACGAGACGTTCGACTTGATGTTTGTGCTGTAGAGATTGATGGAAGAGGGGAAGAAGAATGTCATCGTTTACCCTCTGAAACCTCACCCGCTCCAGCTGAAGTCGCTTTTCGAAGAGCCGCCAATAACTTTATGGTGAGGCATTGAAAATATTTATACCCTAACTCATTTGCAGATCCAAATCCGTGTCACTCATTTCAATCCCGATTTCGACAGTGTCGTTATCATTGACGATATGACGTACAGGTACAGTACAGTACAGTACAGAACAATACAATACAGTACAGTACAGTACAGTACAGTACAGTAAAGACGTAAAGGTGAAGCTAAGCTAAGCTATAGATTAGACGACTTTTAAATCTAATACCGTAGCCTTTGTCGTAAACAATTTGAATGAATTAAACTGTTATCCTAAACGGATGATCAGTTTGATCAGTTTGATCAGTTTGCTCCGTTTGCTCAGTTTGATCAGTTTGATCAGTTTGATCAGTTTGCTCCGTTTGCTCAGTTTGCTCAGTTTGATCAGTTTGATCTGATCTGATCTTATTCAATTTTTGACCAAGAGATCAAGTTTACTATTGCTTAAATAAACTATACAACAACACTAGCTCTTTTCTATAACCATTTTTTTTTATATCATACTGTAGCTTTTCTTTTCTAGAGCCACTCTCTGCTCGGATCCTCTTTCCGTCTTTGATATCGGAGAGCATTTTGTTTCAACACCAATGCTCTCAATTCTCCTTCATCGACATGTCAATTCGGCAAAAGTATGTGATAAATAGCTAAATATTAGATAAATAGCTAAATATTACCGTAAATAATCAATTTACTTTCTTATTTCTTTAGGAATTGTCTTGTGACTTCAGCAAGCGAGCCGCTGATTGCGTCTGGGGCTCCACCGAATATAATAATGTTGAAGACAGGTGGAAAATCTCAAAAATTCTTTTAATAATCGCGATTTTTGGATGAATATCTTTATGTTAAAGTAGGATTTTAGTCTTTTAGTGATTTAGTGATTTAGTGAACTCCTTCCGGGAGCTTGGCAAGTTGGGCATGGACCGCTGAACGAGGAGAAGCTATATTCGTTGAGTGGACAAGTGACTGTACCAGGTAGGTTTTAAAAAGAAAACATTTTTAGTTTCTTGTTCTAAAGCTTTTGGATCGAAATACCGTATTTAAAGGTAAATAGAATGAAATAAATATCGTAATTCTAGAAGGAGAGTTTGCGATTGCCAAATTTGAGACCGGTGGATCGTCATTATTGCTATCTGAGGTGGTTAAAAAGTTATAAAATCATAACCAGATTACTTTAAAATATCTATATTTAGATTTTAAGCAAGTTCTTCTAGATATTATAATCAACAATCAACGTCTTCTAGGTGATCCGATGCGTTTTGGATGATGTATCGATCTCGTTCAATATGTGGACAACTGGAACGGCTTCTTTACAGGTTTTATGTTTTTAATAGTTACTAAAGATTGAGATCTTTATGAGAAACTATTGATTTATGATTGATTTTTATGTTTATTTATAGGTTTGCCTTGTTGAAGAGTCATCTCCATCACTTCTCGATTGTCAACCAGCTACCTCCGGTCCAGTCGTTGTCGATTTGCCCGCAATCAGTAAACCATTCAGGTAGATAAAAGCTAATGTCTGAAATTTACAAAAGTAATCAGTCAATAGAGAAGATACTGGATTTGGTTAGTATCATTTACAGCTTGATCAATGATTGATTTGATCAATTTAGAACATTCCTATCTGGTCAAAGATCTGCCCAGTTCCAACATTCTTATCTAAACTTTTCTAGAATAGCTTTGAGAGCGAATGCTGAAGATCAAGGAATGGTGATTGTTGATGATATTGATGTTCAAGTGAGTACAAGAGATAAGATAAAGAAAGACACGATTCAGGGATCTATTTGCCCGGCGATTGCTCGACAATTCGCTTCGAAACACTTCAGGTGAATAATCGTTTCCTCTAAATATCTTTCCTTTTTAGTCCGGCAGTTGATCAACCGGATCCAAATGTTTGCCGATTGCTTTCCTGTGATTTCTCGGGTGGACACGCTTGTTTATACGCGAAAGAAACGATTCCTGGATCGGCTCCATTCAGGGTAAGTGAGAGGTGAAATTCAATAGCCAAACCCAGGCTATCAAACCTTGAACTCACCCCTGGTTTACCTGTAGCTTTAGCCTAGTTTCTATCCATCCCATTACAGTTCGCAAAAGGACTCAAGCCTTGGTTCAACCAAAACCCTTAATCTTTAGATCTCAACATCGGGAGCTTTTGCAAAAATGACAAGAGGACGACCATTAGCCGTCTTGGAATCAGTCCCTTTCCGATTGAATACAATTTCACGATTACATTTTAACTACAAGACTAAGGTAATTGTAAAGAAGATTATTTTTAGCTTTAAATATTTAGGGTGATGCGCTTCTCTATGTCTGTAATGATAGTGCAAAGAAAGAGTTAGAGACGTGTTTCAAGGTGAGTTGGAAACAATCTACCGTAAATACAGGGTGCGCCAAAAGTTCCCGTACTTGTATTTTCTGCATTTTTGGTAATTTTAGATAAAAGATACGATTTTAAAAGTAAGAAATTCGAATTCCCCGCGAAAAACTGATTTAGAAAACGTTTCTGGTTAATTTATAAGTGTAACACTATTTAAGACAATTGATTGAGAAGAGGGTCCGCTCAGGGGCGCTTTGGTCGCACATTTTTTTGGGGCTTCAGGTCTGTAACTTTTATGGATCAAAAGATTTTCAAGAGCCACGATGTTTTTCGAAAACTAGACATAAAATGTGACATTTTTTATATTGGTTGTATAAAGTTTTGGTCAGCGACCGAGTCGGAAGTCCGGTTAGAACTTTGTTTTCCCATACAAATTTCCATCAAAGGAAATAACTGTAACTGTGCCCTGTAACAGTGCCCTGTAACAGTGCCCTGTAACAGTGCCCTGTAACTGTGCCCTGTAACTGTGCCCTGTAACTGTGCCCTGTAACTGTGCCCTGTAACTGTGCCCTGTAACTGTGCCCTGTAACTGTGCCCTGTAACAGTGCCCTGTAACAGTGCCCTGTAACTGTGCCCTGTAACTGTGCCCTGTAACTGTGCCCTGTAACTGTGCCCTGTAACTGTGCCCTGTAACTGTGCCCTGTAACTGTGCCCTGTAACTGTGCCCTGTAACTGTGCCCCTGTAACTGTGCCCTGTAACTGTGCCCTGTAACTGTGCCCTGTAACTGTGCCCTGTAACTGTGCCCTGTAACTGTGCCCTGTAACTGTGCCCTGTAACTGTGCCCTGTAACTGTGCCCTGTAACTGTGCCCTGTAACTGTGCCCTGTAACTGTGCGACCAAAGCGCCCCTGAGCGGACCCTCTTCTCAATCAATTGTCTTAAATAGTGTTACACTTATAAATTAACCAGAAACGTTTTCTAAATCAGTTTTTCGCGGGGAATTCGAATTTCTTACTTTTAAAATCGTATCTTTTATCTAAAATTACCAAAAATGCAGAAAATACAAGTACGGAAACTTTTGGCGCACCCTGTACTGTAGTTGAAAACTATCGTAATCCTAGAGACAGAAATACAATAGTTTACAAAAGGTTCAATCTGTACTAAAGCTGAAATTCAAAAAGGTAAAAGCTCAACCGTTTTTCCAGGTTGAAGGGAACGATGGAGATGATTATATCGAGTTGTTGCCGAGTGATACAAAGGTAAAACTTTGAAACCTTTTCATAGACTTTAGAGGAAACTTAACTAAACAAGTAATACAGTAATACTTTACAGTAATCTTTAAGTTTTTCTTTGATCCAAAACTTTCCCAGGTCTATCTGATCGGTCGATTGAACGAGGAGAGCTCGACGGGAAGGGGCTCGTTGAAGATCACCCGGCTCAACCTCACTGATACCATTGATGAGCCAGCTTGCTAAGATCAAAAGCTCAAGCTTATTAGATCGATATTATCTATTATATTATATTGATGCGTGTACTTATTGATTTCCTTTCATTCCAACCCTCTTCCCTTATCCCTCGTGAATTCCGCAGCTAATTCAGGTGCCTTATGATTCGTGGACCGGTTGAATTTTCATTTTTTTGATATTAGATTATAAATTTACATATATTACTCTCAAAATATTAATAGATTTAATTATTTAAGTTCTTTTTTTTAAACATTTTGTCTTTCAAACTTTTTCTTTCGAGATCTCGCTGTGATCACCATTTGGTGCTATAAAAGTTGAGCATTTAAACATAAATCAACCCGGAAATTTATATGGTAGATCAAATTTAGATCAAACTTTTGAAAGAGGTTGAAAGAAATTATGATTTGTAACATTTGATAAGTTAAACTGAGTCGCTAAAAGCATTTCTGTATTTGCGTGTGCAATAAAGGATCAAAAGTGATGGGATACAACAAAATGAACACCGCCAATCGATTCAGCGACCTCGAAAACCCCTGGGTATAAATTTACAGCTGAATATCTTCTTTTTATATCAACTAAAAAGCAAAAAAGAAAAGTTATGAATGACTGGCGAGGTGCTCTTTGTGCGGTGGCGTAATCGCTCACCATCTGGCATAAGGCCCCCGGGGGTAAGGGTGTGGGGAAAGACGGGTTAGTGAGTGGGGAGTTGATTTTTCGGCTGGCGTCACTATGATGAATTTTGCACTAAAACTGACTAAATTTTGCTACAAATTCTACATCCCGTTAAAGCGTTACTTAAGCATTAGTTAAACGCTTAAACGGTTTCCATTGACCGTTTAAGCGTTTAATTACGGAGCCACTCAGTTGTCCTGAATTTTTGAAACTTGCCGTTACTCGAATTTTACTTTTTAGACAAGGCTAACAAGTAAAATTCGACTAACGGTAAATTTCAAAATTTCAATGGAAACCGTTTAAGCGTTTAATTACGGAGCCACTCAGTTGTCCGTTTTTTTCTTTAATTCTTTTCCCAAAAACTGTTTGAGCCACAAAATTCCGTGTGAAATCGAAAAACGGAAAGGAAAACCCGAAGTTTTTTTCCCAATTTCCGGCTCATATATTCAGCTTTTTGCGTGTGATTCTTTTAAATTATTTTTTAAATATTATTGAGATCAAGCATATTGTGATTGAATTTCCTCATGGGATTTCCCTGTCTACTGAAATTTGAGGGAACTTTTGAGACAAAATAAGACAAAATAAGACAAAATAAGACAAAACAAGACAAAACAAGACAAAATAAGACAAAATAAGACAAAATAAGACAAAATAAGACAAAACAAGACAAAATCAAGACAAAACAAGACAAAACAAGACAAAATAAGACAAAATAAGACAAAAAAACTCAAATCGCACAAAATCGCACTATGTAAATTCCTATGTAAAATTTTTTAATTCTTATTCTTGGGATTCTTTAAAAGATTTTGACGTTCGTGTGTTTTGAGGTGCAATTTTTTGCAAACGAACACAAGCTACAATGATGGAAGCGAAAAGAAAACGTTAAATGGACTACAATTGCTGAACCAAAAAAAAAAAAGTTTTACGGTCTTTTAAAATAACCGTAAAGTCTAGCAATGGTTTGTCTTACTTGACTTATTTATCTACTCTACACTTTAGTTGTACTAGAAGGTGTTTGTTTTCACTTTTAAACACAAAGTACACATCAAAGAACAAGTCCAAGAATACTTTAATCGTTTCTAAGGCATGTAAGCCAACTAGCAACCAGACAAGACTAGGACCAGGATTGATGGACTTGGCCTTAGCTAGACTTGGCCTTAGGTAGACTTGGCCTTAGCTAGACTTGGCCTTAGCTAGACTTGGCCTTAGCTAGACTTGGCCTTAGCTAGACTTGCCCTTAGCCAGACTTGCCCTTAGGCAGACTTGACCTTAGGCAGACTTGACCTTAGGCAGACTTGACCTTAGGCAGACTTGCAGTAAAGCCAGACCAAGCAAGGCCAGAAACCAAGGCCTAACTTCTAAGTCCAGAAGCCTATAAGATAAGCTTAGTCAGACCACAAATCAGGTTCGGATCTTGTTACTTGTTTACTTGTTTGGTACTTGTTTGGGTACTTGTTTGGTATTTGTTTGGTACTTTTTTGTACTTGTTCGACTCGTCTAGGTCTAGGTTTACCTTTGGAACAATCCTTGACAAGTTTAAAAGCTAAAAAACTGAAAGCTCACGGAATCCTAGTGCTTGAGCTTTTGATAGATGGTCAATTGGTAAATTATCGTTTATCCGGAAACTTTTCAGTCTAAACTTGCATAGTTTCTTGATCACCAAATCCAAAATACATAAGTCTAATGAGAAGTGGCTTGGGAAAAGAAATTCTACAATTAGCTACATTCAAATTCAACAGATTTCAGTTTCTGACAAGTATTCGTTCAATCCAATACCCCAAAACCTCTCATTTTCAATCTTTCTACAAAACAAAAAATGAAAATTCTAGAAATTCTCCGACTTTTTCTCAATATAAGAATAGGAGAATCCTTTTGTTTTTTCCCAAAAAAATTCTCTAATTTCTAATATCTTTTCAAAGCTTTCCCTTCAATTTCATTCGTTTCCATTAGCAACAGCTCTCCTCTTTGTATGTGAGAAATCACAAATTCTTTATCCCTTCATTTTCCCTTTTTTTCTTCTTCTTGATTTTTCACAAAAAATTCCGCACGGATTATTTTCAATTATTCTTTTCCTTTTCCTTTTTAGCTTTGCTCAATATTTTTGCTTATTTTTGCTTATTTTCTCAATTTTCGCGGATTTCTACAGTGATTTTGAATCTCAAAGTTTTGAGTTTTCGAATTTGGGTTTTGAATGCCAAGCTTTCGATTAAAATTTGGATATATTATAGTTAAAATTCTATAGTTTTTCGTCTATGATCTAATACATACTTGTTGTTTTGTTTGTGAAGAGTTTATCCACCGGAAAAGTTGCACTATTCTTTGTCGTAACTTTTAGAGGCTACGATTTGGAGAAATTAAAATTCAGTTTAGTACACCATTAATTTTCTCAGACCTCGCCTGATCTGGCTTGTAGCTTTTCCATGTGAAAATTCAGCTTCTGAATCAACGCGGAGATTGAACAGTACCTTGTTTTGTCGTAGCTGTACTTTGTGTTCAGAAGCGAAATGAAAACACACCCTTTCTAGTGCACCAAAATACACAGTACATTAGACAGGTTATCTTAATTCTTACCACAAAATACACAAGAAAACTTAAAATACTCGGTGTACTAGACAGGTTTTCCTTGAAGTACAACGACGTAAAGTACGAGACGCCTTAGCGACAGTAGCCAAAGTTCTGTCTTATTTCTGGATTTTTTTTTTGGGAGCCTGAAGTCGGGTAGTCAAAAAGGGTAACGACTCGATGGTGCTAAGAGCATTTTAGACATTTTAGCTAAAGAAATCTATCTTCGTGTCAATAGATAAAAGATAGAGTATAAAAATTTTAGTATATAGCCTAATTTTCAGCAAAATTCATTCAGCCAACCTCTTCGTAAAAAGGTTCTTTTTGATAGATTTTTACGAAAAACACGGTTTTCACTTGCGAATTTGCTTGTAAGTGAATCGAAATTGACTTAAAGCAAAAAGATGGGAAGTTGAACAATAAAGACGTTTTATTTAGAGCAAACAATAGGTGATTTCTTGTGAATTTTTGATTTTTTCAACGAAAGTATGAAAAGAAACGAAAAGATTTCTTCACTAACCTATTAGGTTGATGCAAAAGTTTTTTTCATTTTTTTCGTACTTCTTTTGAAAAATAACAAAGTCATCAATTAACCTATGGTTTGCTCTAAATGAAAAGTGTTTATTGTTCAATTTCCCATCTTTTTAAGTCAATTTGGGTTCACTTTCAAGCAAATTCGAGAGTGAAAACGGGTTTTTCATAAAAATCTATAAAAACCTCTATAAAGAAATTGGCTGAATCAATTTCTCTGAAAATCTGAAAAAATATCTAACTTTTTGTGCTCTATCTTTTATTTATTAACATCAAGATTGGTTTCCTTAGCTAAAGCGTCTAAAATGCATCATAGAGCCGGCGCCTTTTTTGACTACCCGACTTCAGGCTCTCAAAAAAATCTAGACATAAGACATTTTAAACTCGTTTTAATGTCATTTTGCAGAAAAATAATTGGCCTTTCGAATGCAATAAACCGTTGTTCAATTGGTGCATTTGTTACTTTTTAACGGAAGTACGAAAAAAATGAAAAAGACTTTTGCATCAACCTAATAATAGAAATTTATTTTTTTTTTAATAAAAAATATTTTTTTTTTTTTTTTTTTTTTTTAAAATTTTTTTTTATTTTTTTTTTTTTTTTTTTTTTTTTAAAATTTTTTTTTTTCTTTTTTTTTAAAAAAAAAAATTTTTTTTTTTTTTTTTTTTTTTTTTTTTTTTTTTTTTTTTTTTTAAAAAAAAAAAAAAAAAAAAAAATTTTTTTTTTTTAAAATAGTAGAACTAAAGGATGACTAAAAGGTTTGAAATATTCGATTTGGTTACTTGATGTTTTTGTTTTTAATACCCATTAAACTTATTCCTTGAGCATTCCATTTGATTACATTCTCTTTCATTTCATTAACTTAACACTAATCTCTCATCCATTCATAACTTCTATTTGATTGTTTTTCTATTTGTTATTTGATTCCTTTTCTATTCCAGCTTCTATTTCATTTCAGATCCATTTTATTTCTTTCTCATGAATAGAGAAATTGTTTCAAAAAGTATTCTCAAAACTCTCGAAGCTGTCTTCAATGTGAATCCATCGCAAGGGGATGAAAATATTAAACATTCCGTCAAATTGCTTGCATAGTGAGTCCAAGCTTGAATTCAAATCAAATCAAATCAAAAAAAAACAATTCTATGAGTGCTTTTTAGTGAACTTATTAGTGAAAAAGATGTGTAAATTGTTTTGGTTTTGATTTTTCTGTAAATTTGCATGACTTGCTAGTAGAGAGACTGCAGTTAACAGTTAACAAAGAGTCCATTTTGTTGTTCAAGTTCAAATCAAAAAAAAGAATTCAAATTCTATGAAGGAAAATAGTGGTTATTAGTGATGTTGTTGAAGTGTTTATAATGTTATAATGTTGTTGTTGTTGTTGCTGAAGTGTTTATAATGTTATAATGTTGTTGTTGTTGTTGCTGAAGTGTTTATAATGTTATAATGTTGTTGTTGTTGTTGCTGAAGTGTTTATAATGTTATAATGTTGTTGTTGTTGTTGCTGAAGTGTTTATAATGTTATAATGTTGTTGTTGTTGTTGCTGAAGTGTTTATAATGTTATATTTAGATTCATAGTGTAGCAAAGATTCCCCTTCATTTTCAGCATAATCTCCAAAAATGCGGACTACAAAAAAGCGCTGATGAGTGTGGGAGAGTTTCACGAGAAAGATTTGGAGACAAGCTCGAGGTGAGCACAAGTTTGTTGCACGGAAAAGATGAGGTCAAAAAGAAAGAAATTACGGTAAATACTAGTACCCCATCCCCATAATGACGGTGCGGAGTGTTGTGTAGTCTAGCTTTGAACGAGGTTTTTCTCGACACTGGTTTATGCTACAATGCTCGCTTAGGTATCAAAAAATAGCTGAAATTCAGGGCTATTTTTTGATACCAAAGACGCATTTTTTGAAAGTACGGGCGCTTTGAAAAAAGCTTTGATTAACAAAATACTAAAAAACTTTTGCGACTACGCGACTGTACGGGGGTAGGATGCTATTACAGTATTTACGGTAGGGATTTAAGCAAAGGTTAAACCGTCAATACAGTCCGTTGCCTCAATATTGCCTGAATATCTTTATTTACGGTAAGTACTAGTTATAAGAATGAAAAATAGAAAAGATAAGTACTTTTTTGAAGAAAGAAATTTCCTTGTTTGAACGTTTGACAAGACTGACTCTTTTTGAACTAGCTGATAAGATTTGTCTCGGCACATTTTAAACCGCAAGGCCAGAAACCAAGGCCTAACTTCTAAGTCCAGAATTCTAGTGTGAAAACTTGAAAACCAATAGATTTACTGATTTGAATATAGGTTACTTGCTTCATTAAACAATTGAATAAGTCTGGCTAGAGATTTAAACTTTAGAATTGACTGAATCACTGTAAAAACTTGAGAATTGACTGAAAGACTGTAAAAAACCCGAGTATTGATTCATGAAATCATCGCCACTTTCAGATTTCTCACCCTTGGCGCAAAAGTTGTTTCCGAATTAGCGCAAATGGTTGAAAACTACTCAAATGAGAATAAGTAAGTGAAATAGGCAAAATGGTTATTTGCAATTTGCATAAACCTCCATTTAGATGGCACAGTTTCGTTTTCGAGGTAATGGCAAGACATGAGAAATATCATGTCACATCCGATCATTTTGAGGTGGGGAAATCGATTAAAATTAGTATTTCCACTTTAAGCATTGACTTGTATTCGGCTTCCCAGAAAGTCTTTTCATTTCTTTTCATACTTTCGTTGAAAAATAGCAAATTCACCTATTGCTTGCTCTAAATAAAGTATTTATTGTTCAATTTCCCATCTTTTTAAGTCACTAAACACAAAAAAAGTGTGCATGCGGGTTTGAACCCGGGAGGTAAAGAACCGAAACCAAGCGCACTAGCCAATAGGCTATGAGCTTCCATTCTCGGGGCCACGCAAAAGCGACCTATAACTATCTATGACCATGATTGACTATCTATGATCGAAAAAAGCTATACTCAAAAATTTTGTGCAAACTTTGGAGCTAAATATCTTGTGAGTTTCACCATGTTATCCCCAAATGACTTAGATCTTAGAATGATCTAAGTCATTGATCGAAGTTGATCTTAGAATCAACGCAAAAAAACTGCACCAGAAAACCTATGTCTAGGCTCAAAAGCCTCGCAAATCGAAATCGAAAGCATCTCTTTTTAAAACTCTAGTTCAAAAATTCCACTTTGATTTTCCTAGATCCAATTTTCCACTTTGATTATCAAGAATTCCAGGCTTTCGTGCATCATGTTCGAGATTTCGTCTACGAGAATACAGTTGTTGAAGTTTGTCTAATAGAAAATGCAAATTACTGTAGTAAACTCCAAAAAAATACATTTTAGTCTCCTTTTCATTCAGGAGGACGCGCGACGAGCTTGGGATCAATTGTGCACTGATTTCTGTGAGCAAACGAGAATGCAATTGGCATTGTTGGGACTAAAAGATCGTGTAAAGCACAACCAAAATGGAGTACCCAAACCATCATAAATACCTCTTTTACTGTCAATGAATTTCATTCTTTGTAAAACAAATTTTCTTGCCAAATGCTCATGGGCTCGTTTTTGATGGAATAAAGATTAAAAATGAAATACACCTTAAAATAGACTAGAAAAGGGTGATTCGTAAAAGAATTGCTTCTCACTTTACTTCTGAATCTTCTGATTCAGAAGTAAAGTATTAGAAAAACAAAAACATCAAGTAACCAAATCGAATTTTCAAACCTTTTAGTCATCCTTTAGTTCTACATAAATTTCTATTAAGTTAGTGAAGAAATCTTTTCGTTTCTTTTTATACTTTCGTTGAAAAAAATCAAAAATTCACGAGAAATCACCTATTGTTTGCTCTAAATAAAACGTGTTTATTGTTCAATTTCTCATTGTTTTAAGTCAATTTCGATTCAATTACAAGCAAATTCGCGAGTGAAAACCGTGTTTTTCGTAAAAATCTATCAAAAAAAACTCTACGAAGAAATTGGCTGAATGAATTTTGCTGAAAATTAGGCTATATACTAAACTTTTGATGCTCTATCTTTTATCTATTAACATGAAGATAGGTTTCCTTGCCGTAATACCTCTAATAGCATCCCCCCCTTATAATGACGGTCGGAGCTTCGCGTAGTCTAACTTTAAACGCATTTTTCTCGCCACTTGTTATCCTACAGTGTGCGCTTAATTCTCAAATGAAAGCTGAAATTCAGGACTATTTTTTAATACCAAACATGGATTTTTAGAAATTATGGGCACTTAGAAAAAAATGATCAGTAAAGATTTTTTGCGACTACGCGTCTGTACGGGGGCTACTATTAGAGGTATTACGGTAGCTAGTGTCTAAACCACATCATCGAGTCGTCGTTCTTTTTGACTACCCGACTTCAAGCTCCCAAAAAAATCCAGAAATAAGTCATTTTAAACCTGTTTTAATGTTCTTTTGCAGAAAAATAATTGACCTAATGAAACAAACCGTAGTTCAATTGATGCATTTATTGGTTTTAAACGAAAGTACGAAAAGGAACGAAAAGACTTATTCACCAACCTAATAGAGCTTTGGCTACTGTCGCTAAGGCGTCTCGTACTTTACGTCGTTGTACTTCAAGGAAAACCTGTCTAGTACACCGAGTATTTTAAGTTTTCTTGTGTATTTTGTGGTAAGAATTAAGATAACCTGTCTAATGTACTGTGTATTTTGGTGCACTAGAAAGGGTGTGTTTTCATTTCGCTTCTGAACACAAAGTACAGCTACGACAAAACAAGGTACTGTTCAATCTCAGAGTTGATTCAGGAGCTGACTTTTCACAAGGAAAAGCTACAAGCCAGACCAGGCGAGGTCTGAGAAAATCAATGGTATACTAAACTGAATTTTAATTTCTCCAAATCATAGCCTCTAAAAGTTACGACAAAGAATAGTGCAACTTTTCCGGTGGATAAACTCTTCACAAACAAAACAACAAGTATGTATTAGATCATAGACGAAAAACTATAGAATTTTAACTATGGTTCTTTTGTCGTCTGCGTATCCGATTTCTTTGGAGTTGGTGCTTCTTTCTTGTCAGATGTCTTGACTTCCTAAAATACATTTTAAAAGTTTTAGAACGTTACCAACCCCAGATTTTGCAACCGGTGCTCCAGAAAAATTTCTTTTCAGATTTTCGTAGGCGGAATGGAAAAAGCTTGTCATCTCAGATGAAGCGGTGTCCGTTGTAGTGGATGAACTTGTGGTTGTCGTACTTGATAGCTGCATTCCAGGCAATTGCCCACCTGGAGTACGACCTGAACCTGTTTGCCATGATGGAAATGTCATACAAAAACGAACCGTGAAAGGCTTCAGGAGGAAGGTTTCTGAAGTAGGGAACCCATTGTGCCAAAACATTATCTAGCATCTCTTTATCCGGCCCCTCATTAGATCGTCGTGTAATCTCGTTGAAGGCTAAAACAAACAAAATCAAATTAATGAAGTAAAAACTAACCTGTAAAATAGTTAGTGAGCATTTCTTGCAAATTATCACCACTTCCAATAATTGATTCCAAGTCGACATTGGCTTCATTTGCTTCCGTATCGCCCTCCTTCTAAATGAAACCACAAATGGTTTTACTTGAACAACATACCCATGAATCCAAAGCAAGTGTTCCCAGAATTTGTTCTTCAAGCATGTTCTTGGCTGCTGGTTCTTCCACAATTGGTTTTGGTGCTAAATACTGTTTTATAAAAAAAAGAAGAAAGTACCTGGAGGAACAACGTCCATTTTGTAACCAGAATCATCTCCACTGGGGCCCAAAGACGTAGCTTCATTCTCAGCCGGCGCTGCATTTAAATGCCCCATCTTTCCTCCGTCAAGTCCGATTGGCGTGAGACCTTCCTTAAAGTGGAAAGCAAAAGTTGATCATGTTTAGTGATGAAAACCCATACCATGTGGGTCATGGGATGATCCGAAGTTTCATCACCACCATGCGTAAACGCGATGTTCTCCTTATCCTCGACCATTTTCCCAGAAAGTTGAGCAATATAAAACACCTTTTCTCAAGAAGCTTCTAAAACAGCTTTTCTATAAAAAAAACATTGTGTCGTTTTAAACAACGAATAATAGTCTTTTTTTTCAAATAGACTAAAGCTTGAGTCATACACAAACAAAGTAAACCAATGCACACGCACATAAGCTACAATCAAACTACAAGAGCAAAAAGCCCAATCGGTGACACAAAAATGACTATTTTGTTGGGCTCTACATGTACAGTGGTCCACAAAAGTATTGTCCCATTGCTATCCAAAAGTTTCTTTCGTACGAAAATCTTGCAAAATAACGATATTCCCAAAAAGTGTAGGGTATTTTGCTTACCCATAATACTCTAATTTTCAATATTATAAGATTTATCCGTATATATTGCAGAAAAATTAAAGTATAAAACAAAAACAATAAATTACTTAACAAATAGCTCCACAAAAGTAATGTCCCATTTGCAAAGAATTAACAATTTTTTCAAAAAAATAATATTTGCTTGGTCCTCCTTTTGCTTTTATCGCTTCATTGAGTCGATCCGGCATGGAATCCAGGCATGGAAGGCTTCGACTTTGAAAAAAGTCTATTATAGAAAAAAAAATCTGTCTAATAATTTTGATTTTACAATCCTTTCTAAACATTTTAGTTCAAAAAGTAATTAAAAAATAATCATTCTACGCAAAGTTATAACTTTTTTTTCTTGTTTTACTCAGGAATAGGGCCCTGTTTTCTAAAATACGCTTCAAATACCGTACCCGTACCGTATCAATTTTCATCAGAAAACGCACTTTCACGTGCATTGGCATTGATCAAATGCTGATAAACATGAATGATTTGTATTGTCTTTGGCTACGAAAAATTCTGGTTAGATGGGTTGAATTTATTACTTTGTTCATGCTCTTGTGTCAACCAAAACCTATAAATTCACAGAACACGACACCGATTCGGTACTCGGTACTCATGGGGTGATCCGAAGTTTCATCACGATTCGGTAATTGATCGTTTTATACTGTAATAGCTGATGTGTACAGTTTTTATTCCTTAGATTCATTAATACTAGAAAAAGTTGATCATTATGAGTATTTGTCTGGCTTCTTCATGCTCCACAATCACCATTCCCACTGCATGAAACCACACAACCGAGATTTGAACAAATGTACGTCACATCTTTTGTCGCACAAATTGCCTGGTTGTTCTTTGTGCAGAAGCCGAAACCACTGCTATGATGAGCCTAAAAAGCTCTCTTTTTATTGCTTTGTTTGCAAAGAAAATGCAATGAAAAGCTCTCTTTTTATTGCTTTGTTTGCAAAGAAAATGCAATAAAAAGCTTCTCTTACCAAGCCACCCAGAAATCCTCAACTCACCGCGCAACACTTCAGCACGTTGGCGATTGGCGCAGCGGATGTGCATTGGGGATTGCACTCCGGTATATAGCGAATGTAGCGAAGACCAGAAGGTTCCCCGCATAAAGAGATCGCTGAAAGGATTCATTTTTGACATAACAATTAGCGTGTTACCTGACTCTAGCAGACTAAAATTAGCAATATTAACACTCTTACTAATTTTAGATTCTAACAAGGGAATGGTCTCAGCTCGAAGTTTAGCGGATAGTGTGCTAGTCTACGAAACCTATCAAGTTTTTTGGCTTGGGTTCGAATCCACCTTTACCAATTTTTTTGCTTTTTTGACACATTTCCATTAAATATTTATGTTTTATGCATTATTTTAGAGCTTCTAAAGATTTTCATAAAACTTGTAGTTTTCAAAGTAGTTAATCGAGTTCAACGTAGGCTACACATTTTAAAATGCAAAGACGAAGCTTTTTTTATCGAGTCTCATGGTATCAACGCAAAAGTTTGCGCTTTTTACACAAAAAAAAAGCAATTTACAGTAAAAACAATACTGTTTTGCTGCTAGAATTTTTTTAAATTCGTAAACTCATGAAAAAATGAAGTCAGAGTTCGAAAATGTTTATAAACTCCAGGGGAAAAAGAAAGAAAAAAGAAAAGAAGAAAAAGAATGAGCATGTTATGTCTTTAGAAACTGTAGAAGCTGTAAAATGATGCATAAAACATAAGTATTTAATGCCAATGCGTCAAAAAAGCAAGAAAAATGGTGAGGGGAGGGTTCGAACCCAAGCCAAAGGACTTCATAGGTTCCGTAAACTAGCACACTATCTGCTAGACTACCGAAGCCATTGGGACTTCCAATTTGGAAGGTCAAAATTGGACAAATTTAAGGTACTCTCCCAAAAAATCCGAAAGGACTTTTCCACCAACCCAATACATTAGTCTCCTTAGACCTTTACAGATCTAAACCTAAAATTAGCAGAGATAATGTGCATAGAAAAGTGTGCCATTTGCTTAAGTTTGGACCCATTAGAGTTAGTTAGTCAGCTGAACTTTTGTCTTACAACTTTTGTCCTTACAGAGCAAACTCAGCTTGATTTACTCACCCATAATTGCGAAGAAAAATGCCCAGAAACAGTGGCTCATTTTCGAATCAGAAAATCGGTGCACTCAATGGGTCATTTAGGGGTATTTATATGGACTCGAGTGCATCCAAAATCACTAGAAAATATGCGTGCACAGTTCGTGATAAAATTTACATCATCCGGCACAAGACTGGGGTTTTGATCGTTCAAACCACAGATTAATCCTCTTGGCCAAAACGGAAACCTTTTTTTTTCTCTCGAGGTCAAAAATCAAAAAAGTTTATCAATAATAAATTATCATAAGGTTCACCACAGATTGTCACAAAATGGCATCACTTTTTGGGCACGGAAACGTGAGAAGAAGTCTATTATGAGGAAGCAAACTGTAAAGTTTCACTACAGTATGCCAGATTAAACGGTATTTGGGCGTCAGCATAAATTTGAAAGCTTCAAGATCGACTTGCCGTAGTGAACACACAAGCTGAAGCTTTATAATGGTTTTGATTTGCAGCGAGATTTCATTAACAGTCAAAATTACCCTTCATTTTCTCAATTAGCATTAAGCTCCGCCTCACAAAGTTTCCCCCGGATTCCCTCTTCTCATTTTCTACGATTTTCACGTCTTACTCGGTAATTGTAATGCAGATTTCAAAATTTTCATTTTCTAAACAAGAAAATGTGAGTTTTACTTCTTTAATATGCTTAATGTACTCGGCGTTAAACTTTGTTTGTTTTCAGAAACCCCCACCAAAGAGGACATCGAGACGTCGATGCCGGATTTGCTGAAGTTAAAGATGAAAACCTATTCGATTGTTTTACTCCCTTTAAAATTTCTTTGCTTTATTGTATTCGATTCGTTTTCTTGTGACTTACTGAAATGAATTGTTTACAACGGAATGCACATCGAAAAATGCACTGAACATTTCTTGTTGTTTACAAACCAAACTTCAAGTTTTAATAACGAGGATTTTTGATAGTCATAATCGTAATTGGAGACTTTTTCATGTTTGTGATAGCACGATCACAGTATGTAGGGCTTAACAAACTTCAAAAAATTTCCCAGTCTTGGGGGAAATAGCCTTTTACGCCCAGTCGTTACTTGCCATTTGACACTTAAAAACCGACATACCGTAGTTTTGGCGAAAATACGGTAGAATTTTCTCCGACTTTTTCTTCACTCAGTCATTTTGAGATACTAGTAAAAGTGCCGCGGATTTGCGCTAAAATCCTTTACTCCAGTTTCATTTGCGCCGCGTATCATTTGCATCAAATTTACGCTTGTGAAAATCACTGTAATAAATTACTTTTTTCAATTTTCTGCTTCGTAATTTTAATTCATATTGTTTTCAATTAGAAAACACGTTTAAATACATGTACAGCCCAAAAAAACAGTTATTTTTGTGTCACCGATTGAGCTTTTTGCTCTTTCGGTTTTATGCCAATTTCAGATCCGGCGAAGGCGTCAAAGTAGCATCGTCGATGAGAAAAAGTAAAAATTAACAATTAGCGTTGATAGGAAAGTGTGTTGAAAAGCGCAAATTTGGCACTTTTGCTAATACTGCCTCATTTTTCACAAAAGTTTCTTGCTTTCTATCGGTCTGTAATTCAACAATTTTGTCACTTTACGAAAGCGCCACGAGTAGTTAAGTCCCACTCGCGCGTTTACTTGCAAAGACGTAAGATCCGTGTTCACGTATTTCGTATTTGCATAAGATCCGTAGTAATTTCGATAGTGCCCCTTTATTAGTCATTCTTTTATTTTTTCAGTGAAGTCTTTTTGTTTCCTATTCAACACTAACTTTTTTGTTTAGGTAAATACTTCGAGTTTTGCAAGATGGCCGACAAGCTAGCCAAGGAATTCGCTGGATCGTGGAACTTCGTCAGCGGCGAGAACTTTGAGGAGTACATGAAGGAATGTGGTGTCGGGCTCATAACGCGAAAGCTTGCAGCAAATCTCAAGCCGGTCCTCGAGTTCGTCATTGAAGGTTTGTTGATTGTCATGTTATAAAACGCTAGGAGGTGCCTTATTTACAAAGTGAAGCAATATGCGTAGGCGCTGACTCTAAAACTGGTATATTGAAGCGTCATTACTCTTGGAAACTCATTTTTTGCTTTAGATGGTAAATGGACAATGACATCAACCTCTACTTTCAAGACGCATGTGGTCAAGTTCGAAATCGGCGCTGAATTCAACGACAAGACCGCTGATGGACGTGATGCAAGTTTTTTTCCATTATCCATTATCCAAATGAATACCTATTGAAGTAGTTATGTAATTGTTGTTTGATTTAGGTGAAGAGCACTTTCTTCGTCGAGGGAGATAAACTCATCCAACAAGAAATCGGCCTCAAGGGCGGAAAGGACTCGCGTTTTGAGCGTTACATCGAGGACGGAAAGCTGAAGATTGTCTGCGAGTGTAATGGTGTCAAATCAACTCGCATCTACGAGCGGGCTTAACTTGAATGTTTGTAGCTTATGTTCGTGTGCATTGGTTTACTTTGTTTGTGTATGAATAAAGCTTTAGTATATTTGAAAAAAGACTATTATTCGTTGTTTAAAACGACACAATGTTTTTTATAGAAAAGCTGTTTTAGAAGCTTCTTGAGAAAAGGTGTTTTATATTGCTCAACTTTCTGGGAAAATGGTCGAGGATAAGGAGAACATCGCGTTTACGCATGGTGGTGATGAAACTTCGGATCATCCCATGAGCCACATGGTATGGGTTTTCGTCACTAAACATGATCAACCTTTGCTTTAGGAACCGAAGGATGTTTTCGTCATGGCATTGCGAAAATCGGCAAACAAAGAGGAAATGGCTAATTGGACCGATGTTCGTGCACATTACAAAAAGTTTACTGGACGACACTTGAATCAAGATGAGCTTGGAAGAATTGCGGAAAATCTCGACAAAACTAGGTATGTTATCTATTCTTTTTCTGTAATTTGGTGTAATTTAGACGAGAGTTGTTCAACGATGAATTGTCCGCCTACTTGACTCCGATTGACTCTCAAGGAAATGTATGTTTTTGATGGCAAAGTAGAGTTTTTTTTTGTATTTAGATTGTTCGCGTCCACTTTAAGAAAGGTCTCACGCCAATCGGACTTGACGGAGGAAAGATCGGGCATTTAAATGCAGCGCCGGCTGAGAATAAAGCCATGTCTTTGGGCCCCAGTGGAGATGATTCTGGTTACAAAATGGACGTTGTTCCTCCAGGTACTTTCTTCTTTTTTTTATATAAAACAGTATTTAGCACCAAAACCAATTGTGGAAGAACCAGCAGCCAAGAAAATGCTTTTACTTCGAAAAGAAAAACAGCCGGAGCCTTTGCCAAAACAAAATGTTGAAGAAGCGCCACAGCGGTATGGATATCAGGTTTGTACTGAAGATGCGTTAACAAACTTAGTTGATTTATTTAGATGGATTTTGGCCGCTCTTTGCCTGCAGTACTTGCACCACAGAAAGCCTTTCATGAGCAAATTGAAAAGGAACTCACTCAGGTGCGCATCGAGAAAGAGGAAAATGCTCGCGAACTAAAGAAAATTCGTCGCTTGACCGAAGAAATTGAAGAGGTTTCCTTTTTTGAAAAAGCTATTGAGAAATGTTTAGGGGCTTAAACACGAAGGAATCGATACACAATCTAACAAATCTGCTGTCGAGCCTGGAACGCATCAACCTCAGGTTGGCGTGTTACTTGTTGAATATGAAAATTGTTTGTTAAGCGTGTTCCTACCTGGGAAAAGGGTTTTGCAACTGTTGAATCAAATGCTTCTAGCCATGGCAAAACGGTATTGGTTTCTTTTAGTTTTTACGGCTAATATAATATATGCTTTAGGTCAGGGAAATTGCTGCTTTTCTCGAAGAGTGCAGAAACAATGAGCCAAACCATGGTGAACACGGAGAGAAGAATGTTTTGGCTCTCGGCGAAGAAGTACCACAAGAAGATCTTGTCATTGCTGGAATAACGAATGCTCCTGAAATTACCAAAGAAAGTTCCTCGAAAAAGGTATGTATTTATGACCCACTCATCTCTTTAATTAATTCAGAAGAAGGACCACAATCGCCATCTTATGAGACAACGCCAGCGCCTCACTTGCTGTTCAATTCTTTGAATCTTTAACGTTAACGGAGCTTAGTTAATGCATGTTTGCGGGAACAATGCTATCAGTTTATAAATTTTGTTTTTTTATGTTACGTCTAAAGTGTTGCAATAAATATGGTTTTAACGTTTTTTACGAGGTTTATGTATCGGGGTGTTTGCACACTTGTGTTCTTTTAAGTTCAATGTGTTTGTGGTATATTTTTTGTAGCACTGATTATCATCAACGTTTCACTTTTTAGAATAAAAATGGTAGTAAGGCAACATTTTCGAATGAAAAGAAAGACTCGTGGAATAACGGTCAAGAGAGAGGAGTGTAAGTGTTGTATTTTGATGGCGTTTCTTTTCAAGACCCTGGCGCAAAAGCGGTGCTGACGCAAACATTGTTCGTATGGGAATCCAACGTCCTTCACTAAAAACAAAACATTTCTTAAACTCGACTAAAGACACTAAAATTTTTATGTGGTTTTTTGTTTGTTATTTAATTCGAATTATTCAGACACTTTTGCTTGTTGCACGACGGTGGTCTCAAGAATGCCCGAAGACGAAAGCAAGAGGCCTATGAAAAATGTGGAGGTTATTTGCTTGCTATAATTTTTTTTCAAAAGGTTTTTAGACAAACGTGCTCGAAATGGCTGCTCGTCTTGCCGAAGTGCCCCGAGGAAAGGACGCGTCGGATTTGCCTGGTGAATCCCCGTTGGCCCGCCGAAGACTTCATTCGGGTTCGCCGATCACGGTATTTCTAATACACAATCAGTTTTTTAATCGCTTTTAGTTTTTGAAGAAGCTTCGAGGGCACCAAACGAAGAAAAACTCTAAGGTTTAGTCAGAAATTTTAAAACTATTTTTTTTGTTTAGATTCATCCGTGCCTTGCACCTTACGAAGATCTTTTACCACCATTTGACGTCGATCCGCAAAATCCTGACCAATTGGCCAAAATTCTTTTGACCAGTGGGGCGAAGGTATCGTACCTTACTACATTGATCTTAATGCATGTTATTCAGGCAAAGTTATATCTTAATCACTACCTGGAGGAGGCAAGGTTGTCGGGTTTACTTGTTGGTGACTCCCAATTGCCATCATTGGTTTGTACTTTGTCGTCAACGAATCACAAAAAGCTTTAGGAACAAAGTGCTGAATACTTTGCCAAGTTGTGCGTTGCTGCCGAAAAAGCCGGTGAACCGAAAAATCTGACTTTACCATCCTTGACTCCGGAAGATGCTGCGAACGCTCTAGCCCTTCTTAATGCAATCAACTTGCGGTAGGGTTTAAGCTAATCAATATCACAAATACGTTAATAATAAAAGAGTAGGATCGTGGAACTTCTTAATTCCAAATCTTTAGTCGATCTCCTTCGCGACGAGTGGAAAGCATAATGGCGGCTGGTCAAGATCACCCGGGTGCTCAAGCCTCCGATGTTTGTTTGTATTAAGAATGTTTATAGTGTCTTGACTTAGGTTGATGGTGGAACTGGTTCCGATATTGCCTCTTTAAATGGCGAAGATGAGCTGATCTCCGACGAAGACACTTTATTTGGACTCGCCTGCTGTGCCGGATTTCCTGAACTGGCTCGAGAGCTGATCTATCTTCGTGGTACAACGGAATTCGAAGGTCCTCACGATTGCACCCCCCTAATGGAAGCTTGTTCTGCGGGAAGAATAGAAATTGGTATTTACTGCATTTTGTTTGATTGCACTGTTCTCAATTCTAGTGCGTGTTTTACTTGAACATTGTGCCGACATCAATGCACAATCAGCTACAAGCAACACGGCTTTGATTTATGCAGCAGCAGCTGGATTCCTCGAAGTATGTTTTTTAGAATTTATATTCGACTATTTTAAATTTAGTGCATCAAGCTCCTAATTGCCACCGGTCGTTGTAACCTTGAGCTGCGAAACGAGAATGGACATTGTGCGCTGATGGAGGCGGCTAGTGCTGGGCATCTGAATGTGGTCGAAGAACTGGTGAAGAGCGGCGCATTGGCTGTCTATATGAACACGAATAGTGACTTTAAAGTTGGCTTGGTACGAGCTTTTACTTTTTTACACCTAAGTCCTTTAAGGAGTCACCCTTAACTTTGGCCGCTTACAAGGGGCATGTCCAACTGGTCGAGTACTTGTTGTCAATTTCATCTGGATCCAACCGAGACGAAGAACTTCATACCGCGTTGATGGAGGCTTGTATGGATGGTCACACGGAGGTTCTTTGGAAATATGTTTTTAAACAAGCCATTGTTTTATTTGTAGGTGGCAGCTTTGCTTTTGAAACATGGAGCGCCGGTCAATCTTTTATCCGAATCGTTTGAAAGTCCGCTTACTTTGGCGAGCTGCGGAGGACACACGACACTGGTTTGCCTAACGATCTTAGTTTTAGACTGATCATTTAGGTGAAAATGCTGCTGGATGCTGGAGCACACCTCGAAGAACCGAATGATGAAAGTTATACACCATTGATGGAAGCCAGTCGAGAAGGTCACACGGTAGGACTTTATTTATTTCTCTTTTGATGATTACATTTAGGAAGTTGTAAAGCTGCTTTTGGAAAAGGGTGCAAATGTTAATGCCCAAACAGATGAGACCGGTGAAACAGCAATGACGCTGGCAGCTTGTAGTGGACATACGTAACTTATATCTACTTAACCGCAACACTGTTTCACTTTAGTGAAGTTCTTGCTTTGTTAGAGAAAAGTGGGGGTGATTTGGAAATTGGGGCCAACTCGCCGTTGATGGAAGCCAGCCAAGAAGGACATTTGGAAACCGTGAAATACATTCTGGATTACGCAAAACGAAAGGTAATTTCACAAATATCCAGATTGTTTTAATTGACTTGTAGAAGCTGAACCCAACTGAGTGGAAGGCTAATCTCAATACGTCGTTGATTGTTGCTGCCGAAAATGGACATTGTGCGATTGCCCAGGCACTTGTAGGACATGGAGCCGAACTCGTACGCTCTTACGATCTCATTCTAGCAAATTAAAATGTTTTTAGAACTATGAAGTGGACAATCGAAACGCTTTGATGAGAGCGGCAAAGCAGGGATATACAGATGTGGTTGCCTACTTGTTAGAGAATGGAGCTGATGCCAATCGAAAATCCTCAAACTCCGATACAACGCCTCTCGTCTTAGCTAGTGGAAGTGGACACAAAGACATTGTTCAACTACTTCTGAAACATGGAGCTAATCCAGGAGTGATTGTTAAGGTTAGTGGGTAGCATAATGACAAAATTAACAATTTTTAGGATGGATACACGTGTGTGATGGATGCGGCTGGTTTGTTAGCATTTGTTTACTCATGGAATAAATTTTAGCGCATGGCCACACGGATATCGTTGAATTACTTCTTGACCATGAGGGAGCCATTTTGACGAGCAACCAGCCACCCACATCAACAAATGTCTTGTCGTCTGGGCTTCCCCCACCGCCTTCTGCGTTACCACCTGCCAACCCAGCTCAACACGCACGAGCGGTAAACTTTGATCAAATTGACACTGACTTTCCTATTTTAGCGTCGTCAAAATAAAAAAACGTACCCTCCTGTTTCATCGCCTACCCTTGGACAACCGAATTTGACGGGCAAACCGCGCATCGAGGTATTATTCAAATCCTCTTTGTTATAAAGAGTTTTAAGCCACCCGAACCAGCCCGGCGCGCCGTGCTACATCAACAAATTCTGGGAACGCTTGCTTTGGATGCATGGGTATGTTGTTCAAGTAAAACCATTTGTGGTTTCATTTAGAAGGAGGGCGATACGGAAGCAAATGAACCCTATGTCGACTTGGAATCAATTATTGGAAGTGGCGATAATTTACCAGAAATGCTCGCTAACTATTTTACAGGTTAGTTTTTACCTCAATAATTTGATTTTTTTGTTTTAGCCTTCAACGAGATTACACGACGATCTAATGAGGGGCCGGATAAAGAGATGCTAGATAATGTTTTGGCACAATGGGTTCCCTACTTCAGAAACCTTCCTCCTGAAGCATTTCGCGGTTTGTTTTTGTATGACATTTCCATCATGGCAAACAGGTTCAGGTCGTACTCCAGGTGGGCAATTGCCTGGAATGCAGCTATCAAGTACGACAACCACAAGTTCATTCACTACAACGGACACCGCTTCATCTGCGATGACAAGCTTTTTCCATTCCGCCTACGAAAATCTGAAAAGAAATTTTTCTGGAGCACCGGTTGCAAAAACTGGGGTTGGTAATGTTCGAAAACTTTTAAAATGTATCTTAGGAAGTCAAGACATCTGACAAAAAAGAAGCACCAACTCCAACTCCAAAGAAATCGGATGCGCAGACGATAAAAGAACCGGCAACTCGAACACGAACCTCAGCTGAATCAACATCGCCAGCATCAAGCGTTGCCCAAATTCCCAAAGATCCAGCCAGCATCTTAAAAGCAAAGGCGCAAGTGGAAGAATGTATATTATGCGTTTTTTTATAATACAATTCTTGATTTCTAGACCTTGCTCATCTAACACCAAAGCAACAAATGGAACTTCACGAATCGATTTTCAAATGTCATCCTGGTGAACCAGCAGCTTTGAAGTCAAACATCGCAAATATTCTCATTCGACATCCATTTCCCCGAGAGACGTTAAAGAACTACGTCGAATACATTGAAGATCTCAAGGTATTTTTTTCAATTGCTTTCAATTTATCTTTTTTATTAGACTCGAACGGTTCGTCGAACTCAAAGTGAGGGTGATGCGGGAAAGCAATCTGATCAGCCGGTTAAAGTTGACGCCGATGGCGCATTCTTCAGAGAAGCACTCACAAAGATTAAAGAGCACTTCATGTAAGACAAATCTAATCGCTCTTAAAATACCGAACTTTTTTAGCAATACACCCTTCAGCGGAAAAAGCACCAGCAAAGTTGATCGAAGCAACCAACCGTGCAAGCTTTCTGTGGACATGATGACAGAAAGTAACCACGATACACCGCTCTCGTTTGCTTGTCAAAATGGGCAAACATCTGTTGTTCAAAATCTACTCCGAAGAGGTGCTAACAAGGAACACCGAGATAAGAAGGTTTGTTATAGTTTTCACGCTTTTTCATTCTGTGATTTTCAGGGTTTCACACCTTTGATTCTTGCTGCTTCTGGGGGCCATGTAGCGGTTTGCGAATCTTTGCTCAACGCGGGTGCAGAATTGGAGGCTCAAAGTGAACGCACAAAAGACACCGCTTTATCATTGGCTTGCTCGAGTGGACGAAAAGAGGCTGTCGAGTGGTTATTAAAGAAAGGTGCTAATAAGGTGAGCAAGTGCCTTGTAATTAGATTTTTTAAACTTTACCTTTCAGGAACACCGAAATGTCAGCGATTACACGCCTCTATCGTTGGCTGCAAGTGGTGGTTATGTGGACATTGTGACAATGCTGCTCGACTCTGGCGCCGAGATTAATTCAAGAACCGGAAGCAAAGTAATTAAGGACTGCCTAATAAAATTACAGAGCTGAATTTAGCTTGGAATTTCCCCACTGATGTTAGCTGCAATGAATGGCCACAAAGATGCAACAAGGATTCTATTGGAGCGCGGTTCTGATATCAACGCTCAAATCGAAACAAACAGAAACACGGCATTAACTTTGGCTTGTTTCCAGGTATTAAAGATTGCTTATTTGGATTAGTGTGTATGCCAGAACTGATTTTGTATTTTAGCCAATTTTGAATGACTGCTCTAGAATCGCGCTAAATGATGCTAGAAATATGTCAAAGGTAAAACACTATACGATCAATTCTAAAACCTACAAATTAGTAGTTTGTGGTTTTCATATACCCGGTAGTTTTTGTAAAATTTCTTTGAAAACGCTGAAATCGCATTCAAAATTGGCTACTTCAAAAAAAACTTTTATCCAATATATTTATATTTAGGGTCGAACCGAAGTTGTTCGCTTGTTGCTGCAATATAATGCCAATGTGGAACACCGAGCAAAAGTAAGTGCTCTTGTTTTGCAAGTCACAAAACTACATTTAGACTGGACTAACACCACTGATGGAGGCTGCAAATGGTGGCTATACCGAGGTCGGCGATTTGCTTTTGGATGAGGGTGCTGATCCAAACACTGGTCCTGTGCCATCTTCAAGAGATACTGCGCTAACAATTGCTGCAGATAAGGTTTGCCTTATTTAAATGGCTTTCTATTTTATAATTTAGGGACACGACAAGTTTGTTGAAATGCTTGTGCTTCGACATGCCCAGATTGATGCCAGAAATAAAAAGGGTTGTACAGCTTTATGGCTAGCGTGCAATGGTGGTCATTTGGAAACTATTAGGATTTTGGTCGAGAACGGGGTTTGTTAAAACTCGTCATAACTAGTTCATTATTTTTTCAGGCTGATGTTGATTGTGCTGATAATCGAAAAGTAACACCGCTAATGATCGCCTTTCGTAAAGGGCATTTACCAGTAAGAGCCGTTTTTAAATCTAAAATTTCCCAATCTAGGCTGTCAAATATATGGTTCAACACGTCACTCAATTTCCTTCGGATCAAGATCTGGATCGTTATATTGGGACGATCACGCCAACGGAAAATGTACGGCGTTTATTTTGATCAGGTTATGAAAGGTTTTTAGGAACTATTGACGAAATGCACCGAGTGTCGGGGAGAAATTGTGTGTGCCAAAGACAAACAATCAATTGAAGCCGCCAAAGCTGCTGAAGCTCTTTTACAGATGTTGGAAGAAGAGGTTTGTTGTGAGCTATTTAACTGTTTATGATTATTTAAAGGAGGAGCAATTGAGGACAAAGAAACAAGCGAAGCAAAGGAAGAACGAAAAGAAAAAGGCCAAGAAACAAGCGGCAAAGAAAGTTGCAGACGATGAGAAATATGAATCGGATGCCGAGTTAAAAGAAGAAAAGGACGAGGAAAATGTCGGTGTCATCTCTATCAAAGAAGCGCCGGTCAATGACTCTCTCTCATCCTACACCACTGCCGACGAGGCACTTGCGCCGGTTGTCATTCCAAAACCTACACCCATTGAAGAGCGTGTACCCATCGTACTACCTTCACCGAAAATTCGTTCTCCATCACCGATTGCTATCTGCACCAATGTTGAAATGACTAACTCAGGTATTTCCTTTCTAATATTCGTTTTTGATTTTTTAAGGCGTGGAAAAAGATTCAAGGACAATTTTTATTTTAGCTGGATCGAGTGTTATTGAACGCCAAAAAGCAAAGCGTGCTGAGAAGAAAGAAACCCAACGTGAAAGGAGACGACACGAGAGTGGAAAGCATCTCGCGAATCATGGCACGATGAACTCTTCAACATCTCCATCACAGGTATGTATAAAAGTTATTTATGAGTAGAATAATAATGCATTTTAGAGTCAGAAAAGTCCTGTGTCAAATTACATAGCGTCTGTTCAAAACGAAGAATGGGTGAAAGCTAATTTCAAAAGAAACAAGGTTGAGAACACAATAAATATCTTTTATTCGTGTTTTTAGGGGAAAATGGGAGTGTCGAGCACCAGAACATTGGCTCAAACTTCTAGCGGCCCGATTGATAGCTTTTTCCTGGATGATGCTGGAGTTTATGCTGGCTGGAAAGATGTTGAATTGGTAAGACTTTCACGAATTGTATAATGGTTAAAATGTAGGCCATTTGATGAACAAATTGAATAACGTCTGAAAAATTTAGTCACGCCGTCGAGCCACTATAATGAGTTTGTCATCGAGTGCAATTGCTCGTGTAATTGGTCGTGGAGGTTCAAACATTAACGCAATCCGAGAAGCCACTCAAGCTTCAATTGAAGTAGAGCATCTAACTTGAGTTACTGAAATTAGTTAAATTTTAGGTTGAGAAGCAAAATCCGAAAAAGGAACAAGCTGAACGGCAAATTACAATTCGAGGAACTCTGGAGACTGTGAAGTAAGAGAATTGTTTTAAAAAGTGTTAACTAAATGGTATTAAAAGGAAATAAAATATTTGTTTTAGGTATGCGGTCCAAATGATTAATGGTCTCGTCGTCGACCAAGAAGCATCAGTCAATGACATCGTCAGACAGGTGTGCTTTGATTTTTTCAATGCCAGCGTGTTGAACAAACAAATACAACTAATAGTGATGTTTCAGGTTCTAAGAAGCGGCAGCGTTTCAACGGGATCGGCGGCATCATCAGAAGGAATAAAAGGCAACACAACTGGCTTCCAATGTGTTCAAGATTTCAAGGTAATGTATCTAGTGCGACTAAACAATGGCATCTTTTAGACAAGTCCGAAGATGACGCGTGCCGCCACAGCCTCAGCTGCTCCTGCACCAACAACCAATATCTGGCAACAACGTATGGCCGCTCGTCAGAAAGAAGAGGACGCACGCCGTGTTTCTACATCACCAAAGGGAGAACACCGGATTCCCATGCCGAAACAAGAACAAGTTGAGGATAGAACAACTTTCAAGCCACTTGTGCACACGCAAATTGTTTCGGATTCAACCAGAGGTCAACTTTTTCAAAACGCTTAGCATATTTATTTCTTTAGATTCTGGTGGAAGTTCATGTTTGACAACTCCATCTCCACCCATTTCTCCACCTCTTGCCGAGCCAATTATGAATGGTAATTGTAATTTTTATTTGACTTTTACACATGTTGTCATAGTTCCACCATTTGTGGCTCCCAACCCGTCGGGCGTTATTTCTCGTCCCATTCGGCCAGAACAACCCTCGTCAGCTTCTTCATCGGGAATTTCTGCCTCATCGACAATCTTGACTGCTCCTTCACCAAATTCGACCGCTTCAATCATTGGACAGCCATACCACAGCAGTGAGCCAACGACTCTTGCATCGATCATTGAAAGTCCCACATTGCCAACCACGACAAAAGGTGCGGCTTTTATGTTCTGTTTATTTAATCTATTGGATTTAGCATCTCCATTGCTTCCACCGACCGTCGATTTACATTCAATCAACTTTGCTTCAATATTTCCATCATTTCCAAATGAAACTCCAAAAGACAATGCCTTTATGCCAATCATTAATGCTCCGCCAACTTTGATCAACGGTAAGGAAATGCAAATTTTTCAATCAATGGCCTTTATATTAAGAAGAACGAGCGAATACCCCATCAATCTCTGGTCTGCCATCTTCGATTGCCGACATTTGGAGTAGCGCTTCGACTGGTGGAGAGCCGTGGAACAGCAAATTGCTTTTAAATGGTTTTGGCTCACTTTCTCTCGGAACGCCTGCACAAGTTTGCTTTTAGAGTTAGATTGGGCTAAACCGATTTTAGTCACATGTTCAAGATTGGGGAACTGCCGCAAAAAATGATCCGCAACTAGCTTTTACTCAACAGGTATTGGTTTTAAATTTAATTGTCTTAAATGTGTTTTCAGGGCAAACAACTCGGCAATATTCTCCAACCAAGTGATAGCCGGCCGGGCTCAAATCAAACAGCAGTTTTCGCAAATATTGGTAAAGATGAGACAGCCGAAGGATGGTCTTCTCCTAAAAAGGTTTGTGCACTAATTGGCTTTATTGATTACGCTTTTTTTAGTTTATGGGTAACATGGTCAAGTCGCAAAATGGAATCGGTAGCGGCTATGTTCGACCTGCCTCGGCTGCTGGTGGAGTGTCATACAACACGGTTCCAAATTTGACTACACAACCTCCACGTCCAATGGTTACCGCACAGTCGCACAGTCGAACACAAACTCCACTTTCGGATCAACATTTTTACAGCGTAAATTATTTGTTTACAAATTTCTTACCTTTTATCCTGTTTAGCTTGCCGCTCAATTGGCAGCAAGCTCACAGAAACCACTTGGCGAACGAGCACCTCATGCCTCGGTTGCTCAATTCAATGGAGGAGCGACAACGGCTATGATCAGTCAAAAGACTATTCCAAATGTTTACCAGGTTGGTGTGAATTACAGGGACTCTAGCTCGGAACCAATAACGGCAAATAGCTTCGGTAAATTACTACTGTTTAGGCGGCCCCCCATGAATTTGACGCGCTTGGTCAAATTTTACAGAAAACCACATTTGCTGGTGTGCATCATCAAACTGTCGGAGCCCCAATTAATAGCCAAGCATCGGATTATCAAGTTAGAAACTTCCTCTACTGCAGTTTTAGTTCTTGTTTTAGGCAATTCTCCGGAACTCAAATCGAACTGGGTCAGGCTATGGCTTTGCCGGCGCCCCACCGCCGGGCTTTGCTCCGATCCGACAAGAAAATACCCCAGCAGTACCAACGATTCGTGGATTTACCCAATACAATTCATCGCTTCCAGCAACAACTATCCCTCAAACGCAACCATCTGTGCATCCTGGATTCCCACTTTACAATGGGTAGGTTTTAGGAATTTTTCCGCATAGGTCTAAAATGGAAACTCATTTACAATCATTTTTTTAGGCAAGCTGGATCAACAACAACAACATGGTCTAAACCAACACCAAATCCAATCAATGGAACTCACTGGACTAACGGATGGAGCTAAGCAAGATCATTTCATCCACCAAATACTTTGTTAAGGTTTTTGTTATTTCATGGGTACTATTTTCGCTGTGTACAAATGAAATTAGAGTCTCTTGATAAGAAATTTTCTTTTCTCCAGGAGTCATAGTCATTTTTTTCTATGTTCATTTGATTTGTCTTGTTTTGTTTTTCCTATTTACATGTGCTCTGTTTTCATGATACGGTGCATTACTGTGTTTGGGAATCCGATTTCCGTCTCTGATCTTTCGCATGTGGTTAGGTCTTTGCACGTATTTTTGACGCGTATTTTCATCTCATTTAACTTTTTGCTACAAATGTTGTCATTTTCCTCCTTCTCTTTCGTTTTGAACCGAGTTTATTTGTTCTGGTCCCATTTCCGTCCCCATCTTTAGCATCTTCAACTTTAGTTGGTTTATGAGATCGAAAGCCTCCTCATTTCATAAATCTCGACATGTTTTCCTCCCTGAGGACCGTTTATATCCCGGATTCTGGTCCTCATTCCCAAACATGTACAAGTTGTTTTTGCTCCATAATTTGTTTTCCTCTTTATTTGTTATTGTTCTTTATTTTGTGAAAGTTGCCGGTTTATGATCTAGCTTTGTTGTAAACTTCCTTTGTTTCTGAGGAAACAAACTCTCCCAGTCTCTCATTGAAAGCAGATCAGGCCTTTTAATTTGTATTCTTTTTTTCTTTGTTCTTGAAAGATTACCGGATATTTGATTGGTCTATTTTATCCGGGGAAATTGGTTAAATAAAACTTAACTTGGTAACACGTGCATTCAAGATGAAACAGCTCGAGAGCAACAAATATTTTTATAGTATGTGTGATATCAAAATCAGACAAAGTATAAAATTTCTTCTGGATTCTGAATAGTGGCTGAGCGGCCGGCACTGGTATTATAGAGAATAACTCGCAAATCAAAAGATTGAGTAGAAATTTGATTAGGTTTGAAACGCTAACAGCTTTGCGTTAAAAAGATGATTGGCCGATTGTTGCGTGGTGCCTGGTCTATCTCCCAGCCGAGCTCTTCGAAAAATTTTCAGAAAATCATCGTGGCAGGTTTTTTTTGTTCGTTTACCTACCTAACAGTATTTATTTAGCCCACCGAAACATGTACATACAAGTTCAAGACACACCAAATCCGTTGACGCTAAAATTTCTCCCAGGACAAACGCTAATCAAGTTCGAGTTCAAAGAGAGTCAAGCCAAAATCACATGTTTAGTGAGGAAAGTCGAACCTATGAATTTCCGAATGTATCGTCGGCAAAAACGAGTCCATTGGCTTTACAATTATTCAGGTAAAAGAAATATAATTACCCTTCTGATACTGGTTTTTTAGAATTGATGGCGTGAAATCCGTTTTCTTCGGCCAAGATTTCATCACTATAACAAAGGTTAGTTTTATATGCAAACTATTCAAACGTTCTAAATGGCTGCTCATATTTTATTATTCTTGCAATTTAGAAAGATGAGGATACGGACTGGGGACTAATGAGGCCGCACATTTTTGCCACCATTGCCGATTATGTGCAAAGCGGGAAAGCTATCGTTTCGGAAGGTCATGTTCCTGAATATTCCGATACTGGTGGGTAATTTTTATCCTTCGACAGTTTTTAAATATCTAGCTTTTACGTAGGATTGTTTGCTTGAATAGGCCTTTCTTCCTGTCTCTCCTTCGCTTAGGCTAGAAAAATGGCTGCGGCAAATGAAGCATAAACATTTGCGGATTTACTGTGCACTTTGATTTAAAATTCCTTATTCTGATAAATCTTAAATGACTGTTTTTAGCTATTCTCGACACCGATGATGACACGGTGGCCATGATAAAAGAGCTACTTGAAAGTCGAGTGAGACCGATGGTGCAAGAGGTTTGTTTTAGTTATTAATTTGGCTTTATACTTGTCCAAAGTTTATTAGATTAAATTATGCGCTGTTTTTTAGGATGGTGGCGATATCACGTACATGGGATTCGAGAATGGCATTGTCAAGTTAAAGCTGAAGGTTTGTTTTCAATGAGCATATTGAGCGATTTAAGTGCTGTTAATCTTCGGTGTTGATGTTAAACATATTTTTTCAGGGTTCATGCACCGGATGTCCGTCATCCTCCGTGACCTTGAAAAGTGGAATCCAGAATATGCTGCAGTTTTATGTTCCCGAAGTCAAGGTCAAATTTTTTGCAATTAATTTTAAGATATTGAATATTTAGGAAGTAATTGAAGTAAAGGATGAAGGTGATAATTTGGCCGAGGACGAGTTCAAAAGAATCGAAAGACAACTTGGAATAACAGACCCATGAATGTGCTGTTATTTTATGATATTTTTGTGCTTCGCTTTTACAGATTTTTAGTCGCTAGTTAATAAAGAATTTAGAAATCTGATGCAATTTTGAATTTGTTCTTGTCGAATTTTACCTCATAATATCAAAGCTATTTATTTCAAAGCAGTTAGCTTTTTAGCTCCGATTGAGCGGAATGCGAGGCGAGGTGAACCCGAACGAAGAACTGGACGTGTACATTTGCATCCACACTTACAAGGTAAATTTAATATGGAATGATAGAAGTCGCGTTTCTTTTCTGAAAATAGCACTAACTTTTAATGCCCTGCTACTTGTTTTACAGTAACCTTTTAGGACACAATCACTTTGTGCTCGAGGACGACAAAGTTGTCGCTCAATCGTCGAGATTGCGCAATTGACATCAAGCTCGGTCTATGGGTGGCGTTGAAGATTGATGAGGCATCATTTTACCATTATCATTAGTATATCATTTTACTTATTATTCTACGGGTAGTTGTAGCTTGAATTAAGACGTAATGTTTAGTTTCATGAGATATGAGTTTATTTAGGACACGCAAAAGCCGTCCTTTATCTCTCCAGTCGGGCCACCACTGGAGACGTCACTGGACAACAATGGGGAATTGATCGTAAGTTAAGAAACCGCTTTAAATATTTAGTATAATGTTGTAGGTTAATATAGTTTTAGATTCACTGCCGAGCTGCCTTGTGTGAGACGGACGCCTATCAGTACTCCGTTCCGGAGAAGTTCGTATGGAGCCCCGAGTTTGATGTTAGTTTCTAATAACAGAAGTTTTACAGGGTTATTAAGTTGAAGATGATACAATTTTTCAATCAAAATGTAAACAACTCGGAATTCATCGCTGATAAGTGATATGAATAGAGAGGATTGTTATGACACAAAATGACTCGTTTGCTGTGACCGACTTTGTCAATATTTTTTCCTGTTTTCGTTCTATCGATCGAAAATTTGCCTTATCTTCATCATGTGACGCTTTACGAGTTTCTCCAAAAACACGGTATCAACCTGGCGCATGCTAATTTACGTGTTGTGTATGGGGATGATGCAATAAGTCATGCAACTATACAACGTTAGTTCGAAAAGTTTCGCAGTGACCATTATTACCCTTAAAGAGGAAGAGGGTCGTGGAGCCGCACCCAAGCTCAATGATACCGCTTTGTTGGATGCGTTAAATGAAGGCCCTCGAAAGTCCACGTGAACTGGTAGAGGACTTCAAAATTGGAGTGTCTCATGTGGCGGTGACCAATCATCTCCATGCTCTTGAAGACCAATCACTCTTTAAAATTAAGGGCTTGAGTTCCTCATACTCTGACCGACGCCCAGAGATTGAAACGGATTTCTAACAGTGCAGCTCATCTCTCTAGATATGAACGATATTCTTTTTTGCCACGTATTGTGACAGGGATGAAAAATGGATACTTACTGCGAACTTTCGGAGGAAACGTCAATGGGTGGGGCCCGGACACCCGGACCGAATCCTAAGCTCGAATTACACCAGAAGAAGTTTATGCTCTCGATTTTCTGGGACATGGAAGGAGTGGTCTATTGGGAGTTGCTGGATAGTAAGACAACACTTAACTCTGCTAAATACACCCAGCAACTCGATGCACTATCTACGGCTTTGGCCACTGATAAGCCCCACAAGTCAAAACTCATCCTCCTGCATGACAACGCGCGCCCTTATGTTTCTTCAATGACTCGGGAAGATTCTTGACTGGGAAGTTCTGGCTTATCCCCCTTATAGCCCAGACCTTGCCCCATGAGAGTATTATTTATTTCGGTCAATGAGCAACGCCCTCCTTGGACAGCACTTTGATTCCGAAGATGGGATCAAAAAGTAGTTGACGGACTTTTTCGTCCAGAAGTTTAAGACTTTACGGGAAGGTGATTCGGGAACTGCCAGAAAAATGGGATAAGATTATCGAAAATAATGGAAAATATTTGGATTAACTTAAGTTCCTATTGTTGAATAAAATTTGTTTTAAAAGTGTATCATTTCAACTTAACAACGTATAATGCAAGTTTGAACTTTGCAAGGTAATAGAAATGAGATTTAAGAAATAGAGTCTCTTTGGGAATGTGATCAAAGTATCAACCCTTTATTTTAGTTTATCTATGATGACAACGACAGGATGACCGAGGATCGCGGAGTCCGACCGAACTACCTCTACACCATTCAAATCAAACCGATGGAGAACGCGATGGTGTCGTTTTTATATTCTTAGCTTACTATTGGTTGTTTTCAAAAATCTAAAGTTTAACAATCGAAATCTTTTAGCTGATGTCTGGGTATTCGAAAGCGATTGCAATTTTTGAAGTGGTTGAGATTGTCGGTGACGCGGAAGGGCAAATCGATATAGTGAAAGCGGTTTGAGTTTGTAAACGCAAGCTGTTACGATATATTTCTAGCCTTGGATCAGTCGATCGGCTCATCTTCCTAATTTGACTGCTACCGCATTGGTAAGTTTTTTTGTAGATATTTTAAGGATACACATGATATTATAATCAAAACTTTTGTTTAGTCGAAACGAGAAGATTTATCTAAAGTGAATCAGAACACCTTCTACAAAGGAATCGTCTGTCAGTCAAGGACTCTTGGAGGTGAGTGAGTGGTTAATTGTTGGCAATTTGTAAAAGTTTCTTTCAACTTAGTTATACACTGCTCCACATAAATATAAGTTCACCTCTGAATTTTATGATAACTCGGTTTTGAAGGGTTTTTAGAAAAACTTCCGAAGAAGAAAATATGTCAAATATGAATACGAATTTGCGTAACAGAACCAAATTTGCATTCAAAAGATGGAAAAATTTTTTTTTGAGGATTCAAGAAACAACAGCAGAACCGATTGGAAAACTGTAAGGTGTTTACAAGTTTAACTTTAACGATCAATTTTCTTTTAGATTGTGTTTTCGGATGAGAAAAAGTTTAATTATGATGGGCCAGATGATTTTCGCAGTTACTGACACGACATACGAAAGGAGAAATTTGGTTATTGACGCTAAAACTTCAAGGGAAGTGGGATCATGGTATGGGTTGCGATTGCTTCAACTGGACGGGTCAAGTTATGCTTGGTTTCAAAAAAGATAAATGGATCTGATTACCGAATCCTCTTGCAACGCGGAATTTTGCCTTTTTGGAGACGGAATCGCAACAAAAACTTTGTTTTTTGATTCGCAGGTGTCGTCGCCCACTGGATTGGTTGCAACACAAGAGAATCCTTCTTCTCACCTGGCCGGCATGTTCACCCGACTTGAGTGTTATCGAAAAAGTTTGGAGCTTCATGGTGCGCAAAATTTACGACGAAAACAAAACGTATCGAAATGTTGATGAGCTCACGCCTGCTATTATCGACGCTTGGCATCAGGTCGACCAAAAGCTGATTGACAGCTTGGATAATCGAATTTTTCAGCTAATTCAGCGAAATGGAGGCCCAATCGATTATTGACTGTCGAATTTCGTTAATTTTTCAATTTGTTATTTATTCAATAAATGGTTTTACCAAGTGAACTTATTGGCAAGTGTTTTTTGACAAGAGATTAAAAAAAAATTTTTTTGAGTGGAAATTAATATTTATATTTGGCATATTTTCTTGGAAGCTTTTCTAAAAACCCTTCAAAACTGAGTTATCGTAAAATTCGGAGGTGAGCTTATATTTATGTGGAGCAGTGTATAAAACGCATTACTTACCTATTATATTTAGAACGGTCAGAGGTCTATGTCTGGTCTCGAAACACTGGTCGTTTCAAAATCTCCGCTCAACTTCTTTCACGAGTCACTCTGCAAGTCGGTGACTGGGTGAAGTTTCAGTTAAAGGTCGGTTTTGCTTAAAGTGTCTCAATGTTTTTGTTACAGATCTCTCATCCCAGGGAAGGACCTGAAGCACAACGTGTCCACACATTGCATGCAGAAGAGCCGCGCGAAACATCGAGTGAAACGGATAACAGAGGAACCACTCGAGCTCTGGTGGGGGTTGAGTTCAAGGATTAAAATCTCAACGTTTAATAGAATTTTTGTTTTTGGTTATATTTTACTAGCATTTAAAAATATGAAATTCGAAAACCTGTCGTGTTTCAGTTTCTTGTTTAGATGCTTGTTCGAGTCGTGCTCACGGATGCTAAAAGCCATGATGCCGAAGACGAGGAAATTGGAACTGTTGGTTTTAAAGGCAAACCCATTTCTTAATTGATTCTTTTTCTGGTTCTTTCGAACTGAAATCTATTTTTAGGTTGGGATCAAGGGACTCTGTGCTGCTCTCCGGGACAAAGCGTACGACATCGATGATCTTATTGTAAGTTTTTTTTAAAATCTGTTACTAAGAAACAATCTTTTTATTCAGTTCTCAAAGCTATTTTAGCAAAACCGAAATGTCGTCAAATTTTGGGCGAAATTTCAAATGCGCGACCCCGTTCGTCACTGGGAGTTTCGAGATTTGGGCGATGACCCAGTGGGTTTTGTTTGATATTTCTTAAAAACGGAAACGTATCTTTGAGATTTTAAGAGCAAATAGGTTTGGGTTCAGCAGAATCAAATGAATACAAAGCTTTTAATTCATAATCATAAGTATATCGATTTCTCTTAAAAGGCATTTTTAGATTGAGGAGCCCGACGAAACTCCAGCCGCTTTACCGAAAGGAGATCTCATCAATTTTTAGAATACGTCCTTTTTACTTTTTATGTTTTGATCTTGTAATAGTTAATTTTTTGTGCTATTCACTTACATTTATACATTTTGCTCCTTTGTGCTATTCCTTATTTTTTTACGTGGTATCAATGAGCTCTCACTACTTTTCATGTTATTTGTACCGATGATATTTTGCGCAAAAAGAATTTAAACTCACTCATAAGTTTAATCCGAGCTGATTCATATTTGGCTTGTGCCGATTTTCTGACTTGTGAATTTGTGATTTTCGAATAAATTGTTTATGCTGAGAAAAATGCAAGAATCTACAAAGTATTTTTCTAAATGTTTTATCATGAATGACAATAAGTTACGATTGTTACACATGGAAATAATATCTTCGGCAAGAGGTGGGCAATGTTGATTGATCAACGAGTTATGGAGTATAGATTGAAACTGTCTTGTCGATCGGGTAGCATTTGTTCTCGGCGAGCTCACAAATGTGAAAAGCCGGGCATTTCAAGTTGACGCACGGCCCGATGGCCTCGGCGCCCGCCAAACGTTTCTCTGAATTCAAAGTTGAATTATCGTTATTTGACGTTTGACGATCATTTGACATTTGAAGTTTATCGTTTACAGATTACAAATTTATGGTAGTTGGCAATGTTTGAAAGTCCTTTAGCTTGTGTAAGCCTACAAAGTCTTATGGCATTTTCAAAACGTACGTGGTGGCCGAATACAGGCATCCTCGACACAAGTGTATGACTCCGGGCATAACAGATTCACGCATTCACCAATGATCTCCACTAAAGTGAATACCGCTTATAAATCTTTTACTATTCCTGGCTATTCCCCCCCTCTTTCCGATGATCACTCACATTCTTTTCCGCCGATTCCAACACAGTGCTTATCCTCGGTTCTGCAGGTGTACCCGGTTGGGCAAACGGCCAAGTTACATGGCTGAGAATCGCGAGAAGCAACTGAAGAGATTTTTGGTGATAAAGATGGTTTTAACTATCGTATTTATTCACAAAACCAAGTCCTATTTAGTTTTGAGCAAAGACATTATAAGTTGATTTTGAGAAATTTTACAATTAGCCGTGCAAGCTGAATGTTCTCATTGTTAGCTTTTACAGTATTCAAAACTGGGAATCACACCTTATTTGAACTAATAACTTGGACCAGTGCTATAAAGGGCTAACCTATAATTGCAATGAAAACCCACCAATCACCGTCACAAGCACAGAGGAAACGAGAGCGAAAGCCTGCATGTCTTAGATGAATGAATGGCAGACCCAATCGAGAGGGGGAACACATCAAGTTGGGCATAATATAGGACCTGACTTCTTTCTACGGGACCCCCATTGTAAGCCAGTTCTTGGGAAAAGAAAAGGCTCTTAGACGTGAAGCTTGGTGATGTTTGTTCGTGAGATGAGAGAGTGGACGGGGTGGGCTGGACATGATTCCAGTCGAACGAAGAGATTGTGACCAGCGATAAGACCATCACATCACATCACATCACATCACTTTTGTCCACCCGGCAAATCACAAGAGAGCACACCTGCTTGACTGATCGAAGAATGTAATCGACCCCTTTGTTTGTCTCAAGAAAAACTATCAGCCTTTTGGGTGCATGTGAGCTCAGAATTATGTGTGGAACATGTTTTAGCCTTTAAGATCTTGACTACAATAAACTTGAGCTCTAACTAGAAGCTTTACATCAGTGTACACAACTTATGAGAAGGGTATCTCTATGTAGCGTAGTGCAAGCCTTGTCTGTGTTCGTCTGTGATTTTTGTATCAAGAACCGATCTCACTGTGCTCTTTTTGGATAGAATAAAAGGCAGTTTTTATTAAATGTTTGCACCTGAAATAATCTGAGATTCAAAGTGGCAGTTAAAGTTTTCTAAACTCGGTATCCGGAAGCCTCGGTCTTGGCCTCACCGCATGGAGCTGGCTGCTCAGCTGGCTTGGGAGCTTCCTCAGCTGGCGCAGCGGGGGCTTCAGGAGCAGCTGGCGTCTCGGCTGGGGCGGCAGCATCAGCAGGAGCAGCGGGGGCGGCTGGGGCAGCAGGAGTGACGGCCTCATCTCCGTACGAGTTGGATCGCTTGGCTCTGTATCCAGAAGCCTCAGTCTTGGCCTCTCCGCATGGGGCTGGTTGTTCGGCTGGCTTTGGGGCCTCTTCGGCTGGTGCAGCGGGGGCTTCAGGAGCAGCGGGTGCCTCGGCTGGGGCGGCTGGGGCAGCTGGGGCAGCGGGAGCAGCTGGAGTCACAGCCTCATCTCCATAAGAGTTTGATCGTTTGGCGCGGTATCCAGAGGCTTCAGTCTTGGCCTCTCCACATGGAGCTGGTTGCTCAGCTGGCTTGGGAGCCTCTTCGGCTGGTGCGGCGGGAGCTTCGGGAGCAGCTGGGGCCTCGGCTGGGGCGGCAGCGTCAGCAGGAGCAGCGGGGGCGGCAGGGGCAGCTGGAGTCACAGCCTCATCTCCATAAGAGTTTGATCGTTTGGCACGGTATCCAGAGGCTTCAGTCTTGGCCTCTCCGCAGGGAGCTGGCTGCTCAGCTGGCTTGGGAGCTTCCTCAGCTGGCGCAGCGGGGGCTTCGGGAGCAGCTGGGGCCTCGGCTGGGGCGGCAGCGTCAGCAGGAGCAGCGGGGGCGGCTGGGGCAGCTGGAGTCACGGCCTCATCTCCGTACGAGTTGGATCGCTTGGCTCTGTATCCAGAAGCCTCAGTCTTGGCCTCTCCACATGGAGCTGGCTGCTCAGCTGGCTTGGGGGCTTCCTCGGCTGGTGCAGCGGGGGCTTCAGGGGCAGCGGGTGTCTCGGCTGGGGCGGCTGGGGCAGCTGCGGCAGCGGGAGCAGCTGGAGTCACAGCCTCATCTCCATAAGAGTTTGATCGCTTGGCACGGTATCCAGAGGCTTCAGTCTTGGCCTCTCCACATGGAGCTGGTTGTTCGGCTGGCTTGGGAGCCTCTTCGGCTGGTGCGGCGGGAGCTTCGGGAGCAGCTGGGGCCTCGGCTGGGGCGGCAGCGTCAGCAGGAGCAGCGGGGGCGGCAGGGGCAGCTGGAGTCACAGCCTCATCTCCGTACGAGTTGCTTCTTTTGACGACTAAAATAAAGGGATTTGTTCAAGAAAAGACGTTGACCATGATTCCACAAGTTACTATGGAAAGCATACTACAGTCTAAACTCTAGCTAGCATCGGAAAGAGATCCGAAAACCCACCGTATCTGGACGAAGCAATGGCGCACAAGGCGAGCAGGAGAGCGAGGGTTCTCATGGCTGTGGATCGCCGATGTGGGGCTTTTCTCGCAAAGGTTCCCCCTTATATAAGTGCCCTTGAATTGGGGAAAGGGGCTTTTTGTTTTACTGGTTTGCCATCGGGGAAAGAGCGGGCAAAACTTTGAATGGGCGGAGTCTCGACCGTCCACCGTCCACCTCGATGATCCGTGTTTCGGGTAATTGGTGAAAAAGATGAACGGCTAGATCTTTCCGTGATTTGAAAAGCCCTTCCCCAATCCCAATCTCGGCTAACATCATGAAACCTGTTAGGAGAAACGGTGTTGTTGTGATGAATTCCGGTGATTGATTTGTGCATATTTTTATGGTAAATGAAAGGGTAAATGAACCCAAAAAATGACTAATAGAGTGATTTTATTTCCTAATCGCTAGACGAAATGAAACGGAGAGTGAGACACGGAAGCGAGCTCTTCCTAGGACTTCAAGAAAGTTGCACACTCAAGCTTTGTCATTTGATTCAGCTTGGTTTGTTGCTCTTGTTGCTCAAGCACTCTTCCTAGACTCTTGTTTGGCATTTGAAATTTACAATCATGCCTTGGATCATAATAGTATACACTTTTTTGTTGAAATACCTATTACAAATCGACACTTGCTTGCTGTTCAGCACTTGCTTGCTGTTCAGCACTTGCTTGCTGTTCAGCACTTGCTTGCTGTTCAGCACTTGCTTGCTGTTCAGCACTTGCTTGCTGTTCAGCACTTGCTTGCTGTTCAGCACTTGCTTGCTGTTCAGCACTTGCTTGCTGTTCAGCACTTGCTTGCTGTTCAGCACTTGCTTGCTGTTCAGCACTTGCTTGCTGTTCAAGAATTTAAAAGAAACCTTACTATAATCAAATGAACTCACCCAAAGCAACTATATCTAACTATTTAATAAATTTCATTTCAAAACCGAGAACCCATTTGCTATTTGTTTAGTTTATTAGTTAAGCACAATTTTATAAAGGTAACTCATCTTCAAGCATTGTTTATTTACAATTATATCAATATTTGGATTTGAATTTTGAATTTTGAATGTCTATTTGATTTAATTAACAATAAGCTATATTTCTATCAAATTTACTCAATAAATAATAAATTTAAGTGTTTTGAAATAAAGAAACAATCGCGTTGAACTTTGTTGTGTTTTCCCGTCAATTTCTCCCAATAAGCACTTATCCTTTTCTCTCTCACAATCCACACCTCGCTAGATAGCTTGTTTGAGCTAAAAGGTTTTCGAATTGTTGAGTTTTTGATTCGTTTGATCACTTTCAATGTCAAATGGGATTTCTCAAACAAGTCAACGAAATTTAAGCACTTTTTAGCCTATCAATGTAAGCCAGAATCGTAAAAATGAAAGATTCTAGACAATCTGTAGAAATATCTGTCTAAACCGACAAGGTCGATCATAAAACGTTCCTTATTTTAGAAAAAACTAGTGCAAATGAGAACATTTCAAAGAAGATTGGAATCTCTTTCGAGTGTGCTCAAGGATGAAATGGAAATACGGGAAAAGTGTTCCTTAAATCGATGCGGAGATCGGGATGAAAGAAAGTCGAGGAATCTAATTGGAAGGTTGGTTGTGGATTGGTTGTGATGGGTTGGTTGTGATGGGTTTTAAAAAAAGTGGATTGCTGTAGAAATGAAGCAAGTCTTAAAAATAGATTTCAAGCACTACTTTGAATTTTGCATCAATAGTAAGGCGCTAGATTATCCGGACAAGATCCGATTCAAGTCCCAGGTTCAGGTCCTGGCTTCTGAACTTGATTCACCTTATTAGTTGGTGTATAGGACTGGCCTTTGCAGACTGGCCCAGATGCTGGCTAAAAGTTTCTGGATCTGTCCTGGTCTGGTTTTTGATCTTAATTTAGTCTTGGACTTGACTGGCAAACCCTTTAGCTTGGTTTGACTGGCAAACCTTTAGCACTGGCAAACCTGACTGGCAAACCCTTTAGCATTCTTGTATATTTTCTATAACCGTCTCAGATAGAACTATAAAAATTGGTCCTTATAATCTTCTCTTTAAAAGCTAAATTAAAAAGCTATATATTGATCTGGCTTTAGCTTTGCTGGCTTTCTGACTTTGCTTCAGACTGACCTAGACTAGACCGAGTCTGGTTGGCCTCTCCACGACTAGGATCCTAGCCTGATTCTGCTAGAATCCTAAGCCTAAACCTAAACCTGAGCCTGAGTCTAAGCCTAAGCCTAAACACAGCTCAAATTTGAGTGAGCTCAAGTTCTCACTACGTACCCCTTTCCACCATACGTGCCATCTTTCAACCCTTGATTTCATTTTCCCCACCCTGATCAGCTAATATCCGTAATCACAAATCAAATTCCTTTCCAGAGATTTCCCAAACTTAGAAAAAGATTGTCTATTGACGTCAATCGAGAAAAATCGTTCGCTAGCTATGTTTTGTTTTTTTGCGATATTAAATGACCTTGAGTGCTTTCTCGAGAAATTTTTGTGTTGAGGCGAAGAAAATGTTTCGCGGTTCTTCACTTTTTGAGCGGGGAGGGGGAAGCAATGAAAAAAAAGCCCCGCTAGAGGTATGGGCTGATTTGAAGGGGAAAATTTGAAAGATTTCTATCTCTAGCAGCTCTTTTGGACTTAACAAACACTTTTCTTTTCTTTGATTTGACTAGCACACTTTTTGGATGTTAGCGCGATACGAGAAATGCCTCGTTTCCTTTTCAAAACTGATTTTCGAGAGAATTTCTTTCATAGAACACTTGAGGGAAAAGAGATCTTAAAGATTTGGAAATTTTTGTGAAAAACTTGTTTATAAGAAGATTGTTAATTAAAGAGTTGATCTTGAAAAGCTTTTAAACATCAAGAATCTATTTTCTGTAATGATTTTATCACTTTGAATGCTTATAGGCTCAGGCTCATTGGGTTGGTGAATTGAAAACTGCGGGCGATTGTCATATGTGGCAGTTTGAGCACTTTCTTCAAAAGAAACCCATTTTGGTGTTAATGGAAAAGTTGTAGAGAATCAAAAATTAGGCTTATAGCCAAATTTCCAAAAAGATACATTTAGTGGTTTCTCGTGTGTTCTTTGTGCGGCCGCGTAATCGCTCGTCGTCTGGCGCAGGGCTTTTACATCACTCCTTTCCCTCTCCCTTTGCCAAACTAATGTGGTCGGCTCCGAATCCTCAAATTGGACATTGACTTCTCCGCAAATCAAGGCTAATCTCAATCCATTGGGTTGGTGAATTGAAAACTGCGGGCGATTGTCCTATGTGACAGTTTGAGGGCTTTCTTCAAAAGAAACCCATTTTGGTGTCAATGGAAAAGTTGTAGAGAATCAAAAATCAAGCTTATATCCAAATTTACAGAACGATTCAAAAACTGGCTTTCAAGAAATGTCAAATTTACGAATTTTCACAAAACTTGCATTTTAAGCGAAACTACTAAGTGTATCTTTTTGGAAATTTGGCTATAAGCCTCATTTTTGATTCTCTACAACTTTTCTATTGGCACCAAAATGGGTTTCTTTTGAAGAAAGTGCTCAAATGCTCAAACTGGGCAATCTCCAGTCCCCGATTTTTGAGTCTCACACACAAACCAAAATCCTACTACGAAAGAGGAATCCGCAAATTGCCTGTAAAATGGGCAGAAGTCGTCAATAATAATGGAAATTATTTCGAATGAATTCATGGTTTTATTTTGAATAAATTTTAGTTCAAAGTCCGGCAGTTTTCAATTGACCAACCTAATATTTGGTTTTAGCGAGAATCAAATAGTTATCTAATAATATTAGATAACTATTTGAAAGATTTAACTAAATCAAACTTCTTCTATAGCTTTATTTAAAATTAATATTTTTATATTTTCTAACTTTAATATAAGAATAGATTTAAAATCTGACTTTAAAGTTAAGATTTTTACAGACTACAGACTACAGCCTACAGCCTACAACTTCTAAAGCTAGAGTTCATTGATTTAGTCAAATCTTATTGACCAGAAAAAAGGTGAATGTTCGTTTATCTTTATCTTTAGAAAGAAATCTTTATCTAATTAAACTGATAAAGAAGTAAGATTAAGACGATCGACATTTTTACGAAAAGTTTCTTGAAATGAATGTGGAACGATTCTCCATTGATCTCCGCCAACAATCTCATCGATTAATTGAATGGCTTTCGTTGATGAACAACACAAATAAACGGCTACCAGATGACCTAAAATTTGTTTTAAGTAATATTAGGCTTTAACTAGGCAGAACGGACGCACTACCAGGACTACCAGGACGCACTACCACTCTCGGTAGCATGTACCGTCTTTTCTCCAATAGTAGTGCACTCCGGCGAGCCGAGTTGATGACTATTTACGGCTTCCAAAGTTTTCCCAGAAGCCCAACACTCTAATCATTGTCAAGATCTCATCGTCAGCTACATTTTCCGACCCCACATCAATAGGTTCTGATAAGCGGTTCTCGAGTTTTCGAGGAATTTAGGCAAAGCTTTTAGACTACTGCACTACTATTAGAGAAAATACGGTATTTATCTTCTGATTTGAATAAATTTCGATGGCTTTTGTGATCTTTAGATCTTACAGAAATCTTTAGAAAAACTACAGAAAAAAAGAAATCATTAATGAGGAAGAGTAGGGGAAAACTAAAGTACAGTAATCTTCAATAGCACTCTATTTTTTCAATATCTATTTTTACAGGCGAGTCTCGGGTTTTGCCTACGACCAACAGGCTTGCTTAGTGCTCGGTGGTGGCAAGAATTCGACTCGAAAAATGAGATCACATCGATTTATCGAGGTGATCTACAGTAGATCAAGTACTGTAATCTAATAGGTAATCTAGTAGGTACTGTAATCAAGTACTGTAATCTAATCACGATCAATTAAACTCTTAACTTAAACGAAATTAAACGATTTCACTTTCCAAAGCTGAAATGATCCCCCTGAAAACTAATCGAATTATGTAACGAAAGCTTTTTTTTATTTCATTTTTGATTTTCGATTCTTGAATGAATCTTTAAAGCAAATAGCTTTAATTGTTTAATTCGATAATTTGTTTAGAGCGTTCGGGTCAAAAAGCGGCTCAAAAAGGCTCAAAAAAAGGGCATTTTTTCGACGAATCGAGAAAAGTGCTCTCGTAAAATTTGAAAAAAACTCGCAGAGATTTGGATGACTTTTGGAAAAATAAAACCCCTTTTGAGCTAATTGTCTACATTCAGATCTAATAAATAAACTTTACAGTACCTGAGTTGAACTCTGGACAAGTGTCAAGACAATTCTCGAGATCGGCTCTTGTTGCCAGCACATCCCTTGTCCCAACACACAAAATGGCCTCTCGACGGACGAGGGACAACATTGAGAGACAACGTTGGAAGAAAATCTAGAAATTCATCTTTAATAACATTTTATTTTACTATTCCAATTTTTACCCTGATCAGTCGAAGAAAAATTAAGGCTATTAGAGTATTCCTTTTGCATACTGCCTAAGCAAATGCTGCAACTCCCTAAGCAAATGCTGTGACTCCTTATACAAATGCTGTGACTCCCTAAGCAAGTGCTATGACTCCCTAAACAAGTGCTCTGACTCCTTATACAAATGATGTGACCCCTAAGCCAATGCTGTGACTCCCTAAGCAAGTGCTATGACTCCTTATACAAATGCTGTGACTCTCTAAGCAAATGCTTAGACACTTTTCTGTGGAAGGTAGAAATGGAGCTGGACTAGGATTATTAAAGCAAAAATAAAGTTCCATAAAAAAAAAAGTTTGCCGCGAAGTATATTGTTTGATAGTTAACTCCCTCTGGAGACAAGGGCAAGTGCCTTGTGGTGTGATGGTTAACGCATTTGCCTGGTAAGCGAGAGATCGCGGGTTCGATTCCCGCGACGCTCAACTTTTGATCTACTCTAGTTCCAACTTGATGAAATGGTGCTTCCAATCTAAAAACTCTTTCTCCAATAATGTTTTTCTATGTTTTTAGCTTTTAGCATATTATAGGCCGCAGCCAGGCGAAAACCTAGTCCTGAGTAATTGCCTTTAGCACAATCCTGCAGTGCAAAAAGTATTAGGCCTGGTACTACAATGCTAACAATAATCTCACCTCTATCAATTCTCCATCTCTCTGCGTGCTGTAAAGAATTGAAAGCTAAATTTTCAATTTTCAGTCAGTTACAATGAAACGATATCAAAAACCTGAGAATCATCTTCACTTGGCGGAGAAACGACGAAAAATGAAGTGTTTGCTTCAAATGAAAGCTGATCCTTTGATGGCAATAGTAGACTCAATGGAGGTTTCTAAAATAAAACTTTTGACTCAACAAAATCCCCCCAAAATCCCCTCAAAATTACCGGCAATAGTGCTTTCGTCGAATGTTTATAATTAGGCACGTATTTGTCAGGAGTGAAATCATGAACAGAGTTCGCGTTGTTCGAGAAAGGAGAGAGACGAGCGTTTAGCATTTGCTCTGCAAATTTCAATATTTCTATTCGATTTCCATATTCATTAGCTTAAAGTAGCATTTGAACAATCCCTAGAAGCAATTTACATTAGCGCTTTTCTGTCACACTCGATTTCTCGTTACAAACCGAATTCAAAAAAGCGAAGCGTTCAAGTGCTGAAATGGTGTTTGCTTATGAGGACAAAGCTTTCAAAGCTTTCAAAGCTTTATTCAAAGCTTTGAATAGCTTTATTTCAAAGCTTTGAATAGCTTTAGCTGAATAAAGCTTGAATCAAGCTATTCAAAGCTTGAATAAAGATATTCAAAGCTGATTAAAGCTGTTCAAAAGCCTTCATTCCAAAAGCTTCTTTCCACTTCATTCACCTGATATCAACGGAAAATCGAGATAGATTGGATGAAAAGTGATCGGTCGACTATTCTCGATGATTGGTTGTGTGGCACAATGCAATGCGAGAGTCAACGTGTTGCAGTCTCGAGTTCGAAATTGTTGACACACTGCCCAAACAGTGCAATCGTTTGAATCGCGAAGGAAAACGCTGAAAGGGAGAGTCATTAAACTTACATTAAACAACTTTACAGGGTGCTCTTTGTTCTGTTCTTTGTTTTGTTCTTTGTTTTGTTCTTTTTTTGTTCTTTTTTAAAATTCTTTCTAAAAGCTTCCTATTTCTTTTTATTTCATAAGTATTTATAGCTAAAAGATAGCCATTTTTATAGTCAATCTTTTACATTTTAAAAAATAAATTCTTTAAATTTTGAGTGATCGCTATTCTATGCTTGAAAAAAAGTATTTGTGGGGGGTGGGACAAATGCGACCTTTTTTTTGCGCACCTCGACATTTGTGCACCTTTTTCTTGCTGGAAAAGGCCTTAGGAAAGGTCGTAGAGCTTCAAAAATGTTTTCATAGGAGGGAATCGTATGCGTAGATTCAGAATTTTGACAAATCAGACCTCGCTGACACGTCAAATTTGGGCTAAAAGGCAAAAACTACGCAACTTAACGCTTTTCCGCAGTTTTTGCCTTTTAGCCCAAATTTGACGTGTCAGCGAGGTCTGATTTGTCGAAATTCGGAATCTACGCATACGATTCCCTTATATGGAAATATTTTCGAAGCTCTACGACTTTCCTAAGGCCTTTTCCAGCAAAGAAAGGTGCGCGAATGTCCAGGTGCGCAAAAAAAGGTCGCATTTGTCCCACCCCCGTATTTGTGATTTCATTGCAAAGATTTCTATAAGAAAACTTTTGTATTTTTGATAGCTGATAAACATTTTTGAATACTCTCAATCGTCTGTTCGAAGTTTAACAGCTTTTCTTGTACTAGTAATATTAACTGATATCACAGTGTGCACCCAAATTATGATAACTCAAAATCTAAAGAAGTTATTTAAAAACTGCAAAAGATTGACTGTAAAAATAGCGATCTTTTGGCTATAAATAATTATGAAATAAAAATAAATCAAGAGAATTTAAAAAGAATAAAACTCTTACTGAAAGTAACTTAAACGAAAAAAAAGTAACTTAACTAAAGCAAACTCTTGCTTAACTTTTTTTCCTTTTTAGCATTAAACTTGTACAAGCTCTAAACCTAGTAAACTACCTCAGAACACTATAGGTAATGCTCAAGAAGTTGAATATCTTGAGATTTGTAAATTACCTCCCAGCACATGGTCCAATAACAATCAAGCAATTCGTGCAATCATCAACAGTCACCGTTGCCGAGTGGTCCAATAAAAGAATGGCACTGTTCTGTAAGTTGGAAAGACAATTATTCTTCTAGTAGCAGATATACTAGCTCAGAGCTAGGGTTATTCTAAAGATAAGCAAGGCTAGGGTCAGACTTGAAGCCTTCAGATCACGTTTCTGAACTTGCTTAGCTGTCTTACCAGAAATTGTACATGGCTTACAGGCTTAGGCTTAGGCTTTAGGCTCAGGCTTAGGCTTAGGCTTTAGGCTTCAGGCTTTAGGCTTTAGGCTTTAGGCTTAGCTGTAGGCTTTAGGCTTAACTTTTAACTTTAAGCTTAGCCTAAGCTAAGCAGCTTAGGCTTAAAAACCCATTCTAGTACTACAAATTCTTAATAACAACAAATCATTGATAAATTCCCCACCTTGCAATTCTCAATCAAGAACTGTTGTCCACCAATTTCCGAGCGAATCTCGAGCACATTCTCCGCATTCGCAATCTGAAATTCACTAGGGAAATCTTGGATTAAAGGATTTATTTTAAAATGGATAAGAAAGACAAAATAAAGCTAGTGGTTAAGAATATTTAAAGTAAAAACTACAAAATTACAACAAATCCAGTAGAGTTGATCCACTAGACGAGGCCAGAAATTGCAAATTGCATTTGTGCAAGCATTTCCCCGCTCACCTTATACTTCGAAACATCCACATCGTTGTGCTTTTCCCTAAAATTTTCATCAATTAATGTAAAAAAAAACAAATTTTCTCACCAAGAATGCGCCATCCTTATGAAAAATTTCTAAATGAATTAGCAAATGAATTCTAGCAAAAAATGAGACTAAAGAAATTGATTAGACCTAAATAGGGAATATTTTGAAAAAAAAAAAAAACGATGCGAGATCGGTACCCTGGGAAACCAAATAGCCGAATAAATATAGAAAAATGCAAAAAAAAAAAAAAGTTGGATGTGAGAAAAATCTTCTCCCGCGAAATGATCGAATATTCGGCTAGAAGGCTTCAGCTGAATAGATCGGTGGATGACACGCAATGGCTATATTTGGGATAGATTTCTCAGGGTAGATCTATGAATTTCTCTTGTTTACGTTTACTTATTAACGAAATCAAAGCCCAAAGCTCGACAATAAATGTTTAAGTCGACGCAAAATTTTTCACCGACTGCTCTAAAGTGTGAAAAAGCTAACCTCAACCTATATCTCTGTAGATCTAGTCTTTATAACTCTGTGTTTACCTGGCTGACCATTAATTTCTTGATGTAACTGTAGTCCTTATGGCAGGGTTACGGCAAAATCACTTATGATACCCGGACATACTTCATAGCTTCCAATCGAAATGCCTATTCAATGCCACCTTTGGTGTTAAATGACAAAATGTATCATATTTACAGTGCTTTAACTGATTTAAGGTATGAACACTTAACCCTTTCTCCTTTCTCACCTACCACGTATACTTCATTGTGCTCGGCGCTGGTTCAGTCAATTGCTCGGGATTCTCAGTGTTTGCAATCTAAATCAACCATAAACCTTCAAAACAGACTTAACTTTACCTTGTAAGCATCTTCGCGATTCGCGCGCACATTTTTCATTGAACAGCAAATCCATGATGGCATTGTGAAGGAAAATTTAGGAATTTATGGAATCACTTCAATGTTAAATAAAAGTAGAGTCAATTAGGCAGCCGAAAAGAAAGAAGAGAAAAGAGGGCAATGACACGACCGGCCAGGTGGTGAACACCATGGCAACCAACATCTTCGATCAAAATCTTCCGACACATTCACTCCCTACAAATGCTACATTTGTTTGTGGAGTAGTAATTTAGAGGATTATAAAGCGTTTAACATGTTTCATATTTTGACAAGTGTCATGTTTCTATCTGGTCGCTCTCTGTAACATTTCCTAAGCCGTGTATTTATCCGAGCTAAACAAAAGAATTTATCACACATCTTTTAATCGTAATTTGAAAGCAAATAAAAAAAAGAATAAATATTGAACTAAAATGCACAAATAAACGGGAAAAGAACAACCAGAATACATGTGGATCGCTTGTTAGTTTACTGATTCTTTGCTTCGACGTGTGCTGGCCAGCTTGGGTGTGGAGTTGGAGCGACAAACTTGAAAGAGGAATTAAACTCGAAAATAAAAATAAAAAGTACCTTCGGGAAATCATTTCCATCTGGTCGGTAAAGCTTAATGTCAGTTCCATTTTTGTCGATCACACCGATACGGATGACACCACCAGAAGATCTAAAAAAGATAAATAAACAATATTGTTTGTCTCCTCTAGCAAAGAAATTTTAGGTACATTGCCAACGGCTTAAAACGATTCTTTAACACCACCAAAATTAAAAATAACCAAAGCGTACCCATCACGGAAAGTTGCCAAGCCGACAGCTTCTTTGACGACTTTAACACATTCTTCCTTCGTCATATTTGGCTTCCAATTTCTAAAGCATGAAAAATCAATAATGACAACGGCCATTTCGACAATAGATTTAATCGACACCCCTTAGCTTATGATATACAAGGATACTCCTTTCCAGCAAAAAAACCAACTTATCGAGATAGCCGGTAACAAAAGTCGAACCAGATCCTGAAGCGGTGGAACGTTGTCGAGTAACAAAACCTCCAATGGGAAGCGCATACAACTAAAAAAGAAATGATAAAGAACAAACGAGTAAAATTACCTGTCCTCCCTCATTTTCATCCCATCCGGCCACAAGCACCGAGGCACTCAGCTGATCGCGATAATTGTAGAGAAATTGACGGAAGATTTGGGTAGCCCTGTAGATTGACACCTTCTCGGCTTCAAGCATACTAAAACAAAATGCTGATCAATTTGAGACAAATAGGTTTACGTGTAAGCTTCGATCTGGTACTTCACGACATCAGCGATCGTTTGCGTGTCGGCAGCATTTCCAGAGCTAAAAACGATACATAAAATTAGAGCACACTCGCAACTCACCGGCACACAACCAAATGATCGGTGACAGGTGTGATTTTGTTGGTGACACGCGATGAGATGAAAGAACTAAATGAAAAAAAATAAAATTTGATTAAAATGAAGAAACTTACCCAGCCGAAGTGCGTGAATCAGTGCCAACAACAACTCCCCCATCGAATTCCATAGCAATCAATGTTGTCTAAAAATGAACTTTTAATATTTCTTTTACGCAGCTCAAACTAGAAACCGTATTTATTCTAATAGAAGCGCAACCTCCAATAAAAGCCCAGCCTCTAATAGAAGCAATAACTATGGATATTTAGCTTAGTAGACCGAAAACCCTGAGTTTTGAGCCTTTAAGGATATATAAGGCTATATACGCACCCTTGAGCAAAATTGCAGGCTAAATTTTACCTTAAGGTCGAGGCGCAGATTTTATCGAACCATAGCTTATTTTGTTTCCGGCAACAAAAAAGCAAAACTATTTGCTGGACCGTAAAGCATCATTTGTGGATTTATTTTACGGTCCAAATTTTATGCAAAAATTGGAAGTAGAGAAGGTTATTTTTAAAGGTTCTTCCGACTGGAATTTGTTGTTTTCAATGAAAATTTTTTTCTGCTGCGTGTCTGGCAAATAATTTTTGCTTTTTTTTTGGCATCAGCTGTTGAAAGAAGAACTAGACTTAATTCTATGTGTTCTGAGCCTGAACCGTAAAGTAAAATCTAGCCAAATTACATTCTTTATCATTTGTTTCGCATAAGCAGTGGCAATTTTGATGTTTTTCTGCCAAGTTTTCCTGCCAATTAGGTAGTCAGCTTATTAGTCAGAACTTATAACTTAGACTAGGTATTTAAATTCCGTTGAGCTTACTTTAACTTTCAACGTTTTGATGTTTTCTATTTTAGTATCCAATCCTTTAGCGCATGCTCTTCTGTTAGAATAAATACAGTAATACATTGACTCTTCACTCGTAAAGAAAGTTCAATGTTTTGACATCAACTTATTTTGATCAAGTTATCTATCTAATCTATCTATCAAAATTAAAACTCACTCCAGTGCTGATTGGCTCTTGCGGGTAATGTCCAAGTGCTGGCACAGCTTTCACGAGGCTTTCGTGCATCGTATCCATCGCTACCTAAAGTCAGAGATAAATAGATGGAATAAACAACGAAAAAACTCAAGCTTTAAAAGCTAAACAAACTAATCGTCAAGTAAGAGAATGAAAAAAAATGGAACTTTGCAACTGCTTGTCTTATTTAAAGTGTTTTATTTAAATGACTTTACAAAATTAAAGTTATTCAGCTAAGCAACTAAAACTCCGTAAACCGCTGACAAATATTTGTAGTTTGTCGTTACCGTAGTCACCGTTTGAAATCCCGCCGTTCCCTGCGCAATCAGTCCCCCAATTTTCTTTTCAGCTGACAAAAGATATTTTTAAAGTTGATCCCATTTGATCTTTTTTTCTTTTATTTTCCTATTTCTTTCCTATTTGTCGTAAATCTTTTTCAAAACTTCTTTTACTAACGTTTACTTGCAACAGTGTTAGTTTTTAAAATTAGCCAAGCTTCCTATAGCTCACCATAGCCTTCCTTTTTCTGCCTATTTTCATTGAAACTTTTGACTTTAAAAACAGTATTATATGTTTTCATTTAGATGTCCGACAAGACCTGTTACAAGTGTGGAGAGGCTGGCCATTTCGCTCGCGAGTGTCAAAACGCCGGTGATGATAATGGTCAACGCGGAGGCGGCGGTCGTGGAGGTTAACGCTTGGAATGTGTTGAGCGTGGGAGGGGGGAGTTTAGTAGGATTAGGTAAATTCTTTTTCCCCTTCGTGTGTGTTTTTGGATTGAGCAGTTGAGGGGAAATGAGAAATATGAGTATAGAATTGTCTAATTGTTTTCTCGTGCAGGTGGCGGCGGATCATGCTTCAACTGTGGGAAAACTGGACACTTCTCAAGGTTTGTATTTACTAGTTTATCAATATTTGACCACTTTTTAGGGAATGTACCGAGGCTCGTGAATCACGTGGTTATGGTGGACGCCGTGGAGGCGGCGGCGGAGGTGGTGGTGGCGGCGAGTGCTATCAGGTAATATTTCAAGACCGCATTGTTTTGCGTGGATTTGCTTCGACTCCCTCTTAAAATTTTTTTTAGTGTGGAGAGTCTGGACACTTTGCTCGTGAATGCACCAATCCCTCGGGTGGTGGTGGTGGACGTGGTGGACGGGACGGTGGACGCTCGGGCGGCTCAGGACCGAAGTGCTATAACTGTGGCAAGGTAAACATTTAATTTAAAAGGATCGTATGTGAACTAGATAGCTGAACACTATGTAACTTGCGAATTAAGAATGAGGGACCATCATATAATTCCTTAGAAGCCATTTTCAATTTAGATGGATTAATTCATTTTAATTTTTAGGCTGGTCATATTTCGCGCGAATGCCGTGAGGGTGATGGTGGCAGTGACCGTCGTGGTGGACGCGGGGAACGCGGCGGTGACCGCGGTGATCAGAAGTGCTACAATTGTGGCAAGGTTCGAATTTTAAATTTGCAATCTTTTGATCTTAACAGTTTCAAAGTTAATAACAGCTAGGAACTACAATATGGTGATTTCGTCACTAAATTGCTCTTTTTAGACGGGACACATCTCACGCGATTGCCAGAACGAGAGTTAGATGTTTGTAAGCCGTTCCGATCTCCTACTTGTTGTCACTTTTCAACAAAATTGTTAAATTTTATTGTTAAAAATTATGAATTCTATCTTTGGTTGCTTTGCCGCAAATAAATGTTTTGATTCTCAAAAGTTAAAAGAAAAATGCAAGTGAATGAGAAAAGCATAAGAGGCTATATCAAAATTACAGTACAAATTTTTGATCTTTGGCTAGTGAAATAATAATTCGTTAATGGTGCTTTACAGTACGTACCTTGACTCTATTAGTGTTAAAATGATTTCGCTTATTTCTCGCAAGAGAAAGCTTCACACAGCGCTCGTTAACGCAAAGTTTTTACATTACTTTCCCTTTCGTTGTCGATTTTCTAGTTAGGCAGACACGATAGATAAAAAGCTTGAAAGTCTTTCTGACACATTCTTGTCAAGAGTGGCTGCCAACTTATCACAAAAACTCAAGTTCAACTCTGGGGGCCAAATCACCACAAGTTTTTTTGTGATCGAGAATGTGTCGTTCCACCTGTGTGACCGTGCACTTGGTGGCGGAGAACTTCTTTAGGGTAAATCACTTACTCACCTCATTCTCCTTATTCCCTCTCTTCGCAAACCGACGTGGCTTTTGAAATTTTTGCGCTAATTTCAACTTGAATTTTGGCAGGAAGCGCGGACCTGCGGTGAATTCGACTAAAGAGCAATTCCAGGTATTTCAGTTGAAATTTTGGTGTGTTTAGTCCTGATCGAATTTTAGAAATTTCAGGAGTTGATTTGAATCATGTTAGATATTTTAACTTACTTGTTCCAAAGATATCTTACCTATTTTTTTGATGGAGCCCCAACTTTCAGACATGTGGCTACTTTGTGTGTTACTCTTTGTTCCGGAAATTTTCTCATTTAAAGTCTACAAAGATATCGTGCATGGTTAGTTTGATAAAAATTGTTTTTGATTTGACTTCTTCAAATTGTTTAGGCGAAACCTTTGTGGAAGATTGGGAACCGCATAAAAATATTTCCGAGCACATTGTCGAGTTTGCTGCGGAAATGGCGCCGTATTATGTAAGGATGATTTCATAAAATAGATCAGTTACCCAATAAACTTATTTTTTTTATTCAGTTCGCTGCCAACTACGACGACTATGGAGAGTTTCGAACGGAAAAAGTGCGTGACACTCGATACGAGATCGATAAAGTCGTGAAACACCATTGGAGGGTGAGAAATCGAGAGGTTTTAAGTATTTTTCCTTTTTAGGAGGTCACTTATCGAAGCATTGATGATGTGAAACAGAAATTTCACTATGATATCATCCCCTATGCGAAAAATTATCACTTGGCGGTTTGAAGAAAAAGAAATCTATCAAATTTTCTTTCAAATTTAGCATGGTCACCCGTTACCGGAGAATTTTGAGGATGAGATGATGAACTTCTTGGAGGATTTGAGATTCAAATACATTCGAATGTTTATTAGTGAGTTTTGATAGGAAACTTGAACTCAAGTTTCACCTTATTATATGGTGAATCTTGAGTTTCAATTAAGCACAGATGAACCTTGTGCTTAAATCGAAACGCAACCTTTTTCGTGCACTTAATTCTAAGGCTTAGCCGAGTTCACCCCGTAAACGCATGTTATTTGGCGCACTATTGGGAACATAATAGTGCAATAGAAATAGTGTGTTTAACTTATTTTTGAGCATAAAAAGATCCCTGATTTGTGTCGAATTACAGGTCGAAATGCGACACGACACGATCAAGTTTATATCCCGATTTTTGTCGAGATGACAATCATCCGAGCAAGGCTCACTCCAAGGGTTCTTTTGATAAAAGTGAGCACGATTATTTGACAAAATATGATAAGAACTATAAGATAAAGTCATTTTTGAAATACAATTTTAAGTAATATGTGGAAAATCAATCGATTGTTGAAAAATTTACTTTCTCGAGAGCTCTCAATTCCATTTGAAGCTTTAAATTTATCTGTTTACGATTAAATTATGAGAATGTTATGAGAATATTATGTAAGAATAATAGAACTAGCAATTTTAGGATTTCTATGATATTGTCGAAGATGACTCGGCTCCAGTCCCAGAAACGGCGGCCCTAGATGAACGAAAGAATGCTCAAATGAAAATCGATAAGATGGGACTCGATTTGGGCAAGGTTATTTTAATTGAAATTTTTCCAAGAAGCTATTGATCTATTTAGGTTGTTCTCCCAGCCGACGCGATGGCAACAACCACAACTCCGGTGACAACAACCGTCCTTGAAACTACAGCAGTCACTGAAGCTGAAACGCCAAAAGTTACAGAGGCTCCAGTACCGGAAACTACAGAGGTTTGTGAGCGTTATAAAAGAATCAATAGTTATCAATACTTTTCAAGTATCAATATTTTTAGAAGTTTGTTTAGGTATTGATAAGCTTATAGATTCAGGAAGCCGCAACTGAAGCTGTAACCGAAGCTGCCACTGAACAACCTCAAGTTGAAGAAGTAGCAGCGCCAACTGAGACTTCAATAGTTGAAGAAGTGACAACTGAAGCACCTGTAGAAGAAACAACAACTGTTGAAGAACCGACAGTAGAGGAAACAACGGAAGAACCGGTGACGGAAGCGACTGAGGCTGTTACTGAGCCTGTCACTGAAACGGTGACAGAAGAACCGGTGGAAGCGGTGACAGAAGAAGTGACTGAAGAGCCGATAACAGAGGAGACTGTCACCGAAGAGACGGTCACAGAAGAACCCACTGAGGCACCAGAGACTGAAAATGTTGGAGAGGAGGTGAGGATCGAGAAATGAAAGCATTCCTTCATTTGTTGATGCTAGAAATTGTTTGCTGATGCAGAAGCATTTTGAAGAGCTTTTTTTAAATACAAATTTTCTGGGATATAAGTACGAAAATTCACAGGAAACGGCTACTGAAGAACCGGCCACAGAAGAAGAGCCAGTGACTGAAACGGTCACAGAAGAGATCCCAACTGAACCTCCAACTGATTCCGAGCCTTTGGGTGATGACTCTTCTGGTGAGTTATAGCTAACCAGCTAACCAGCTTTTCAACCGTATTTTTCCTAATAGTGCACTCCCGGCGAGCCGAGTTGATGATTATTTTATGGTTTCCAAGTTTGTCACAGAAACTCAACACTCTAGTCCCCCAAAAGATCTCATTGTCAGCTACATTTTCCGATCCCACATTGATAGGTTCTGATAAGCGGCTTTCGAGATTTCGAGGAATTTAGGGTGCACTATTATTAGGGAAAATACGGGGTCTTTTTATTCACTCTCACTCACTCACTCTTCAGTTGACACGGTGGTTGATGGTGGACACGGTGATGGTGGAAATGATGAAGCTGAGGTGGCAAGAGCTGTTGTCCGTAATTTCATTAATATGACAAGTCACAGACAATTAATATTGTCTCTAGTTTTTGTTTTCATTTGTCGGATATGGTTGAGCTAGTGGTAGTAAATATTATATCAATAGGTTTCATTAACACGAAGATTTTCATTGGGGTTTAGCTGTAAACAATCTAAATCGAAAATCAATTTATAAACCTATGAATTCATGTGTACTTTGTGCCTAAAAATGGCGAACATTCTTTTTGGTGCACTGAATTTGTCATTATCTTGGATATGTAATTGCTAGAGAATCAAAAGTTCAGTGTGATAGAAAGTGTGTGTGTTTGCACATTTCTGCACAAAGTACACAAAGTACACAAAATCTGTGTGTGTGTGTGTTGAGTCCAATTTACTGAACTCAAGCTGGTCATTGAGTATCTCAACACTGACACTGTTTAAATGTAGATTTTATGATTGATTTGCTAAACGATTCAACTTGGTTAGAAATAGACTTGCTTAACGATCTTTAATAGTTACCGGCTCTTAACGCTACTCACACAACGAGGGTTCGATTCCGGTCACGGTTCCGTTTTCGGTAGTAATTCCATATCCTTGGTGCAAGATAATGACAAATTCAGTGCACCAGGTCGGGCCGTTAAGGACTGTTAAGGACTGTTAAGGACTGTCGAAGGACCGTTAAGGACCCTTAAGTGAACCGCTAATCGACCGGTCACTAAGTCAAGTTAGCTGAGTGGTTAGAAGCTCAGTACACGGGAATCGAGAGGTCCAGGGTTCAATCCCCTCTCCGAAAATCTTATTTTTCTTTTCAATTCCTTCCTTCTTTATTAGAAGTCAAACAATTTGCAGGAGGAAGCGACGAGTGATGATTTCGCGGCTGAATCTCCTCCTCACAGTGACACCACTTATTTAACTCCCGTTGAACCGGGCCCGATCATTCTATTAGATGAATAACTTTATAGATATTAAATAAGTACTTTTGACTATTTTGTCAGCTATTTGTAGGACTTTTTGTAGTCTTTTTGTAGTCTTTTTGTAGACTTTATTCATGTGATAACCTTGGAACAGTTTGCTAGACTTGCTTCTCAAGAATCAAGCCTATTAAAGTGAAAGTCTCCGGGCTTTATCCCTTAATCCAATTCATCAAATTTCACCGATAAGCAAAAATGACCCAGAAGTTAAAAGCCTAGTTTCACAATTATACATTAGTCGCTGACAAAATGGTCGTTTTTTACCTCGAATATACTGTAGGAAATAGTATTGTAATATTTTTGTTGTAGATAATCCCTTTTATCTTTATATTTATTTTCTTTCCATTAAAAAAACATAATTTATTTCCATCAATTATCGAATTATTGTAAGTAAAAACACTTTTTTTTTTTTTTTTTTGCTTTTTTGCTTGCGAAATTTCTACACATAATTGCACGCGTGAACACCAAAAAAAATCTGCAAAAAGGAAAGGGAAAGAAAGAAAGAAAGAATAACGTTTTTTGAAAGACTAGATCATGCAAAATTCTTGTGGCAGTTAAAGAAAGATTATGAAAAAGATATAAATGCAAATCAGTAAAAAACTTTAAAAGTAAAGTATTCATTTAAAAACGACAATCGACGAATTGAAGGATTCTCCCGAGAATCGTCCATGTGTATTGGGAACCGCCGACATTCGTGCAAGTGGCGAGGAGGGAAGGAGCCGCCGAGATTGAAGCACGTTGCTGCAAATCAATCAAATCAATACAGGACATCAATACAGGACAGCTTTACAAGAATACAGGAAAGCTAAAGAAACACTGCAGTAATTCTACTGTGACTCTACAATGGCATAATGTAGAGCATTCTACAAGTTGTTTTGTTCGATAGTAAAGTATAACTCGACACTAGTACAGCAACAACGTAGCTCGACAGCTCTACTAATTGCAATTCTATAAAAGTACAGTTTAATTCTACAGAAATACAGTATATAGTATTTGAGGGAGAGACTAGTAAACTAAAAAGGAGGGAAGGAGCCGCCGAGATTGAAGCACGTTGCTGCAAATCGATCAAATCAATACAGGACATCAATACAGGACAGCTCTACAAAAATACAGGAAAGCTACAGAAACACTGCAGTAATTCTACTGTGACTCTACAATGACATAGTGTAGAGCATTCTACAAGTTGTATTTCTACAGCTCGACAGCTCTACTAATTGTTCGATAGTAAAGTACAATTCTACGGTGCTGCTGTACACTAGTACAGAAACAACGTAGCTCGACACCTCTACTAATTGCAATTCTACAAAAGTACAGTTTAATTCTACAGAAATACAATAGAATATACAGTATTTGAGGGAGAGACTCGTAAAATAACAAGTTTAGAGCAAGTCTAGAGAATTCTAGAATTCTAGAATCTTGAAAAACGAAATGTAATTTGCTACGATCAGATAACACATCAGATTTTATCATAAAGCAATTGCTAACTATTGAGCTGTGTTTAGGCTATGGATTAGAATCAAGTAAGAGAAGATTAGAGGTACTTTCTATGAGACTGGGTTCAGCTGACTGATTGAATTAATGAATTTAATGATATCAATATTTAGAAAGTTATTCATTTTCCCTGATAGAAACCAGTAAAACAAACTTTATGCTGGCTTTATCGATTCTTTATTAGTTCTTTATTGATTTTTTATTGTTTCTTTATTGTTTCTTTATTGATTCTTTATTATGGCTAAAGCCTATAAGACTTTTTAGCTTATAGACTTTTGAGCTTTTTAGCTTTTTAGCCATTACAATATGAGATTTGATTCTTTATCGATTCCTTAGCAATTCTTCATCGATTCTTTATCGATTCCTTAGCAATTCTTCATCGATTCTTTATCGATTCCTTAGCAATTCTTCATCGATTCTTTATCGATTCCTTAGCAATTCTTCATCGATTCTTTATCGATTCCTTAGCAATTCTTCATCGATTCTTTATCGATTCCTTAGCAATTCTTCATCGATTCTTTATCTCTATTCTCTATCTTCTCTATTTTCCAATTCGTACAACTCGATTTCTTCACTCAAAATTTCGTACTCTTTTTTCAAAAGACTAGAATTTTCCCAAAGATTTTCTTCTTTGAAAGAAAAAGAAGCTTGTGTCGATTTGGCGTGCAGTCATGGAGATTTACATTTGAAAAGAGGGAAAGCTATAGGTGGAAAAGCTTGTAGGAATGAACATGAACAAAAAAGAATGAACACTTTAACTATACAAGTGTTGAAAAAGCGAAAAATTGAATATGAAAGATAGTTAGTGCAAAGGTTTGAGAGATTTTTTGACTGCAAATTGGCTTTTACGATAGTTGTGTCAAAAGGTACATGATAAAGATACGAATTTGATAAATTTGAGAAGATCTTTGAGTAAATTGAGACTCAAAACGAGCTCTAATTTTGGGAAAATGTTTTGGGGGATTTAATTTCGAGAAACGCTCATTTCGAGATTGCCTTCTCTAGCGACTTTCCACCAATTTTACCCTCGTCATAACTTTCTTCTAAGTCATTCAATCTTTATCATTTTAATGTCATTTTGTAGATATCAACAAGTGCAACAAAATGAATCATAAAATATAAAGATTAGCCTAGAAGAAAGTTATGCCGAGTTGCACAAAAAATTGCCGCAAAGTAGCCAGATCCAGCCAGCTTTCTGCGGCCATTTATCGGCCAGGCTTTCTGGCCCAGCCTTTATCGCTATTTATGATCTTTTATGCTAAATTACTTATACTTTACCTTATAGACTTTAGCCATTACAATATGAAATTACCATACTTGATCATATCCCTCAACAGTGGCTGTTTGTCCGCCCGTTGTGCAAGTGATCGCCACAGTCGCTCCTTGCGCGTGTGTGTTCCCAAAGCTCACATCCGAGTAGTCAAATCTGGAATTGGAAATGAGAAATCTTAGATTTTAGTCTTATAATATAATAACTATCACTGAAATTTGATCCCACCTGTACTGATCACTTTGATCAACCGCTGAGACTGGGTAGAGGATAAGATCCGAGCAACGCGCGTTCACGAAAGCTGAAAGGTACATAATTGTACTATAATCAAATAAAATCTAATATCTAGATTCATTAAATGATTGCTTACTTTTGAAATTTATATAAATTAATGAAATCTTATTTATTAAAGGTCTTTTATCGTTTTAAGTTCCAAGTTTAAGCCAAGGAACGTTCAGAAAAAATTTTTAACGCAAATTCAACTCTTACAAAGTTTTTTAATAAAGAATTGGCTAAAAGAAGGGATTTCTGGAGAGGGGATTGAACCCTCGACGTTTTACAGGTAGGCATTACCCTCCAGGCAATTCCTCTAGCCATCGAGTTATCCGGTACCTTAACTTGTCAAGAGAAAGAAGGAAAGAAGGAAAGAAGGAAAGAAGAAAGAAAGAAAGATTTCTTTTAAGGATTCTGAGAATCCCACCTGTACTGATCACTTTGATCAACCGCTAAGACTGGGTAGAGGATAAGATATCATTTCAATGATATCTTATCCTCTACCCAGTCTGTTCTAGACTGTTCTAGATTCAAAACTGTTCTAGATATAATTTCAATGTTCTAGATATTCAACTCAACAATTCTTGAACAAACCCGGATCAGAGCTTTGCACGAAACCAGGCGGAGCACACGGCTCAGCGAAACCAATTAGCAATATGAAAATAAAAGATAGATAAAATTGTGGCTGAATCTTTCCCCAGGAAAGCGGAGGATCGCGTCTCCGACGCATTTCTTGCTTCAAACACTCTGGCACTGAAATTTGCTGAAAACTTTTTTGTAGTTAAACGAAATGATCTGAAAGAAATGAAAATTCATTTAAAATTAGATGAAATTTGTATAATTTGACAGCAATCGTTTGAAATTTGTATAATAATCCTTTCAAATCATGTTTATAAAAACGTTTCCTTTTGAAGAAATTCCTTTTGAAGAAATAAAATGAATACAAATAAATTTCATCGATTTTTATCACCAAATCAAAAGCAGCAAAAGCCAAATGTTTAGTGAAAGTCCTTTTCAAAAAGAGGATTTCATGGTGGATAAATTCGAGGGGGAAAAGGTAGAAAATGGCAATGTGAATGGCAAAAGGTGACTGAGTGAACAAGAGCTCTCAAAAAAAAGGATAGAGATGGTCCTAAAGGGGAATGGGATGGCTAGGATACAGTAGTCCTTTAGGAACTCATAACCGGACCACCCCTTCTTTCTCTCATCCATTTTCCTAGACCGGCTAAAGCCAATTTTCGTCAAGTGACACTCTTCTCTTCTCTTCAGGCTATGACTATGAATTGTGACTTTTAGTAAAGCTAAATAGGGAATCGATTGGAACTAAAGCCTACAGAACAGACAAACAGATAGACAAACAGACAGATAAACAGATAGACAAACAGATAGACAAACAGATAGACAAACAGACAGACAAACGGTTTTGGCTGAACTGAATTGTAGTGGAGCTACGTTAACTGTATCTGATCAATAATCAGAAAATCGAGCTTTCCTCTAGAATTTCTGAAGAGAGAACGGTAAAATGAACGCTAAAATACTGACTTTGACTAAAAAAAACAATTAAAAGATATTCAATTAACAGGCAAAAAATTGTTTTAAAAAAGAAAAACTTTCGAGTATCTTTAGCCTGCCTATTTTTCGGTACTGATAATTCGATACAAAGAATGCATTAGAGGATTATTATCATTATTATGAAGAACAGGGATAAGTTGAAGATTTGTATGAATTGTTTTAAGCTAAAGCTACGCCATCACCTCACGCTATCACCTATCAGCTATCACCTCACGACAGAAGCTAAAGCTTGAAAATTTTTTGAAATCATTTTCAAATTGAACGATTGAACAAAGTAATCAGAGACAAAGTAATTGAACAAAGTAATCAGAGACAAAGTAATTGAACAAAGTAATCAGAGACAAAGTAATTGAACAAAGTAATCAGAGACAAAGTAATTGAACAAAGTAATCAGAGACAAAGTAATTGAACAAAGTAATCAGAGACAAAGTAATTGAACAAAGTAATCAGAGACAAAGTAATTGAACAAAGTAATCAGAGACAAAGTAATTGAACAAAGTAATCAGAGACAAAAGTCTGATCCACTGATGCTAAATCACTTCAGCTAAAATAAAAATCACTTCCAAAAGCAATGAAAGTAAAAGTAAAAGTCAAAAAAAAACAATAATTACACCTCAACAACAATTAGACCTCAAAAAACAGTTAGAGTTGAAAGAAAGTCAAATTGAGGTAAAAGCTTGACGAGTAACTGGTAAAAGCCGAGAATAACCGGTAGCGGGCGACTTTCTCTTTCATAAAATATTCTCTTCCATAATATTTTTTCCGAGTATTCATCCACACCGATCCGGACTTGTTACATTCAAAAAAGAAAAGAGAAAAGACCAGTCATTGTGAGCAATTCAACGATTATTTGAAAAGGGATGGGGGAAAAGAAAAAGGCACAGGTAATTTTCATGCACACACACCTGTCGCTTTCTATGTCTTTTTTTTGAGAAGGGATTTTTGGGAATAAAGAGATCAAGGTTTTGATGAAGCTTTAAAGATGATGAGAGCTTTAAAAATGAAGGATTTTGTTAGAGTTACAATTCCGACAAATTTAACCGAAAGAAAATCTGATTGAAGGGGCTTTTTTTATGAAGAAAATCGCGAAAAAAAAAAATGGCAGCGAAGAGGGATCAACTAGTACGCATTCGTGAGCTTGTAAAATGAGTTGTACATTTCGAATCGGGAAATTTTTAATAGATAAATGTAGCCAAGATTAAGGCCTTTAATATTTTATATAACATTGAACAGAATTTTGGGATCAACAATTAAAGCGGCGAAGAGGGATCAACTAGTACTAGTAATGTAGTACTAGTACTAGTAATGAGTAGTTGATCAACTAGTACTAATGAGTAGTTGATCAACTAGTACTAGTAATGAGTTGAACTTGGCACTTGGGAGCTAGTCTACAATATACAAAAAAATAAAACATCCATCCGTCTGTCACGCCTGCGCGAGAATACAAATTACGTTAACGAAGTGAAGCTAGAAAGCTGAAAATTAGTACTTGGGGGGTTTTCGGGGGCGAGGAATCCGAATCTGTAATCAGATTTGTGTTAGTACCTCTGAGGTAGAATATCCGTCACGTAGCAGAAGCCCAGCTGGTCTATTCGCCGTAAATGCTGAACATCCTTTGTTGCACTCAACAACATGATGATTTTCTCAAAAACCAAAAGAGTTCACGGTTTTCTTTTTGTTTAAATATTTCAAATCTACGTTAAATCTACATTTCTTCACTAGATTCATGAGTTTTTATAAAAATTTCAAACTTTAAACCCAATTGCTGCACTCAAAAAAATGAAATTTTACAATATCTTGGAACCACAATTGATAAAACTTTGATTTCCGGGAGTGGGACAAATGCGACCTTTTTTTTGCGCACCCGGACATTTGCGCACCTTTTTTTCCGCACTTAGCCCATTAGCGCACCTTTTTTCGCGTTTTAAAAAAGCTCTAAAAGCTAATATTAACCAATTTCTATTCCAAAACTTGTTTTTCTAGGTAATTTTAGGGCGTAGAATCGAAATTTTGGCATATCAGAGCTTGTGGAAGCGAACGGACGGAGTTATACAAAGAGAAAAATCAACAATTTTCTGTAATTTGACCTAGCCGTTTTGTCTTTCAAATTGGTTGATTGATTTCCCTGATTTCCCATTTTCTTAGGCCTCTTTTAAGATCAATTTTCCTAAACAAGTCAATTAGCTTGCTTTAGTTCCGACAATTTTACAAATTAGAAGCTTCAGAGTGTTTTTAAATCGAAATCTATAAAGAATAAATCATTGAAGATTATCTTTTTCTCATTTTCTGATCAATAATCAAGAAAATCGAGCTTTTCTCTAGAATTTCTGAAGAGAGAACGCTAAAATGAACGCTAAAATACTGACTTTGGCTAAAAAAACAATTAAAAGATATCCAATTAACAGACAAAATTGTTTTAACAAAGAAAAACTTTAGAGTATCTTTATCCTGCCTATTTTTCGGTACTGATAGTTCGATACAAAGAATGCATTAGAGGCTTATTATCATTATTATTATTGACATTACAATTGACAAAACTTTGATTTCCCATTTTCTTAGGCCTCTTTTAAGATCAATTTTCCTAAACAAGTCAATTAGCTTGCTTTAGTTCCGACAATTTTACAAATTAACAGTTCCAGAGTGTTTTTAAATCGAAATCTATAAAGAATAAACGATAAAGTCTCTTTAAATACCACTTTTTAGCAAGTGTAACGATTTTCGATCACTTTTTATATAAGCATCGTCGCTCTATGTAAAGAGAAGAGCTCATAGTCTCGGAGAATGAATTGGTTTTTTTTAAACGGAATGTTCTATTGTTCATTTTCCAACAGTTCGAAAACTTCTTCAACTTTATAAGGTTTAAAAAGCTTTTAGCAAATAGCTTTATCTTTGTGTATAAATATGATTTCTTGATAAGAAATGCCTCGATTTTCTCTATGTAAAGAGGAGACTCTATGTAAAGATCTCCTCTATATAAAGATCTCCTCTATGTAAAGATCTCCTCTTCCCTGTTCCCCCTTTCCCTTGACCGTTCCTTTTCTCGGATTCTCTCTCTCTCTCTTGAGAGACCGAAAAGGATTGCATCAGCCGGTCCCCTGTCGACGTCCCCTCTTCAACGCGTTTTTCCCCTCTAGCAATCGCCGGGGGTATAGCTCAGTGGCAGAGCATTCGGCTGCAGTCCGAGAGGTCCATGGTTCAACTCCGTGTGCCCCCTAGTCTTTTGGCTTTTTTCGAAAATTTTTTGAAGCCATGCAAGGTTCGCTTAGGTGATGACCAGGTACAAGGTACAAATGCAAAAAGAAAGCGAAAGGCATGCTTGCTCTTGCTTTTCTTCAAATCTTGCTCTTGCTTTTCTCGAAGTCTTGCTCTTCTGGAAGTCTTGCTCTTCTCGAAGTCTTGGAAGGTCTCCAAAAATTTGTAAACCCATCAAATCACTCTAGCCGAATGTTTTTTATTCTTTTTATAATAAAATTAACAATATTAAAATATAAAAACAGGTGGTTGGCTTAAAAAAAAAATTTATGGTTTCCCCCTCGTCCCTTTAAAGTTTTCTACAGCTTTTTAGAATTGTTAACCGTCAACTAAACATTGTTGTGCTGAATCTCATGTATCGAAAAAGTTCTAGAAGATTCAAAAGCGAAAGATTCTCATTCTTTTTCTAATTTTGGTCATTTTTGCACTTAAAATTTAAAATTTCACCTCTTTTTTGTTGTCCTCTCAAATTTCTCTCTGCAATTATTGATCTTTGCGATCTTTTCGCAGAATAGAAACTACAACTGTTTATTTGCTCTCCCGATTGCTCTCAAATCCCTTTTAGTCGGGGAAAAAAAAGAAATGATTTTCGAAAAATTCCCCTTGAAATTCGCAAACACTCTTGATAAAACCCGGTCAATTACCCATGAATCGAAATTTTTCGAAGTGTTTCAAAAGCTTCGAAATTTTTCGAAGGCTAAATCATGTCTCTAAATCATGTCGAAGGCTAAATCAAACGAAAGCTCTAAACTCGCAGTTATACTAACAATTATGCCAAACATTTATTTATTGATCAAAATCTGGTTATTGATTATTGGTTATTGATTATCAAGATTATTGACATTTCTTCAGCTCTTTGTAATTCAAACTTTTTTCTATTCCTTTTTATTTGATACGTTTTTATTTGCTATTTATATTGTTATCAATTTGAATCAATTTCATTTTCATTTCTCTCCATCTTTCTCCATCTTTCAGAATTTCTAAATCAGAACTTCCAGAATTTCAGAATTCAAAATCAGAACTTCCAGAATTTCTAAATCCTCAACAATGCCTCAATATAAACTTCACTATTTCGATATTTATGGCCGAGCCGAGCCAATTCGAATTCTTTTTTATTTGGGCGGAGTCGAATATGAAGATCGACGATGGAGTTTCGCCGAATGGCCTGAAATTAAGAAAGGTTTGTTTAAGATTTTTGGATCTTTACCGTTATCAGTCGGCCGAGTTTTTGACCATTTTGCAGCTCCATTTTAGATAGGTTTTTGTTAATAAATTTTCATGAAATAAATAGTTTCTGAAAGTTGACGTTTTAAGCTATCTAAATTTTATTAAAACTTCCTGATCTAACAAGTTTAAAGTGCTTAAAAATGAGCTGCGAGTTGGTCAAAAAATTGACCCCCGCCGATAATCGTTACCCCCGCCGTTAACCGTAATGATCCGATTTAACAAGTTTATGTATTAAAACGGGTATCTAATAATTGTATGTGAGCTATCGGTTAGCTACGTCAACTTGGGAACTTTTTTAACGCAAAAAGCTACTTTTCACGCCTAGAATATGCAGTTGAAACTAGACTTGTGTTTCGGTTGAACCGGAAACGTTCTTTTTCGGTTTTGGTTTTGGTTTCGGTTTCGGTTAACCGAACCGAACCGAAAAAATGATCTTTTCGGTTGAACCGAACCGAACCGAAAGATTTCGGTTGACTTCGGTTCAACCAAACCGAAACTGAACCGAAACTGAACCGAAAAAGTCATCTTTTCGGTTCAACCGAACCGAGCCGAGCCGAAAAACTAATCTTTTCGGTTGAACCGAACCGAACCGCCAACCGATTTCGGTTGGCTTCGGTTCAACCGAAACCGAAACTGAACCGAAAAGAGCTAACCGAAACACAAGTCTAGTTGAAACATGAAAGTTATCAAATGAAACTCGAAAATGGAACCATAAAGACTTTATAGATAAAGATTATAATGGAAATTTCAATTTTAAGTTAAATTTTTAAATTAAATTAAAACATTTATCATTAATAAACTCAAAACCGAGTTTAAAATCAGGACTTTGGTAATTCTATTGCAATAATTCAGCAGTTCTAACGATTAAGTTATTGTTGAGGAAATTTTTCAAATTCAAATGCCTTCTTTTCCTTTCTTAACCTTCTTTTTTCTTTCTTAAAGCTTTTAAAGCTTTAATCAAATCAAATCAAATCATTAGTTTAATGCAAATCTTTTGAATTTCCCGATTTCAGAACCAATCTTCACATTTGGTCAGGCTCCACTGCTTGAAGTAGACGGAAAACTTTGACTCAATCTTTTTCGACTCAATCTTTGACTCAATTCCCCCGCCCTTTCGATTCCCTTCTCGTTGACTCATTTGATCGGGTTCAAGAATGATTGAGTGATTTGGGATATTAACTTCTTCGTTTATTACTTCTTCGTTTATTGAAGGCGCATTCTTAAATCTTTCTTAAAGCTTTTAAAGCTTTAATCAAATCAAATCAAATCATTAGTTTAATGCAAATCTTCTGAATTTCCCAATTTCAGAACCAATCTTCACATTTGGCCAGGCTCCACTGCTTGAAGTAGACGGAAAACCGTTGGCCCAAACAATTGCCATCGCTCGTTTTGTCGCGAATCAAGTTGGTGAGTGGGCAATTTCTTTTAAACAATAAAACAAATACAAAAATAAAAGCTTAACTGAATATTTAAAGTTTCATATATGCTAATTTTGAAAGCATTGTTTCAAAATCGAAAATTTTCAGGCTACGCCTCAAAGGACGAATTCGAGGCGGCCCGCCAGGACTCGATCGTCGATTTTATTAGTGTAAATCAATTAATTTATAAATTTCTAAATAATTAACATATAAATTTTCATATTCTAACTGTAATTTGCATATATTTACAATATAAAAAAAACTAATCTCAGGACTACCAAGAGAAACTCGTCCCATGGTATCGTATCAAGTTGGGCTTTTTGCCCGGTGATGAGGTGAGATCTTCGGTTTTTAAGCAGTTTAATCTTTAAAAGAACTTTTTAGATATTATATACTATATTTATTCTAATAAAGTCTCCAATAGAAGCTCAGTCTCCAATAGAAGATCATTCTCCAGTAGAAGATTAGTCTCCAACAGAGGTTCAGTCTCCAATAGAAGCTCAGCCTCCAACAGAAGCTCAGTCTCCCATAGAAGCTCAGCCTCCAATAGAAGCTCAGTCTCTACAAAGTCTCTCACCCTCCTAAACTCCTCAAAATCGAGACTTTTTAGGACTTCTTTTAAGCTAAAAGCTATAAATATGACTATAGGTTTTATTTTAGATGTGTTTTCGTTGTTGGAAAAATTGGAAATGTAATTTTTTTAAAAATTAAAAAAGAATTTTTCGAAAAAAATTTTATGTGGGGGACCACATGGATTTTTTTTGAGAGATTTTCTATGAGGAAATAATTTCATTTTTAAACCCACTTTTGACATTGACATGTTTTCGGCTAAAGGCCATCGTTTAAAAGAGTTTTTTGTAAGTAATTTTTAGATTTTTCATTGACAATTTCCCATTTTTTGTTTTTGATTCTTACCTACTTTTTCGGCCACTCGATTTTGGAGTTTGAACAATAGAAAGTTCATGGTTTTCGATTAGAATCTATAATAGTTTACTAGATTTTAAATTAGCATATTGTAATTTGCATTTATCATCAATTTTCCAGCAAGCTGAACTCGAGAAACTCAAGCCGGCTCAAGTCGATTTTTTCACGAAATTGAGCGACATTTTGGAGAAGGAAGGAACCGGATATTTGGTTGGGAATTGAAAAACAATTCAAACAAAACAACAATTCCATCATTTTTCCTGAGAATTCTGATGAAGATTTTCTAAAAGAATGCTTCAGAAATCAGTCATTTTCCATCCGATCAGCTCAAATGATTGATGATGATTGATGATTGATATCACAAAGCTCAGTCAATCATTTCAATCATTTCACTCATTCAATCAAAACTATTTGGTTGTCATTGATGATTGATGATTGATCAATGATTGATATCATTGACTGAGCTTTGTGAGAACCGATGAGAATCAATGATTGATATCATTGATTCTCATCGAATGATATCGAATTTCACTCATTCAATCAAAACTAATAAGCCTATTACGGTAGTTTTTTAAAAATAAAACCTTTCTTTTCACTTTTTCCAGTGGATTCTTTTTATTGTATGCAAAATTTGAAAAGCCAAATTTCCAGGTCGGTTCCTCGCTTTCATGGGTTGATATTATACTCTACCATCACAATTATCTCTTCAATTTGGTCATTCCCGGATATTTTGATGATTATAAAGTGGTAAGTTATCGAAAATAAACATTTAAATAACAAGGAAAGGTGAAAAGGCTGAGGTGGTCAAATGGAAAAGCTATATCCATGCAAACAAAATGGAAAGAAAAGGAAGGGAACGAACTAGAGCAAAGACTTCATAGCCCGTTTCGTAAACAAGACTCTTATCCACTACACCATGAGCTGACATTTCATGGTGGGGAAAGAAGCGTTATATAGGGATTGGTCTCTGTTTTGACCTCAAACTTGTTTGTCAGAGGTCAGATATAAGGCTTCTTTCACCGCCGTAAGACTTGAGTTCGTGGTGTAGCGGGTAAGAGTCTTGTCTCTAAGACAAGGGGTCAGCCTTTTTCCAGTTCAATCCCTTCCTTTTATTTTCATGGTATTTTTCATGGTATATTCATGTCATTTGGTCATCTCAGCCTTGTGACTTTCGCTTGTAACTTTCTTAACACGTTGACGACATTGTCACCTGATGTCAGGTGACATTTTTTGTCGAAAAAAAACAACGTTGTCCCATGCGATTGTTTGTGCAAAAACGCCATTGTCGTCAACGTGTTAACTTAACTTTCTTAACTTAACTTCCTTAACTTAACTCTCTTAACTTAACTTTCTTAACTTAACTCTCTTAACTTTCCCTTCTAACTATCAAACTCCAGGTTGCCGATTTCAATAAACGCATCGAGAATCTGCCGAAAATCCAAGAATACTTGGCTCAACGAAAACAATGCGAACGATAGGATAAAACAAGAAAAAGAACTAGGAAATACATAAACATTTGTGTAAAGTTGTTGTTTTAATTTCTAAATAAAATCTCCCAAGCAAATGATTACTGCAATTATTTATCGTATTTTGACGAATCCAATTGATTTTTATATCAAAAGATGGAGCGTTGAAAATCAAGGGATCATGAATAGGGATCATGAAACGGCAAAATAGGGATCCCTATCATAAATGGGGATCTTGAAAACGGCAAAATAGGGATCCCTATCATAAATGGGGATCTTGAAAACGGCAAAATAGGGATCCCTATCATAAATGGGGATCTTGAAAACGGCAAAAATCTATTTAAAGGTGGTGAAATCGGGTTTTAAATGTCATTTAACTTCTCTTGATGATCGCTCTATGTTGCTGGTAGAGAAAAAAATGTGATCTAGGCATAGGAATGAGCGACCGGAAAAGCCTCCAAGCTGGTTTAATCACTCAAATTCTTGTACAAGTACATTTAAACTGATAAACAACTTTAAAAACTCTAAAAACTTGACTCTAGTCAGTCTTTCTTTTCAAAAGACACGTGCCAAATTCGCGAATTGCGTCAAGGAAGAAAAAGAGACACCTCGAGGGAAGAATCGAGCCGGATTTGAAAAGAAGAGAAGCCCCGATGAGCTGTCAAAGATGTCAGCGATGGGAAAGGGAAAGCGATGACGAGATTCTTTCTCTTTTTCCACCAATTCACTGACACCAATTATTTGTTGAAGTTCAACTTTGACTCAATCTTTTTCGACTCAATCTTTGACTCAATTCCTCCGCCCTTTCGATTCCCTTCTAGTTTCGATTCCCTTCTCGTTGACTCATTTGATCGGGGTTCAAGGATGATTGAGTGATTTGGGATATTAATTCATCCCGTGCTTCTCGAAAGCGCACGCCGGCAAGTACACTTGTCAGGCGGACACACGTTGCGGAGCAACTTCTTCGTTTATTAACTTCTTCGTTTATTGAAGGCACATTCTTAAATCTATAATCAGTTTGAAATTCAATCATTCATTCATTCAATCATTCATTGATTCGATCAAAGCTCTATGGAACGCTTGAAGAGGGTTTTCAGAAGAGGATCGTAAGTTCTTTTGTTGATTTTAGTTGATCTTTTGTTGATTCCAAAGCAAATCAAAAAGATTATTAACAACAAAATATCAAGAAATATGTTAAAATAATCTCAACTCGATTTTATAGATTTATTTAATTATTTTAGAAGATTGTGGGATATTTGAGACGCGCCCCGCTTCTTTTCCCATAAACAATCTAACTTTAAGCTCAAATTTTTTGGTGCTCGGCTGTTCAATGTAAATAGTTTTTATACCAATAGATAGAGAAAGTCTAGGTGCATCGAATAATACCAAAAATTTACAAATTGAACAGCCCGATACTAAGATATTTAAGCTCAAATTTAGATTGCCAATGGCGCCTATCAAATGACCGATAACCTTTCAGAACAGCTTTTTTTCATTAAAGTAAAACAAGTAAAAACTTGTTTCAAACCTAATCAAATAGCGTTTCAAAAAACAGTTAAATTTTAGTGTCTTTTAGAGTGAGTATTTGCATTTAAAATCGACTAAATTGAATAATTCAAAGAGTTTAAATTAAGCAGAGGTTATCGGATATTTCAGCCTGCTTTATGTGCCATTGACATTGACAATCGAACTTTAAACACAAATCTCTCAACGCTCAGTTGCCCAATTGAAAAAGTTTTTGTAACATTCGTCATGTTTTCTTCTGTCGATTAATAAAAAAAATCATTTCAATCGGGAAAGAGAGAAATAACAAGCAATAGGTGTTGCAAGGATTTTGGAAAACCCTGTAAACCAGATCCCGGTTCTAATTAGAAGCCTGATCAGATCAGAGATCAAATCAAATCAGAATTCAACTGGTGTTTGATCCTGACTTTATCAAGCAAGACACATTCTCATGCAACCCTGAACTAGAGTCTAGTATCTAGACTAGTTATTAGTCTGGTTACTAGTCTACTTCCTAGTCTAGTTCCTACTCTAGTTACTAGTCTAGTTCCTAGTCTAATTACTAGTCTAGTTACTAGTCTAGTTCCTAGTCTAATTACTAGTCTAGTTACTAGACCTTCCTGCTAGCAGACTGGTCAGCTGGCTCAGGTTAGCAACAGCCATCAGACAACAGAAAATGAATGCCCTTCTCAATGAAATCGTTTTCTAGTGTTTGCTCCTCTCCATCCTGTTCAATCTCCTCATCATCATGTCATTCCTATTCCTCTGATCTTTTCTCTTCACTCGATCGATCGCAATTCATTTGTCGTCCATCTCTTCCATCATCCTCCACCACTTCGTCGATGATCTTTCCGAGAATGGTTTCCCTTTAGACGTACTTTGTGCACAGTGCTTAGCCACATCTCTAGTTCACTTAATTCTTTATTTTCTTGTACCAGAAGTGTTTACAACTGTTTGCCACAAAAAACAGTGTATAGTCAAACAAACAAAAGTTGTCCTTCATTCAAAATCCTTATTCACTCATTCATTTCAGGAAGCTGGGATCTTTCCCCGTCCCGAAGCATCAATTGGTGTCCATCCAGTAAATGGTTTTGATGACAGTGCATCTGATATCTCAGAGTTTCTCATTTTAACTGAATTGATGCCAAAGTATAAGAAGAAAAGTAAACGAAGCACTGACGGGCACAGTACAACTGCTTCTAGGTATGGTAAACAAGTTGCACTCAGGTCCAAGAAACTCTGACTATTGTTGCAACACAAAGTTTCAGGTTATAGGCTTCACTCTAGACTTAAAAAGGAAGCCATAGGAAGTCATAGGAAGCCATAGGAAGCCAAGCAAAGATTTCTTGTTCTTTCTAGAAGATCCAACGCTTCATCCCTTGTTCGGAAGCGTTTATCAATCGTTGAACCCGATGCTTCATCTTTTGTTTTCTTTGATGCCGATGAGTACAGCCGAGCTCCACCATTACCAAAAACGATGTTAAGGAGAGTGCCGAGGTGAGTGAAAAGATGATTGAAAATGATTAGATCCAATACCCCAAAGCTACCCCAAAGCTACTATACCTTTCAATCTGATTTCCCGAACAATTCCCATACATTTGTTCTTGAAATCGAAATCCCATTAGCACAATTTGAATAAAACTGGAGGAAATTGGCTTTCCAGAAAGTATTTTCGGTTCTTGCGTAGTTTTTTTTAAATTTGAACGGCTCATCACTCTTTGAAGGCCTATAATTTTGTTTAGAGATCATATTTTTGCTAACTTTTTATATCATTGTACAGAGGACATTTCAGCCTTTCAAATGATACTAAATAGAGCTTGACTAGCTTTTTCATTCCCATGTAAACCAGGCGACACGACATCCGAGTTTGATAAGCTTCATTTGTTGAGTTGGCTGTGATTTTCTTGAACTGGATTATCCAATCAAGCTCTATTTGATATCATTTGAAAGGTTGAAATGTCCTCTGTAAAATGATATAAAAAGTTAGCAAAATTATGATCTCTAGACAAAGTTATAGGCCTTCAAAGAGTGATGAGCCGTTTAAAATACTCGGAAACTAGGCAAGAGCTGTCTTTTCGTTTCTTTTCATCAAAAATAACAATCATTCACGAATTAACGAATCCTATAGAAAGTGTTTATTCGTCAATTTCCTAAGCAAAAAGAAATAAAAAGACTTTCTGGACAGTCTAATAGAGTTTTGCAATCAATTTCGTTTCAGTCGATCAATTCTAAAGAAACAAAATCCAGCGAATATCTATGAGGAGATTGTAGATGATTGTGTAACTCCATTGCCGGATGTTAGACCACAGGTATTGTAGAAGATTTGATACTTTAGAAGAATCGAGACCTATTGTATGTCTACTGTAGAATCTGTAACTTGTTTTTAAGATTTTAAAACGTTCGTTCAAGTGTACGTTGGTTTAAGTACGTTCGAGTGATAAGAGAGTTGGAATGGATTGACAAGTGATCTAATCTATAGATCTAATCGATAGATCTAATGAATCTATATGTCGTAGCCGCTTACGAAATTCAACCGCTAACGAATGAGGGTATTTCCGGGCATCCAATCAAAAAGTGACCCACATAAAAAATGTTCATAATACATATATTTTATAATAAATTTTTGAAATTAGCTCATTTGGTTCAGTAGAAATTTTTTTTTGAGCCCCCAAAGTTTAGGTTCAAAAATGCCCTAAAATGGCTATAAAAAAATTTTCTACTTAGCCAAAAAACTTGCCTAATAGCTCATTTTGTAGCCAATTTGATGTAGATTCTTAAAGTAAAGCCATCTAAAACAATTTTTCGTTAAAAGTAGGAGAAAGAGGGCGAGGAACAAATTCAGGGCAATTCTCAAATGTGAAAACAGCGATCGAGTTCAACTGAAGTCGTTCCTCGCCCTCTTTCTCCTAGCTTTGAAAAACAAATGTTCAATATAGCTTTACTTTAAGAATCTACATCAAATTGGCTACAAAATGAGCTATTAGGCAAGTTTTTGGCTAAGTAGAAAATTTTTTATAGCTATTTTAGGGCATTTTTGAACCTAAACTTTGGGTGCTCAAAAAAAATTTTCTACTGAACCAAATGAGCTAATTTCAAAAATTTATTATAAAATATATGTATTATGAACATTTTTTATGTGGGTGACTTTTTGATTGGATGCCCGGAAATACCCTCATTCGTTAGCGGCTGAATTTCGTAAGCGGCTACGACATATAGATCTAATCTACAGATCTAATGAGTCTATAGATCTAATCTACAGATCTAATCTATAGATCTAATGAATCTATAGATCTAATCTATAGATCTAATGGCTTTGGTCTAATGATCTAATGATCTATAAATACAGCCAGTTACAGTTGAGCTATAAATACAGCCAGTTACCAGTTCGTTTCGAATTAACTACCCAGCTTTATTGTATACAAGATTACAGTCAAAGTGTCGGCTCGTTTGATTCGTTTCATGACAAGTAAAAGACAAGTTTGATTTTTGCAGCTACCAGCTCGTCCCGAAGTGCACTCATTGCGGCTCTTCCCCCCTTGCACACTCTTCCAACCAAGAGCTCACTTATCAGAGAATCACTCAAAGTTTCTTCTTCTTCTTCTTCTTCTTAAAAACTATCAATCATCTATAAGATTTTAAATTTATTCAATTCTTTGAATCCTCTTTAGATACCCTGAACAACTTAAACGTAAAAAGTTGCCCAGCCTACACCATCGACGCGCCAATCTGCGACTAATCGAGTTTTAAAGCTAATTTTCCAATAAAATCTTGCCAATCGATTTTGAATCAAACTTTATACCCATATTGAGAAAAAATCAATGGTTTTTTTCATTGTGAAAAATGACACGTTTAATGGAGATAAGAGAGATCGAATGGAATGAAAAGTGACTGATTGGCGGACTTGCTCAACATATTTGTGAAAAGTAATCAAAAGTAATCAAAATCAACTATATCAAAAAAAACTAAAATCAATCAAATACAATATTTCTAATAAGATAGGCTAGATCTAGACCTGGTTTAGATTTAGTCTAACGAGAGAATGTTCAAAACCGATCGTGACATTTCGACACGAAACTTTGGCAACTTTGGTTCAAACCTTTGACAGTTTGGCAAAATTTGTCAAAACTTTACACGCTTATATCTCGAAAACCAATGCTCGTCAGCAAAAATGAATTACAGCTTTGGAATCCTCGCAATCAATTTATCTTTGTGACAAAGTTTTGTGTCGAAATGTCATGGTCGGTTCTGAACGTTCCCTTGTAAGCCGAAGACTGGCTTAGGCAAGCTCAGAAGACAGCACTTTGCTTGTGATTTGGTTCTGATCTAGAAAAACAGTCTTGGAACGATCCTGTAAAAGTTTAGACCAAAGTTAAGACCAAAATCTTGGCTTGATACAGTTTGATTATCGTTTAATTTCATTCGTAAACTGTTGAGCAAGTCTAGAGTCGAGAGATCAAGAGTCGAGATTTTTGGCAAGAAAATTCTAAGCCCGTATGTGAAAGAAATAATCGGGAACTTGTTTGCAACATCAAATAAACATAGACTAAGATTTTAAAAGGCAAAGAGTCGATCTTTTTCATGTTGAAAGCTGATCAACAAATCGCAATGGCTGAGTGTCTCTTGATGAGATGTCGAGAGGAAAGAAGAGCTTGATGTGGGTCACCTTCATGAACTGAAAATAGGAATTGAAATCTATTTATGTAATAATTTATATATCTAGCTAGCTATTGGGATATTAGGCTGAAGATTTTGGAAAAAGAAAAAGGGATTTCTTTTGAACTGAACTTAGCCTTAAGCTGGACACCATTCGATCTCTAAAAAGAGAAATTGAGAAAAGAAAATGATCACAAGATGTATTAGATTTCGATAGCTACGTATTCATACTATGTACAGTGTACTGTGTACAGTGTACAGTGTACTGTGTACAGTGTACAGTGTACAGCGTACTGTGTACTATATTTTCTCTAATTTTAACTTACCTTTTTGTGTTGCTGACAACAGCAGTGATATCCATGGACTCTCTTGAACTGATGATCGTCGTCTTGCCGCATCTTTCACTGTGTATTCCTTAAAGGTACTGTAATTCTTATAATTACGTTACTATGTTCAAGCTTTCGATACTTTCTATCAAAAGAAACCCCTTGTAAGTAGAAGTTAAAACGCACTAAAATGGAAAAAAGACAAAATTCGAGTATACGGTGGGTCAAGCTTATTTAAGTTAGCATTTTGTTAGAGAAAGGCACGAACTTCGAACGAACGAAAGGCTCTAAATAGGGAAAGGCACGAACTTCTCGTGAGCTTTCGTTTTCGGATTACTAAATCGAGTATGGAGATTCAGAATCTCAAATCAAAATCTACCAAATAAGCTTGAAAATGCGTAAAAATGTCCTTTCGGACCGTCAAACCGATCGAGTCAGCTACAAACCACTGTAACTTTCTTTAGAATTAATATTTTTAAGTGTACTTTAGCTCATTCGAAAGCTCTTGAGATTCTCTATTTTTTTTGAGCTACAGTACTGAACAATGAAATATGATATTTGAAAAGCGATCGTCACGTTCGCACGTCTGTAACTTCCTTGTCTTTACCGTATTTCTAAATATTAATATTACCATTGTGTAGCCCTTGAAAAGAGCTTTCAGAAAATGTATAACACTAATAGTTTAAACTAAAAGGCAAAGAAGTTACAGACGTGCGAACGTGACGATCGTTTTTCAAATATCATATTTCATTGTCCACTACTGTATGTAATCCGGGAAACGAAAGCTCACGGAAAGTTCTAGTCAACCGTTTCAAGCTTTGAATGCTTTCAAGCAAGCAGCCTTTCCCTAGTAAGAGGATTTTCGTCACAATTTCACTAATAATTTCTTGAGATTTAAATGCTCCTGAAGACTTTAGTGAGGAAAACTTTCTCATCGTATCTTCAAAAACTTTACAGATCAAGTTGATACTTGTTAAAGTACAATAAGTATTTCTTAAAGTACATACCGTAAATACTGTAATAGTACAGTCGGGTAGTCGCAAAAATTTTTTAGTATTTCATTTTGTTTCAAAGCACCCGTACTTTCAAAAAATGCGTCTTTGGTATCAAAAAATAGCTGAAATTCAGGGCTATTTTTTGATATTTAAACGCGCATTGTAGCATAAACCAGTGTCGAGAAAAACGCGTCCAAAGCTAGACTACGCAACGCTCCGCACCGTCATTATAGAGGTGGGGTACTATTACAGTATTTACGGTATATCGATCTTACTGCACAAACCTTTTCAGACGGTTCTCCGAAGAACATCAACGAAAACTGTTGACGAATCTCTTTATTCGAGAGGAAATGTGCTGGACATCTGATCGCATTGCCAACCACTGAAAATTGATAAACTTCAATTGAATAACAAGAACTATTCGTCTAAAATTATTAATGTTTAAAGATTTACTGAAGAATTACTTTTCTTTTCTTTTCTTTTCTTTCCTTTTCTTTTCTTTTCTTTCCTTTTCTTTTCTTTTCTTTTCTTTTCTTTTCTTTTCTTTTCTTTTCTTTTCTTTTCTTTTCTTTTCTTTTCTTTTCTTTTCTCAAAATACCTGTCAATAAACTTGAGCTATCAGCTGCCAATTGATAAAAAATCGGATGATCTCGGTGAAGGAAATCTGAAAAGGAATTCCCCATTTGAACATCTGATATTTAGTTATCTGATTTAGACTTTAAAAAAGTACTTTTTTAGCTTAGCTGCCGTTTTAGACAAGAAGCTATTAGCTGTAGAGCTGAAAATTCATAACTAGAGGCATTCTGGGATAGAGAAACTGAATCCGTTATTAGTTTTTGAGTAACTTTAATTTCCGAGCCGAGTAACTTTAATTTCCGAGCCAATACTTTCCGACAAAGCTTCGGTAATTAAACCGAATCTTCAATCTTCAAAAATAGCTATTTTCTTTAAAAACTAAAAACTGATTTGGATTCCGCATCCTCGAAAACCCTAGATTGCAAATTTTCAACTCAATCGATTGTGCTAAATCTAAATAACCGAAATCGATGGACCATATCGTGACGAATTTGTTAAATAACATTCTATTTTCCTTCCCCACAGCTGAATATCTTTTAGTTTCGTTAATTTCAAATAAAAGAGACAGCTACGAAAAATCTATGAAGAAAAAGGGACGCGCGGGTGATTACTTTGCACCAAATTCTTTGCCCAACTGGGTCATTTGCGCAACTTGCCATAACTTTCTTCTAAGTCTGCCAATCTTTATGATTTTGGTGTCATTTTGTAGATCTCAATAAGTGCAACAAAATGACACCAAAATCATAAAGATTGGCAGACTTAGAAGAAAGTTATGGCGAGTTGCGCAAAGCATTTGACGCAAAGTAGCCACCCCCAGGAAAGCTTCGCTTCCATAACCTTTTCCATTTGTTCCCACAACATTAAAAGATATTGAAATAAAACTTTTGGATACTTTGAAAGTATGAGATTCTTTATATTAATAATCGTACCTGCATCCAGATATTCAACTATCGTTAGCGTTAAATTGAGAAAATTCGACAGTAAATAGGCGCTGATGATGACGAGAAGGGTGTGAGTGGCGGCACGAATATTTCGACGTCTTAAATAATCGAATATCTATTTGTTTCTATTTCGAAATTTACATTTAAACATTTAAATATTGATTTAAATATTGATTTAAACATTTAAATATGATTTAAACTAACCGAATTTTCATTACATCGTTTCCCATTGTCAGCTGGGTGATCAAAGAGCGGAGTTGCTGAAAATGAGAACAATTTCAAGCTAACTTTAACAACGATTGCTTTTTGAGCGTACAGTCGAGTAGTTGTTAACTGTTTTATTGATCATTTGATAACTTAATGATTTCTGTGCCAAAGCTGACACGGAAGTAAGCCCAGGTCAAGCCAGAAGTCAGATTCTAGACTAATTCAAAGAACAGGTTAAGAAAACAAGAAGATTTTTCCATTCACCTGCACATTTTGCCTCCTCAACATCAACACAATTCCGCCGTTGAGAAAAACGAGTGTGAGGAATGGGACGGCCAAAACGAGCGCGTTGATAATACCCATAAAAGTGGATGAGCGAATTGTTCCAATCTAAAATGGTTCCAATCAGTTTGAACTTACAAAAGGTCTACCTGAAATCGCTCAAAACCAGTGCAATGGATGTGCTCTTGGACCTCGACTCTCTGGAAAATTATTTTAATTAATTGATGTCATTGATAAGCTTTTGTTAAGCAATTTACAATAGAAAGTCTTTAGAAAAAAAGAATTGGTCGAGTTTTAGATAGTCGAGCTTCAAATGACCTTTCTAGACCCGGCCTCAGCTAGCCGTCATGGCCGACTGGCTAAGAGCCCTGTTTCTTCATCGAGAGATCGAGGGCTCAATCCCGCTGGCTGCTTTTTTCGTCCTTTTGGTCCCTTTTTCATCCTTTTTTTCCTCCCTACATTCACTTGTAGTACAACAAGTCCAAAAATAGATTATAGACGTTGTTCGACGCCGAAATTCCTTCCCTAATATAGTTTATTCTTGTGCTTTTGTACTTATGCATTGTTTGTACGACATTCGTGTAAATAAATGTACTTTTAGCAATCAGTCCCCTAGACTTCCGGGGTACTTGTTTTCCGTCTTTGTGGGTGAGTTGAACCTTGTGGGTAGTTCTCTTAAGCTTCCCCTCTTCCCCTCTTCACTTCTCATTCCCTCCTTTCTCTTTTCTGCCTCATCCACTCATGATTTCTTGCATTTCTTTGAAAAAATTCTTCAAAAACATTGAAAAGATTGAAATTTGAATGAAATAGAGGAAACTAGGGAAAGAATTTCGGCGCTGAACAACGTCTATAGTCTATTCTTAGACTAACACCTACATACTTGAGAGATTCTGAGAAAAAGAACAACAAGAACTGAAGAACAGAAGAACTGATCCTTTAAATAACTTGAAAAATAATATTTTTGACGTTTTCTTTAAAATAGCTTTACTCTTGAGGGTTCTGGTGGTTAACTTGTCGGTTTAGTTACCCAAATTCTATTTTAGATCAGTCTGATCTGTCTCTTTTGACAGAAAAGAGTAACTAAACCAATCAATTATTGATTGAAAGGTTAAAATGAATCTGAGCTTAAGAAAAAGAAGTTGGGCAACTAAGCCGAGCCATCATTAAGTGAATTTGTGACGTTCTCAATAAAATCAAATATTAATCTAATATTTTTAATGAACTTTTTCTCATTAAGCCATCATTAAGTGAATTTGTGACATTTTCTTTTAAAATAAACAAATTCTTTGACCAAACAAACAAACAAACAAACAAATTAAACAATATTTGACTCTTGGGAAATTCTAGTTAACTTAACGATTTAGTTATCCAACTTCTATTAGTCAGCTTTATTTGGTGATCCTTTTTGTTTAACCTGATCCATTTAACCCATTCATAATCGGTCATTCATAATCGGCTGGCCATTCATAATCGGCTGGTTTAGTTACCCAACTTTTGTTTTAAATCAGTCTCTTTTGATCGACAAGAGTTGGGTAACTAAACCAATCAGTTATTGATTAAGTTAAGATGGTTAAAATGAATCTGAGCTTAACAAATAGAAGTTGAATAAGTAAACCAAGCCGTCACTAAGTGAATGTTAAACAATTTTCTTGATTCAAACAACTCACCGATGTGATAAATTTCAGTGAGACAGCCAAAATCAACGCCGCAACCAGCACGATCCATCTCGTTTTACTCTCAAACCCCGTAAAAGTCCAATGTTTTGTCAAACAATACCTAAAATATTATAAATTATTATAGTAATTTGATGAATATTGCCCTTAAAGAAGGCTTAGAGGCTTAGAGCCGATTCCCACTAAAATCAAATATTGGGTTGGTGAATTGAAAACTGCCGAACTTTGAACTAAAATTTATTGAACATAAAACCATAAATTGATTCCAAATAATTTCCATTATTATTACTGACTTCTGCCCATTTTACAGGCAATTTGCGGATTCCTCTTTCTTAGTAGGATTTTGGTTTTGAATCGAAAAACTTTCAAGGAAAATCCGCCCAGCCCCTCATCCCATTTTTTCCCGACACTTTACCAAACCCGAAAGGAAAGTCCCTTATGCAAGCCCCATTTGCCAGGTGGAGAGCGATTGTGTGCGTGTACAAAGAACGGATTCCTCTTAGGATTTTGGTTTGTGTGTGAGACAAGTGTGAGACTCAAAAATGGAGGACTGGAGATGTCCCAGTTTGAGCATTTGAGCATTTGAGCATTTGAGCACTTTCTTCAAAAGAAATCCATTTTGGTGTAAATAGAAAAGTTGTAGAGAATCAAAAATGAGGCTTATAGCCAAATTTCCAAAAAGATACACTTAGTAGTTTCGCTTAAAATGCAAGTTTTGTGAAAATTCGTAAATTTGGCATTTCTTGAAAACCAGTTTTTGAATCGTTCTGTAAATTTCGATATAAGCTTGATTTTTGATTCTCTACAACTTTTCCATTGACACCAAAATGGGTTTCTTTTGAAGAAAGCCCTCAAACTGTCACATAGGACAATAGTCCGCAGTTTTCAATTCACCAATCCAATAGATTGAGATTAGGCTTGATTTGCGGAGAAGTCATGTCTAATCTAAGGATTCGGAGCCGACCAGTTTGACAAAGGGAGAGGGAAGGGACTTATGTAAAAGCCCTGCGCCAGACGACGGGCGATTACGCGCCGCACAAAGAACACACAGTTTTCAATTCACCAACCAAATAGTAATCTAATATTTCTAATGAACTTTTTCTCACAATCAGCTACCCATTTTTGGCTTTACAAGATGTAAAACCAAATACAGCCAAAGTTAGAGCAAAAATTGATCTTAAAAATGTAGTTACAATATATTCAAAGGGTTTTCTAAAGAAGTTTTAGCTTTCTAAAGAAGTTTTATATAAAAAAAAGGCCGAAAAAATGCTCGTACAGACAGACAAACACTACTCTTTTATATACAGTAAATTTTTCCACCAAAAAAAACCTCTCAATGCTTGCAACGATGAGACAAAAAACGGATGCCACTTTGAAGATTTGACCGAGTAGATAGAGAAATGGCATATAGTTGATCCACATTAAATAGAGACCGAAATTCTTGTAGTATTGAGCTTCAATGGGGACTGCCTAGAAAAATTGTTTCACTAGTTTCACGAATTAGATCTTATGCCATGTCAAATCTGCCCTATATCTAATCTTTTTGTACCTGTGTTTCCTAACTGTAGTCTTGCTGTACTATTTTTAGTTTTCTTTCTTTTTTTGTGAAAGTATTGTAGCAATATGTGATATGCGGTTATGATTATCTGATTCGCTTCTATTCGCCCCATGAATAAAGCATATATATATATTATATTATTATACTATAATAATGGGAAAAAAGAGCCAATCTTTCTAGCCGCTGGGATCCAACCCTTAACCTTAACCCGAGCAGGAGACAAGACTCCTACTCGGTCGGTTACATGGCTACGGCTACAAGACTCCTATCCGGTCAGCAATATGTTATATGCGGTTATGATTATCTGATTCACTTCTATTCGCCCCCTGAATCAAGCATATATATAGTTGCTTTCACTAGAGTTTTTGTAAACTTTGTGCTTAAATTTCCTTTTTCGTTTCCCTTTTGGCACACTAAAATCAATATTTTCCTTGTTATTGGCTAGTAAACCGAAAAATTCAGTGCGCTAGAAAGGATTTGTTTACATTTAGCGCAAAAAGGACAAGAAGTCGAATTTTTGAATAACTCTAGCAAACTGTTCACAACCATCTAAGAAGAATTATCGAGCTTAAAGCTTGTTTAATATGTTTAATATGTTTAATATGTTTAATTTGTTTAATTTGTTTAATTTGTTTAATTTGTTTAATTTGTTTAATTTGTTTAATTTGTTTAATTTGTTTAATATGTTTAATATGCTTAATATTCACATATATTATTAATCATCTAATATTGCAAAAAAACTTACCAATAGCAAGATATAAGTGGCATCAAGCAGAGTGTCGAAGAGAGCGACGAAACCGAGGAAAAAGAAGGGAGAGTGCCTGGAAAATTGACTCTAAGTCGAAATTACATTAGAATTTCTGCCAATTTCTGCCAGATTTCTGCCAGATTTCTGCCAAATTCCCATCACATTTGATTCTCATTTTCTTTTCTGAATCTTTTCTGATCTTTTCTGATCTTTTCTCATCACAGATATCATCAATCATTTCTTTCAAAGAACTTTCCTTTAACAAAGAAAACCCTCAACTGAATAGTTTTTAAAGATTTATATCCATTTACCGATAATGTGTCCTTGTTAGAAACAATGTCGCTAATAATCCATTAGCCATCAATCCAAATAGAGAAACAATGCATCCACTAACGCCGATCAACCAAAAACGCAATGGGAGAAGGGGAGAGGAGATCTCACCGATTGCACACATTGCAAGAGATCAATTTAGGAATTTCCCTTTCGATCCTGAAATGAAATCGCTGAGTTGATTGAACCAAAAGTTTTGTCGAAAAGGAATCGAACTCGGGCAAAAGAGGATGAGCTGGCCTTGGATGCAAGGGACTTATCCACTTGACCATCCCATGATCTTTCGGGGCTGTGAAAGAACCGTTATAAAGGCATCTCAAAAGGCATTCAGCTCGAAATTTTCACTTTACAACTTAAAACGTATAGAAAGCAAATAAAGAATAATTGTAGAATTTTGCAAAAACGGAAAGCAGATTCGGAATCAGCGTGAAATTCTGGAATGGTCTATGGCTGATCTCATTTGGCTGCATCCTACTGTTGCCTTTCCCTTGTTAGTGTGGCAGCTTGGGTACTGGCTGCAATGAATTGCCTTTATCCTCTTATTTATCTAGTATAGAGTGACTCTAATATTTACTCTAATAAACGGAAATCCCTAAAATGATCGAAATTTAGGTGACGTTGAGATTTTGTTGAAGATGAAAGAGGGAACAGGGCTGTTAAAGATGATCTGATGGATGGCCAAGCCTGGCCATTAAAGATGGCCAAGCCAAACCACACCAATCATTTTACTCAATTTCTCGTAAATTCCAGAAATTTGTAATAGAAATTGGTATTCTCTGCTTCAAAATTTCAAAGAAATCGATCAAAAGACAGAAAACGAAGGTGGAATTAGGTTCGGGTTGGAATTTTTCCATGTCTAGTAGGGACTTGAAAGAGACTTGGTTCCCTATCTCTTTAAATTTGGTTCCCTATCTTTTCTGTGAACGAACATTCGTCTACTAGAGTAAATACTACCTATTCTTTTCAATAAATTGCGTTAAAAATCCCAGCAAGCAAATGAGCAAAGCGTTTAAAAACCAAGAAATAACTCTAAAATCATCAAAAACTCTCCTCTAAGTTACAAGAGCCGAAAATTCAATAAAGGTATTCATTCAATAAAGGTATTCACAAAGATAAGAACATTGTTTTGCATTTAAATTTGTAACGGTTGTTAATTTGGACCGCAAAACTTTCCACCGATACTTACAGCACTTTTTTTTAACTTGCATTCCCTGTTTTTTCAAAACCCTAGTTAACTGGGTTTTGAAAAACAGGGAATGAAAAACAGAGAGGGCCGTGAATGGCTGCGGCCGCCACTACACCAGTGCTCACTTACGCTGGGCCCGGGCATTTTATTCGTGAGTTTATTGAAAAGAAAAGCCAGAGGTTTTCTATTTAAACAAATGAAAGAAAATGATAGAAAATTTGATATATTTACATCAAATATACCGTATTTACTCTAGTAGACGAGTGTCCGTTCACAGAAAAGATAGGGAACCAAATTTAAAGAGATAGGGAACCAAGTCGCTTTCAAGTCCCTACTAGACATCGAAAAAATTCCAACCCGAACCTAATTCCACCTTCGTTCTGTCTTTTGATCGATTTCTTTGAAATTTTCAAGCAGAGAATACCAATTTCTATTACAAATTTCTGGAATTTACGAGAAATTGAGTAAAATGATTGGTGTGGTTTGGCTTGGCCATGAAAATCATCTTTAATAGCTCTGTTCCCTCTTGCATTAGTAGACGAATGTCCGTTCACAGAAAAGAATTCAAGTCTCTTTAAAGTTGTTAATTTGGACCACAAAACTTTCCACCGATACTTACAGCACTTTTTTTTTATTCTTTTCTAGAAATTGCGTTAAAAATGCTAGCAAGCACGTGAGCAAAGCGTTTAAAAACCGAGAAATAACTCTAAAATGATCAAAAAGTCCCCTCTAAGTTACAAGTATTGGTCCAAAGTCCGAATTTTTCCCTCAATTCCCCGTCAACAAATAATATCTAAAAAATTTCACAAATTAGACAAAGATTCAGCTGAAATAATTCGTCGAATTCAAGGGGAAATTAGAAAATTTTTTTCTGTTTATTAGATGAAGCAAATGGGAAAATGGGAAAATGGGAAAATGGGCAAATATCCAAATATCCAAATATCCAAATCCCCTGAATCGAGAATCCTTTTTTTGTAGCTAGCTTATGAGTTTTTTCTTTTCCCCCTTTCACCATTTTTTTCACCGTTGATTGCCCATCAAAGAAAGAACTAATTGAAACCAAGACGACAAATTTCAATCTTTCTTCTTCAACTATCTCCTTCCAATGAATTTCTCTCATTATTAACACAATAGTCAAATTTAAGCTAACAATAATTGAAATATTATTAGAATTTCATCGGCTTTCTTCAAAGAAAGCCGCTAAGATTCTCTACCATGACATGGACACTATAAACTACAAAAATGACAAACTGTCATACTACAAATGCTTCTAACTTTCAAATCTGTCTGATTGATATGGTATATATGTTACGTCCGAATCTGAGGAGACGTCCATCTCCGATCCGGACGAGATGGACGTCCGACTCTGAGTCGGACGTCCGCTTCAGAGGAATCTCCTCAGATTCGGACGTCCGGATCGGAGATGGACGCCTCCTCAGATTCGGACGTAACATATACACTACTGGACAATGAAATATCATATTTGAAAAACGATCGTCGTCACTTTCGCGCGTCTGTAACTGCTTGTCTTTACCGTATTTCTAAATATTAATATTACCATTGTGTAGCCATTGATAAGAGCTTTCAGAAAATGTATAACACTAATAGTTTAAACTTAAAGACAAGGGAGTTACAGACGCGCGAAAGTGACGATCTTTTTTCAAATATCATATTTCATTGTCCAGTACCAGACAATGAAAGTTCATTGTCCAGAGCTACAGCTCAAAAAAATAGAGAATCTCAAGAGCTTTCGAATGAGCTAAAGTACACTTAAAAATATTAATTCTAAAGAAAGTTACAGTGGTTTGTAGCTGACTCGATCGGTTTGACGGTCCGAAAGGAAAGCCTTTCCGCCAGCAAAAATCATTGTGACAGAAATTCGAGAAAGCAAAAGAAAAGTCTTCAAACTCAAATGACTATAACTTTGTGCGTTTTGCCCATTAGTGCTTTTTAAAAACAGTTTCTGAACTTACATTTCAAGGCTTTTCTTTTGGTATCTACCTTAGATTGTAACTCGCGGATAACTTGCGATCATTCCCTTGTCAGAGATTGCTTGCTTAGAGATTGCTTGGTTAGAGATTGCTTGCTTAGAGATTGCTTACTTAGAGATTGCTTGCTTAGGGGTTGCTTGCTTAGAGATTGCTTGTCTTTCTTAGTTTTCTTGTGGTACAATATTTGGCACCTACCTTTTGGCACCTACCTTATACAATATAATCTACAATAACTCGCGGATAACTTGCGATGGTTCCCTTGTAAGCATTTACTGAACATGAGCAATTCTTGAGTTTCTTTGCTTAGAAAAAGAAAGTCATAACTATCATCTTCTGAGATTTCTATGCAAAACAAGATTTAAATATATTTAACATTGCTATTAGATAGCAATAACAGTTAAGCATAACATCAATAACAGCACAGCTAAAGTTAAAGAGTTATGTTATGAAAGTTATGATCAATTCAGTCTTGACCATCGAAAAACACTAGCTAAAATATAAAGGAGCTTTAGAGGAGCTTTAGAGGAGCTTTAGAGGAGCTTTAGAGGAACTAAATAGGAACTATAAAGGAACTATAAAGGAGTTTATAGTTTAACTATAAAGAAGTTTAAAGACTGAATTTACATGTTGTTAATAGAAAAAAAATCGATAACGGTTTTAAATTCTAATTTTAAAAAAAAATTTTTAACAAATCAAGAATGAGAAAAAAAAGGGATTTCTGGTGTCAAATCGTGCTTTTCTGCTTTTCTTTTTTCGCTAATTTGACGATATTCATCCAAAATGAGAACAATTTTCAGCTGCTTTTTTTTGCCGTCAATAAAAATGAAATCATTTTTCTCGATATTTCTTCAAAGAAAGAATATATTCTTCTTCTCAAATCAACACAAAAATTTCCTTTTTCTGAATCCTATAAATTTTCGATTTGCAAAAAGGATTTGCGTCTTTTGAAAGACGCAAGTTTTGTGAGAGGAGAATGAAGAAAAGTGATCAAATGCGGAAAACAGGTGGGAATTTCTAGGGTGGATGGGGAAAATAAATGGAGTTGTTGGGAAAACAAATTTCAATCGAAAGGAAAAACAATAAACTAGCCAACCAATCAACCAACAAACCAAGAGTTGACTTTTGCTCAGTTAACGATCTGGCCAGAAGATGCTCAGTTAACGATCTGGCCAGAAGATGCTCAGTTAACGTCTGGCAACCAGTTAAGATCTGGCCAGAAGATGCTCAGTTAACGATCTGGCCAGAAGATGCTCAGTTAACGATCTGGCCAGAAGATGCTCAGTTAACGATCTGGCCAGAAGATGCTCAGTTAACGATCTGGCCAGAAGATGCTCAGTTAACGATCTGGCCAAAGCCGGAATCCAAGCCAGAATCCAAGCCAATCTGGATTTTGATCCAAGTCAGAATCCAAGTCAGAATCCAAGCCAGATTCCAAGCCAATCTGGATTTTGATCTAAGCAGCCAGAAATGTTTATAAAGCAAAGCTGTTTCGGCAAAGCTGCTTCATTTCTTCATTTCTTGTTTATTTTAATTCCTTAAACCCTTAAACTTTAAGCCCAGCTGAGAATGAATCGGATAAAAGTTATATTACTTGAACCGACCCTTGTTCGCCTATACTTTGTACTCAAAATAAACGAAAACGTACGCTTTCTAGCAAGTCTAGTACGATACAATATACAATCCCAACAAATATCTTCAGTACTTGTAAGTTGAAACTGAAATCAAAACGAACACAATCAAATTTTTGGCGTTGAAGTGAAATTTGGAGGTACTCTATGAGAAATTTGATATGATTGAGGGAAAATGAAAAAAAGAAAAAGAAAAGAAAGAAAAGAAAAGAAAAAGAAAAAGCTAGAGATTTTGAAGCTCTTGATTCATTTCAATTAAAGAAATGAAGAAAAAGAATAAAAAGGTATGTAGAACAATGATTTCATCTCAATGCTTTCA